GCCTCGATGAGAGTGATGCTCAGGCCCATCTCGACGTGCCACTCGACGTGGCAGTGGAACAAGAAGACCCCGGGGTTCTCGGCCTTGATGCGGAACACTGCATACGACTTGGGGTTGACAGCTACCGTGTCTCGCCGTGGTGGTATGTCGTTGATGGTAACGTCAGCGCTCCAGTTCCCCGTCTGACTCTCGGGGCGCGCGAGGACTTGGAATTGGTGCCCGTGTAGATGAAAGGGGTGAATGGCATCGTTGTTGTTATTTACGATGATTTCCAGGATCTCGCCGTACTCGACTACAAAAGCGTTGACTTGGCCGTACGCAGCAGTCTCTGTGTTATTTTCTCCTAGTGACGCTGCCGTATATAAGGCGGGCACTTTTTGCGCGATGTACGTCGTGTCATTGAAGCAAGCCCTAGGGTAGTCGTTGGCGTCGAAGCAGTAGTCAAAGTTCAGCACTAACTGCTTGTCAACCGGCTCATAGACGCTCTCGTTATCATGAGGCTGGAAAGTTGTATCGTCGAAAGGCTCAAATGCTTGGACGGTAACTGTCCCGCTCGTGTCCTTGTCTGAATCTGTGATCAACATTCCCGTGACATTGAATGGGTATAGAATCGGTCTTGGCGGATTCTTATCTGCGAAGTCTTGGTTCACGTCCAATGCAACTAAATAAGGATAATTCCGATCTGTGTCTTCGGGAATGGTTATTAGAGCGTCGAACCGTTGCGCGGCAGAGATTCGAAGTTGTTGTGCAGTTTGCCTTTGCACGTACGACGCGTCAATCGAAATAACATCCATGTCCAGCGAGTCAAAATAGAGAAAGGTAGAAAACATGGCAGACCAATTGATTATTCGGAAACGATATGTCTTTCCAGCCTCGACGGATATATGACTACCATCACCATCATTGACAATGGTGCTATTCGGAAGCGGTGGCGCGAATTGTGTATTATTGGGGTTGATCATCGCCTCCATCAGTGTTGGCGTCTGGTCCCGGTACCTATGTTATTGATTTGTGAGCAACCCGAAGAGGCCCTTTACTATTTCATACGTTTGAGCTCACCAGTCAGAAAGGGTGAGGATGACTTCTTCGTCGTAATCATCTTTATAAGGGTCGTCGGGATCGTGAATAATGAGCGGGCCACGAAAACCGTCTGGATATTGCCCCATGCTATGAGAATGATCTGTCATGCTATTGTCAATATAGGAGGCAGCCCAGCTGTCAAGAGCCTTCTTCTACTTACACCAGTATGTACCAGGAGCATCTGCCTATGTATATCGGTCATCAGTCTGATTGTTCCCTCCCAATAGTATTACCTTGCCTCAACATTACTTACATAGAACCGATACCTGACGGAATGATCTGGAGGCAGAGGGCATTGGTTTGTACCGACGGCGCCGTCCATCGAGTTCGAACTTATTTGGTTGATGCCATGGAAATGGAGGCCAGTGGTCTCGTTCCCCAGTTTGTTATTCAAGTCAATACTGACGAAATCGCCAACGTTTGCCTCAATAGTCGGGCAGGGCCAAGCATCGTTTATCCCTATGACTGGTCTTCCAAATCCATCTGGGCTGGCAAATACCCAAGTCACGTTCCAGTCGTATGTCACCGTCTTTGCCGACGACCCTGTGGCCTGGGTCAACGCGATAAGCAAGGGAAGGCATCCCCTATGCATCGCATTCGATAGGAACTCTATGTTGGCAGGGCGTGAGTCTTCGAGGTACGAATCTAGGAGTATAAACTGAGCAAGAATTTAAGATAGCGAAGATCGAAACGCTTGAAGAGCAAATGTGTCGGATACGGGCCTCCATCGTCTCTTTTAATGGTAACTTGACGGCGATATTTGATAATGAGTTCCTACTACTTGAAGACGCTCAGACCTCCTTATGGGACGCAACGGGAGTTATCCCGTACACTCTTCGCGATCCAACTTCCGGATAGCTTAAACTTGCGGACTCACGAGAGCGATACTGACGCAGACTAGGAGTATTAAACTGTTTGCGAGGCCAAGTATATTTTCATAAGGGTGGAAGGGCTGACGCGTTGATGCTGAACTTCAGATATACGACCCTTCCGAAGCACCATTATCAGCCCGGATGTCCGTTGCAAATGAAGTCGGCTGTCAAGGTTATTGCCATCGAGGCGTGTATCGCATACACGGAAGAAACGGCTTTTGACATATGTCACTATTTACGCTCGGATCGCGCTATTAGACTTAGTAGATTTATGATCAGCATGTTTCAGAAGCCACACTCTGGGGAAACTGAGGCTGTAGGATAACCCAAAAGTACTAGGGGGTTAACGTTCATGAACACCCCAAGGTGGGTGTAAAATGCAAATGCTAATGAAGAATAAAAAAAATTTTCAACAGAGGGTGTAAATACCTATCCAGCAGCATCCTTAGAATCAGTTACGAGATGTAATAAGATACGGTGTAATTGCACCGATATCAATTTATAACTAGCAACCTGCCTTGAGTTCCTGAGCTTCAAACCACTTTTATTTCACACCTTCGCATAGTTAAGTGTAACTACCTACCTAGGTAGGCAAAGCTGCTGTCAGAACACTTAGACATTACAAGCCTTATACTGACAATGCGACTTAGCTATTTTATCCGTGGGGAGATACCGCCTAGCGCCCGAACGGGAACTTAATCTCACCCACAGACGCGACTATCCTCAACCTAGAGCATATCTCACAAGTATAGGGGAAAGTCCTCCTAAAATAGTGGTAATAATTTACGAAGATTAAATCAATATTTATACCAACTTAGTTTCGTACTATAATAAAAAAAACTCTAGAATCAAGGGTAGTCAGGATCCGGATAGTTCGCCCACCGCCTCTCAGCTGAGCCAAAGGCCGTCAAAGACTCCGCACTCGGCTCCAACTCGAGAATAATAATCTCATTCTCGGCATCAGGTCTGAGGAGTGTTCCTGGGAGATACAGCGACTGCTGCGGCCCGACGATCCAGTACCTCCCAAGGTTGAACCCGTTTACCCAGACGTTCCCCTTGACGCCGTTGGGCACTTCCAGGAACGTATCCAACGCCGCTGGATCAGTGTTGCTGCCACCGTCTACCTTGAAGCTACCGCGGAAGAATATAGGTGGAGATCCGGTTGCTATCGCGCTGGAACTAGGCTTGCGTTCGGTGGGAGGCGCATCGAGAGGTAACGAGTACACGTCCCAGCCACTTACTACCTCAGGTCCGATCGTCACGTTGCCTTTGATACCCTTGTACGGGTCCTCAAGAGCTACGAACGTGCCAGACTCCCGGGACCAGTAGTCAACCCTACCGAGGTTCTCGACTAACAGCTGCAATGTGTCCCCTGGCTGGAGCGACAACCTAACCTGTGCCGGTTGACTATACGTACTGTCGATAACACCCCGTCTAGTCCCATTCACATAAACAATAACCCTGTCCCTAGCCCGATCTCCAGGCTGCAAGTCCCCTTCAAAACTAGCAGTGACTTTGTGCTCGTAGAGGACGAATCCATAGTCCTGACCCAGCTCCTCCATCGTCGGCGGCGAGACGCTCGTCGCCTTATTTCCCAACGTATCGAACAATGGGATCGTCGGGGAGAGAGTCATGTTTCCAATCTCAAGCAGAGGGATATTCTGCGGCGGCTCGGGGATGCTCCCCTCTGGCACATACTTCTGGATCGCGTCGCGAAACGTAAAATACATGTCCGTCGTGCGACCGCTCTCGTCCAGCGGCGACCCGTAGTCGTAGCTCGTTATGAACACCGCTGTGTAGTTCTTCCATATCGCGCCGTTGCTAAATCCAAAGTTCGTCCCGCCGTGGAACATGTACAGGCTTATCGAGTTATTTTCTCCAAGCACGTAGTCGAGGTCATTCACGTACTGTTGGATCTGTGACGGGTTTCCGACCGCAGTGTTATGGAGATTTTCCGATCCCCAGTAGTCGGGCCCGGAGGTATAGTACTCCCCGTCGAGCAGAGGGCCGAGCTCGGTAGGATCGGTTACATATTGATCCCGCGCCGCGAATCCTGATCTCGGGTCCCCGTCGATCGCGGCTAGTACGCCCGGGACTTCGCCGCCTTTAAGTGTCCAATCCACTCCGCCGTCATTCGTGTAGAGTGGTACTTCGAAGTTTTCGAGAAGAATATCCCTCAGTCCTTGCGTGTAAGTGTGGTCTTCCCCATATGACCCATACTCATTCTCAACCTGAACCATTAACACGGGGCCACCCCGTGTTACCTGCAAGTCCTTCAAATCACTCGCAAGACGCTTCAAATAACTTTCCGCCACCTCCATAAATGCCTCATTAGAAGACCGTACCCGCATCCCCGGAACCTGAGCAAGCCAGGCAGGGAATCCTCCCCATTCCCTCTCTCCGCAAATATAAGGCCCAGGTCTAAGCACCACATTCAACCCTTCCTCCTGAGCGACTCGGAAAAACCTAGCAATATCGTTACTTTCTTCATCGCTAGTCCATTGGCCTTGCCTTGGCTCAAGGAGATTCCAGTATACGTAACTGAAGATAGTATTGAGTCCCATAGCCCTGGCTTTAGCCAAACGGTCGCGCCAGTATGCCGGCGGGATACGCTGGGGATCCATCTGCCCGCCAATGATAACATATGGTTCGCCATTGAGTAGGAAAGACTGACGATCGTAAGTGAAAGCTGGCGCCGCGGCCGATTGCGTCGTACTCGGCGAGAGATCCGAAGCCCACGCCGGGCTAAGGAGAGCCAAGAGGCTCACTACAGGTTGATACCAGCGCATCTTCTACTGTACTCGAGAATTGAAGTGCATACCAACGTTTGCTATCTCGAAGGCATCCTCTTATGAAAGGCAGATGAGCCGGTATATCATGCTACCGACGAGTGAGCGTTCCATGCCCTTCCCCGCTTTGGCGACGAGGGTTTATGGAATATACCTACGAAATCCGGGCTTGGTGAAGAACGTTACATCCACTAGGTTACATAGTAACCCCTAGCTATGAAATCCCCGGTCGAAGAGCAAATACGAACTCCTACTCTAGCCCCACAACCATTATCACGTAGCATAGATTCGTTATCTTAGGCAATCTTGTTATGAACGATAGGAGCAATAAGACGACGGAATGTAGAATCCAGTAGTTAGGACGGGCTATTTTTAATGTTAGATTAAAACAGAGTATGCGAGTTTGCTTGCTTGCTTGCTGAGCAAAGCTGCGGTGTAGATCTAATGTGTATGAAGTCCTTCTATTTGCGCGCCTGACCTGTCCTTTACAACTCCAGTTCAACATCCATAACGCAAAACTGCTTATATGCGGTTAACAATCGTGCCACGCGGCATATTCTCACACGGAATTGAGTCGCCTATTTTGCCAGCAAGGCTTAACTTCTAACCGGGCTCTTGCTTGATCAGGCTGGGGCTTCAAATATACGTTCGACGCCCTTCCATTCCCCTTTCGCCCTCTCCTCCCAGTAGCCCTCTTTGCCCAGCTTCAACTTCCACAACTCTTCTCCGTCCGGCGCTTCAGGCACCTTGACGAACCATCGCGGCTTATACTCTTCGCCCTTCGTTTCCAGATCTCTCCTCCTTGCGCGCTGCGCCTCCTCGAGCGTCACCTTCCACTCTTCGGCATCGTCAAGTTTGCCTTGCTCCGCAAGCCGCTGGTCAGGACGCAATCGGGTGTCTGTAGGTGGTAGCCGACCCTCCTCAACGGGTGTTATTTCGTTAAGCGTGGCGCTAAATTCCGGCAGGCCGTAAGTGTTTGGCGCGTTGGGAACTAGTTGACCAGCCTTCCAGACCTCCTTGTTGGTTGTTTTGCCACCCTCCACAACGCGAAGTGAAGATGTCCAATTGCCTACGAGGCCGGTTCCAGTCTGGCTTCCATCCGCATCACAGACTTGGACCTCAACGTCTTCGCTCCGGCCGCCGAACATACCCTTCGTTTTGAATTCGATGTTAGCTTTTGCTCCTGTAGAATCGTTGCATACGGTCATCGTCCCAACCGGTTCAACATATTTCTCGCCCATGACGACATTTCTCAAGAACATAGTCGCAATATTCCACGAATATAGCTCATCGGTGCCATCTGGGAGTCGCAAGGCTACGCGAACCCGTCCTTCAGTAGTCAATTCGGCACTCTTACCCCAGAATTTCTGTGATGGAGCGGGGCTTTGCGTGAGCGACCAGACTGCAGCATCGGCATGCATTGCAACGCGCAGCGGACGGTGGGTGACCTTCTCAACAATAAGCCTAAATCCACCGGGAACCTCGCTCTCGGTACGAAGAAGCTCGAAAGTTTCGCCTAGAAGGGGGTTGAATGGTTTACGCATGGCACGCTCTTTTACACGGTTGACGCTAAGATTAGAAATAGCAAATGCAGTAACGTATACCATGCGGTCCTTTGGAGCTTTCTGCTGCGCTGCTTGGTCAAGAAGCTGGGCATACTCGAGCTGTTCGGCCACACGCTGCAGTGTCGATATAGGCTCGTTGGACGAGACAGGCATGCTAATCGTACTTAAATCTTTGCCAACGTTTTTGCGAAAGAATGCGATTAGACTAGGTGGCGGAACAGTAGCCGCGGGGATAGTTTTTCGTCGTTCTACAGCGATGTCGACCGGTAATGGAGCCAGAGATTTGGGTCGGACAGGGAAAAGAGCCGCGGCACCACTAGCTCCTGTATTCCCTTCACCATCTTCCACGGACGATGTTGAAGATGTGTCATCAATAGTAGCATCATCAGCCTCGGATTCGTGGGAATCTTCATCGCTCTCACGGCGACCAATCATCATAACCTGCGCTCTGCTATCCGTTTCGCCTCCCTCAGCATCAAAGAACTCTTCAGTTGACGCTGTGGACTCGAGACTTCTTCGAGACGTAGAAGGACAAGGCATTGGTATTCGCCGTCTCTTGCTATTAGCAAGTACCTTAGTGAACTCTGAGACAACCGAATCCAAGTCATTCAGAAGAGCAGCACAGTGGTCGTGTGTATTTTGCTCCGTTTTCTCACCGTGGCTAGACCCATTCGGTTTTATCGTAGCTACTGATCCGGGTGTTGGAATAGCCAAAGCCGACGAGGCTCCTGGTGTCGACGAATCTGGCGGAAGAGGCGAGGCGCTTTGCTTTCTCTTCCAGAATGGGCGCTTGTCCTGTGCCGCTGGGGTAAAGTAACCATCACCACTCTCTGGAAGAGCCGCCGGGGAAGCTGGAGATAAGTGTGAGCTTTGAGGGCGTTGTGGTTGTTTCTGTACAGCTATATCTTTGACCAAACGGCGCAGAGCATCTCGCGTACCGACAATACGGCTAACCAACGTCTCAACTTGTTCCCAGTCCCGGTCTTCATCTTGCTGTGAGTTCGGCAAGCTGGCTTGCTTAGGAGTTGCCACGGTAGGCTTTTCGGGAGAAGGTTCCTCAAGCATTGGTTCGAGGCCCCTTGCGATCCTACTTGCCTTTTCTAAGGCACGTGCCCATTCGTTGAATTCCTTAGCATTAGATGCCCTTAGATGCCAAACTTCTGCTCCAGAATCGATATTGATTTCTCTCCGTCGCTCATCTGCGGCAATTGCAGCCAAGCTTAGGGGAATAGCTCCTCTTAATGCAGACGAGTTTCGATTGTGATAATATGACATGGTGCAAGACGAATAGTCCAGGGAAAAGAATCTACGGGCATAGCCCTGGCCCTTCTTTCTCCGCCTCTTCAATAGAGTACCCGTGTATGTAGTTGACGATGCTATTCCATCACTACGAGCACCCATAGACTTGGCCCGTTGGCGGCCGGCCGGGTGACTCTGTAAACTCTCAGTAGAGTCGGCAGGAATATCCCCTAGATGCGGGTTTGATTTTCCGAGGCTAGTCCTACTGCTGTTTGCGTGGGAATTGGCTTGGAGGTTTGGGAGATGGTGTGCTCCTTGCGGCGGTGCACCTGTAGGGTAGGTAAGAAGGACGAAGGTCGCTGTCTTGGACGTTTGCTTTGAGAAGGTATTGTCAAATATTAAGCCGAACATCCCTCCATAACCCTTGAACACATCATATGTTCCCATGGATACTTTGTCGGCCTCGCATTTTCCATACCATTTCACTGGAATGAACCCCTTACTAGCCAGTTGCTCCTGTGCCGTGCTAGCATCTTTCTTCGCAAAGCGACTACCCTTTCCTTGGCCATCAACATGTTCGACATCGGTATTTGAGCCGTCCAGTGTCGGGATAGGGTTTGTCGCGCCGGTGCCGGGGTGTTTAACGATGCCAAAATTACTAGAACACGTTCAAGTCAGGATTATGACGTTATTATGAACAAGGTAAAGGATTATATAGGAGGTACTTACATCGACTTCTTATGCGGCTGGACACTCCATGAAATAGTTTGGCCTTCGTCGACCTTAACCCATCGCACAATGTAGGACTGTTCGGGCAGAAGTTAGTTCTCGGGCCTTGCGGGAATCGTCATGCCTCCAATAATAGGGCCAGGCACACCTTGCTGTGGATTTCTAGTTGCTCTATCCCTGCCATTTTCAAAGTCGCGGTTGATCAGTAGTAACCGGCGTACAAATTAGTTTTCAGACGAGCCGTGACATTTCCGTCAATTGTCAATTGCCGAGAGAATTGCTGAGCGTAAGGAGAAAGACGACGGGGTATTATTCGTGAGGAAGCAAAGTAGAAATATGTCTGCCTGTTAACTCCCCATAAGCTGATGTTACTGCAGTCTGCAGGATAGCTGCATTAAACTCAGCCACAACAGTTTTGGGGGTATGTATTATGTATGTACCTAGGAATCAATATGTAAGAAGTTTGATGTACATAGACGAAGTTTGATGATTCACGATTCCTCGTCTTGTGCAAAGTTGCCGTCGAATATTGTTTCTGCTAAATTGTTTGGGAAAGAAAAAGGGGAATTGACGATTCAGTTTGTAAAATACCAAAAGCATCCATATGAATTAAAGTATTGGTACGAGCTGCGGATAGGCGGACACGACCTAACCATTGCGCTTGCTGGAGACGTACTTGCACGAAGCTATATTTGGTTAGTGCCTTGGCTAATTCAGATGAGTGGGGAGATTGAGTTGTGGCGTACACCACAACGTCCATCTATTAATAACTCATAACTACCCCTTTTAGTTATGTACCTACTATGTAGGTAGTTAGCTAATCTTCACATGCCCCCTAAATTCAAAAAGGTAGTAGTGAATCTAACCTCAAATAATGATTCGACTTATGGACAGCACTATACGGACTTGTGAATATTGTCCAATAGTATAGACATGGAAATTTCAATTTCAATGATCAACGTCCCCATAAGCTAACATCAACTACTCAGTGACCAATTACCTTCCGACTTATTGAATACTTTATAGACAACTTAACAGTCACGAATTCTAGCAACGCTCTTTACTCGAGTAGTATACTTTTGATGGTTCTTCGCTAAAGATGAGATAACTGGTAGAGTACGCTATTATTCAATTAGCAGTACATACATTACTATCACATTATAACAAGCAGACAATTGTTACCTCAGGTAGGTATATATTATAAACTTACTATACACTTCCATACTAGTTATTGAATAAAAGTAGACGTGACTCTTTAGGCAGTCATTGATCTATCATAAGGATGAACCATATGCCCTAGCTCTTCTACATTGCCATCTTATTTTGAAGAAAAAAACTATATAAGAGAGAGGGCAGCTTCCTTTCCATTATTCCAATGATCCACCATCATACCAACACCTTGTTCGCCAGTCTAAACTGCATCCTGAAAAACATCCAGTAACCCCTTAGGAGCTCTTGATACGACGATCTAGTGACACAAACCGCCATGTTGACTTGCTACAGAAGAGTAGTACGGACTGTCTGTAAAAAATGCAACACTCAAACCGTGGCTCAGGACTACGAAGCGCATGACCTTCTATGTCCTCAGCTCCTAGGAATCGCACCATGTCCTAATCAGCCCTTATGGATTAACGAAGCCCAAATCGACAAGGATTATTGTGCATTATGCTCCTAGCACCGGTTGGTGAAATTACACTTCGCGCGGCGAGATGTCATAGGTGGTACGTATTGAGAACCATCCACAACAATTCTCTTGGCAATAAATTAACTCGTCTTTTCTACAGAAGGGGCTTGATCCCCAGGCACTCTCTACGGGGAAACCGCCATGAATGACAAACATTTAGCCAGCTTTCGGGGCTTTTGGTTGTCACAGAACGAATATACGCAGGTGTTCTTACGGGGGCAGGTGTAGGAGGCGCAAGATGGGCAGTTTGTTTCGCGATTATTTCGAGGTTTTAGTCTTCTGGCTACCAGTACTTAGTATAAGCCACTGATAGAGGTTTCCCAAACCCATACGTAAGGTTCTGTGCCATCTGTGCACATGCTGATGACGTTGATGATGTGTATAAGAAATATGAAAGCTGGCAGCTTAGTTAACTACTGTAGATGTTTATCTTGCCGCACTTGAGTTTGCCTGTATACCGAATTTACTACGTTTGCCACAATATATTCTTGGTAATTTTGTCCTATTATTATTGGTGAATGATATCAAGACTCATGTATAGGGAATTTGCGCAATTATTGAGGGTTATTAACAGTTCAATATTTAAATTTACCACCCGTTTTGTTGGCATCCCTCTTCTCGACCATAGCCCCTATTAGTTGGTTCGTTACTCTCTTCATATCCTAATCTTTTCTAAGACCCAACTATACCGTTATTACCCCGGTATTTTAGTGGCATGCGTCTATATATCTCTTCGCATTAGTAAGTCAGCGTAACGGAAAGATTTTATGTTGTATTCTTATTTTTCTAGTGCTCTCTTCTTACTATATCTTTATGATTTAATTTAATCGTCATGTCGAAGTGCCTCTTACAGAAATGTAAGATGCCACTCCACGTATAAAATGTTCTAATCCACCCCCTTTCCCTCATCAAGCTGAGGAATCCTTCATAAATTATAAGGGTAGACTTTAAAATTAGCACTTTAGAGATTTTCCCCTGATAAATCGATGAATTATCTATTACTGTTCAGTTGTAATCAGCAGCATGGGAACCTTGGAAATAAATAAGTGATGCTTTGGTGACAATTAACATCCCAGCGGTACATACGAATAGCTTATATATTTTGTACGATTGTCTATGCTTGTATCCCAACACGTCTAAGTATTAAAATTAATTTAACTATTGAGAGTTATAAGCACGTCAATGTGGTAGTCTTACCCCTGACACTTGGTTAGGGGTAATGGGGGGTCTTAGAATTAGAACTGTTATAAGCCTTTGATATGCTCGACCTTTAGATTTAATATTAGTGGCGGTTATGCCTAGAATGCTCCCCATCCTCGTAATAAGAACAAAATTGTATTCAAATCCCTGAATGACATTTACTTGATTGATCACCAATATATTAACCTCCTGCTCCCCTCTTTTCTGACATTGAATCCGATCTTCGAGCCAGCGGAGTATCCACTCTGGTCCTTTCTACCGGCCCTGTACTGGCCTCCCGTTTCTCAAGGTTTCCCGACGCCGTCTCTGATGGATCATTTGATTTCCAGGGATACAATCCATCCTCCGACATCGGCGACGGGGGCATATCCAATCTCTCATATCGACCTTGACTCCGAGTAGACGATGACAGCGATGAAACCACGGAGGTCCCCCTTTCTAGCGTCGCCGGCGAGAGCACAGCTTCTGCCGGGCGCACGGGGGAAGTGCTCGCAGCGATTTCTTCTTCTGATTGTCGATTCTGCCCCTCAAACTTCCCATACGCCGAGGTTTGCGAGTCGTACATCTCCTGCTGTTCCTGGTTCTCAATTTTCCGGGACCTGTGGCACCACTTGACAATCCAAATCGGGATGAACAAACCGGTGGCCACCGCCCCTGCCCGATACAGGGCACGCACGTAGCTTGGATCTTTGCCTCCTATCTCGTTTTTCCTTCGCCGCTCTCTGAAGCCAAATGCGACTAATGACGCGAGGAATACGAGTAGTATTAGCCCAACAATGACAATTACTGGAATGGCCCAGGTGGGAATTTGTTGACTCGGGGTTCCACTTTCCAATGATACGGCCTGTGGACTCAAGCTTGAACTGCTTAATGGCGTGTTGTAAGTATTCGAGCTTGCATCATTAGATAATGTGCACCCTGTAGGATCAGACACAACCGTGGATGTAGGAGAAGATACGGGCGTAGGCGTAGCTGGATTCGGAAAAAACGAAACGCTATAGATAAGTGTAGTTGTAGAACTGGACGTAGTAGATGATATTTCACTCGAAGTCAAGGGCTTTATACTGTGTAGTTCTTTATGTTCTCCGATCTCCGGAATTTCTAATAGGGGATTGACACCAGTGGGTTCCTTTCCAGTCACGGCGCTGATCGGTGACCTATGGGAGCTCTCGGCCTCGTAATATGGAAGAAAGGCGACCATTTTACCCATACAAGGTTAGAGTGACGCGAGTCTCCCTTCGTCCTCCTAGAATCAACAATCCACAGCTGGGTAAGTTGTCTAGGTTTGTAAATGCCAGCTCTTAGATACACCATGAAAGCCTGGAAAAACAAAGGTTTACAGCGAGCGTCCTGTTTATGGCTACTGTGAAATAAATCTGGGCCAATTGGCCTATTTATTTCTAGACACCCGGCGTAGTTTGCGGAAACATTTTACATGGCAAAACCGGACGGGGCTGGGGCGCGGTCGATGATCGCGCGGTCAGTATTGGCTCGTTCTATGCACATTGGAGCCAACTAGAATCGATGTTGTAGGAATGAAACAATAGGGCTGCACTCTTTATGGTCTGGGTGTTATATTCATGTGAACCTATATATTAGAAATAGACTACTAATTCTCATACGAGGTGGACCCCATGGGCCGTGTCACCAACCTTTTCATATAGATATTCGGACTACCTAATGAAACTGTCGGTCAGCTTAACATATACTTGGTTCATAGGACTCATGTGTCCGGTCAAGGTGGGAAGTACATATATACATGGGGCGGTTGGGGGCGGTACATCTCGATTATACATTGGGGGCTCACCTGTTTTCTAATGTATCATAAAATAATATGGTTCCCTTTCGTACAACCCTTTTTTATTGAATACGGCTATTGTTTCATCAACGGCTCTGTCCCGACTTACCTATAGTTGTCTTGTTAATCGAAACGTAGGGTCGTAAAGACGCAGAGCGAGGGCCAGGAATTAAATGAATAGCATAAGGTCGACTAAGCTCAGCCAACTTACTCGCCTGTAAAACTAGGCGGTTGCATTTTCATCAAGGATCCAAGCCACCAATATCTCAAACAGTATGGGTGGCCTATGAGGACTTATACCGGCATTATGAGCGCGAAGTGGCGCTCAGATACGCGCGTTGAGGTTTCACTCGACGGCCCCAGTCGACTGGATAGGAGCAACTACATACTAGTAAGCATAAATTGGGCACAAGGATAACAAATGCGCTTCAACCTAGGCCTGACTCTCCAGGCATAATTGGTATGGGTAGCACAAATGGTATAGACATCACTCTAACTCTTCTCTTACCTACCTAGGTATCTATATGCTACCCTCAGATGGCAATGTTACACGACATTTCCGCCACCACACTGGAAATGCAAGTCTCAGTGCTATTTTTACACACAAAAGTGCAACACATGATATCAAACTAATTGGGAATATTCTAGGGGTAAGGGTGTGACAAGCGATCAAAATAATAGTTTCATATACTTCCTACCTATATACATGGAAAATGTTTAAATTCCTTACAACATGTTCGCTACCAGTCTACTTCACTTGTTCCTTCCCATACAAGCTATAATATATAAGATTAGTAGAGATTATAAGTCTTGCACAAGGTTTAAAAACGAGAGATATAACAGTATTTATTGCAAAATCTGGATTTTAAGGAGGCATGAATTCTTGAATACATCGGTATTCCAAAATTCAAATAATATCTCTTGTCAAAGGCAGCTTTACAAAAACTTAACCTAATACTTTACGAATTTTATAATAATACCAAAACACCTAAACAAGAATTTCTGTTCAATTCATATGTTAGATTACAAGTGATAGGAAGGAAACTAATTCGTTAACCGATTAGTGAGTCCAGAGTCTTACGAGGGCCAGGTTCTGACCCCTAATATTAAAGAGATGATGTTTTTATATTCCGCAATCAATTTGATTGTCTCCCTATAGAGCCTATGGACGAACCAATCATGCAAGCCGAATATCTCATTCTGGGCTTTTGTAGGCAATTAGCACATTCCCTACTTCCTCTAAAGAAAGAGCTCCACAAATGCTAATGCAAATGAAGCCGCGATATCGCAATAAAGCAGGCTTAAGTTCCCCATGGTGAAGAAAATTCCGATGACTAACTCAGTCTACCAGTCTAGACAAGTGCATGCCGTCCCAAAGAGGAATTAGAAATGTCTCTAAACGGTCATTATCACCTGCGAGGTCGTTGTACTCGCGAATGGCAGCCACGGCGATGGCCTGGAAGGACTCGGGGTCATCGAAGTCAGCGGGTCGCGAGGGGTTGTTCTCAGGGTCGGCAACTAGGCCCTTACGTAGCGTGTTGTCCGCTGCAATGATGCCGCCGGGCCGGAGGAGTCGATTCTTAGCACCTGGAGCCGACATCTCTAGTATCTGGCGTAGGTAGCCGCTGTAGCCCGTCTTGTCCGCGTCGATGAAGATGATATCAAAAGGTTCGCTTGTATCAGCGAGCTTGGGGAGACTGTTGGCATCCAAGAATATTAGGTTAGTTGCATGCTAAAAGGGAGAGGAGGGGGGATAGGGGTACTTACGTTTCAGCAGCAGGACCGACATGTACATCGATATTCTCGTAGCCTTGTTCCTTCCAAGCCTCCTGTGCTAACTTGGCGTACTCTTCGTCGTACTCGAGGCCAGTAACTTTACCCTGAGGGCCGACAGCGTGGCTCCAAATCACTATCATGACGTTAGTAATTGTCAACAAGCAGAGAGTATTCGGCGAAGTCTCGGAGTAATCGACCCTAAGCGAAGTTGATTTTGGAACACCAAACTCCCGAGATAGGATAAAAGGAGGAATGGACCTGGATAATATTACATACTAGCCGAGAACCCAACATAAACACCAATCTCAAGAACTGTCAATTATGTTAGTTATATTTCAGAGTACGGTAAACTTCAGTGTTTTGTTATAAACTTACCTCGTTTAGCGCCAATGGCTCGAGCAAGGAAGACAAGGGCCTTAGACTGGAAGGTTGAGATCATATAATTGGAATCATCGCGCTCCCTACAGATGCGGTAATGGTATTCTCTGAGAAGCTGAGGAATATCAAGTGACTGAGCCTCCGAGTATGCGGTAACCTGACGACCTGTATACGGGGTGTCGTAGAGAGACGTCCCCTGCTTCATAGTGTCGGTATTTATAGGTTAAATGATTATATTAGTCGGTGTCTAATGCAATATGGTTAGATATCTGACAAAGGTAGGTAGGTACCTATTCTTTATGAAGTGAGGAATATAAAAATATGGGTAGATACGTACATTGAGGTTGGCGGAGGAGACAAAGGGTGCTGAAGAGTGTTTTTGAATATGGTAAGTTGAAGAAAACTCGCCGACCGGTGCTGTGCTATAAAGGGAAAATAAATCAAGAAATTGTCAAGACCTCTGGGGCAATGGCGGCACTTGACTGTTGATAGCTGACGTGGATTTTGTGAGTTTGGGAAGTGACTTCCTACCGTAGGAGGTATTTATACTGTACATTAGGTAGTGAGTTACATACCTAGGAGGTAGGTAGTATGGCGTCACCCCCACTAATATAATACATGTACTTGGTCATGCACTTCAATGGTCATGATCCTCGGTACATGTATCACGAACCGTGCTAACTTAGACTCTTTCAGGTAGACAACTAAGAAGAAAGAGCCCCTACTCTATCCTACACCGATCCCGGAGCCGAAAAACCGAACCCCATATTTGGTAGGTTTATTTTGACAGACCAAGTCCGGTTTCCACGAGTCATGTAACCCGGATCAGATAAGATTATCTCCGACCTTGACAGGGGGGAGCAGAGTCTCAACCACTAGGTTACATAATTACACGATGCCTTGCCCCGACTTCTTTTCCTAGCAAGCTATAATCGCCAATCTACCTATTATATACATTTACTACATACCTAACAATTTTGTGCATATGTATGTACCTAATTCAAGTTCATTTGGAGACTTCACTGCTGCATACAACTACGGAAACCTAAATTCTAAATACGTATGGTTTATACAAAACTATATCGTCATAGAAATACAACACCTCTACGGCGCCCGAAAGCTCGGATATCCGAGAGGTTATGACTAAATCTAGACAAACCTTGGTCAGCGTATCGAATGTTCTATCTACATGTAGCTTTGGCCTCACCCTCCTCGCAACCCATGCCGCTAGTTGATACATCCATTATTTGAGATCACACCACATTAGGTAGCGCTTATATCATAATTAACTCCGACCATCTACTATTCCGATATTATTATGAATTGGAATGTGTCCGACGTCGGTCATAGGAGTTATTAACGTATATAGGACTGGTAAGAGACCGGCTGCGTATCGCCGGGCAGTGGATCCTCAAAATCCACCTCGGCTTCCGTATCTTCGCCGGGATATGGTCCGAGCTCCGGGTGGAGTGATTAGGTACTGCTCGACAGATGCGCGCGTTATTCCTCGGTTATATGGTGGATTAGGGGCTCTGCAATAAGACTTGATCGTGTAAGAATTACATAGGTACATATAGAGAATATAGGGGATGAGGGGCGAAACCCACTTTCGAAGCATTGACGATAACATCCAGACCCTTCGCAACAGGGGAGGCAGATCCCACTAGGCCATAGATGGTAACCAGTATGCCGCTGGTCATTGCGCTTCTCATCTCCAGTAGCCAACTCTTGGCTAGATGAAATCGATACGCGAGACGTAGTGAAGAGATACATACCATAGAGAGAGGCTTAGAGCATAAGGCAAATGATAGAAGCGAAAGAGAAATTGGCTCTACCTATTCGCACCGTCTATATATGCATCTGAGAATCCGAGAAGTGAATAGGTCCGAAGGATAAAATGTCAAGAGTAGAGATAGATACCTACCTAAGTAGCTGTGACGCTCTGACATAGAGCGGTTATGATTGTTATAATTAGCAGTCTCATAAATTAAAGACCCATATACCATGCCGAGCTACGAGTAACACAGAGCCTACAAATCTAGATTATGTTAGGTAAACCCTTGTGTTAAGTTTGTACAATGTAGTAACTTTAAACGTACAGTAAAAATCCACTAAACGTACAACACATCCACTTTTACGTGAAATAGCCCGATATGCCACCACCCACCTAATTTATATTAGGATTAACATCGCTTCTTAACAAATTCGTAATTTTACCTAATCGTATTATAATATCTATATTTAATTAAATATAAAATTTAAATTGAAACTATTACTACCTTTTCGATAAGTTAGCAAATAATAGCTTTAATAACGGCTCTAACATAGCTGCTTCAACAATAGTATACACAATAATATACGATCCCCTCATCTCTAGCGCTAACGCTAGCGAAGCTTAATATTGCATCTAGCCTCCACGGGTTATAGGGCTTATAAGGCTATCAACAGTGGTCTCTAAAGCCTTCCCAACAGCCTCAACAGCCCTAACAGCCTGTAATTCAACGGCAACAAGCGCCTATTATCCCTTCTCAACAACCTATAAAACAGCAAAATCAATGGCCAAATCAATATAACCAATCAAATCAATAACTTTAGCCTCTATATTATTACCCTAATTAAATATATAAACCTATAGCCTATATATACGTATTAAATTTAATTATAAATATATTGATTTTTATTTATTTAAATTTTATATTCAATTGAATATAGATATTACAATACGATCAGGTAAAACTACGAATTTATTAGGGAGCGATGCTAATCCTAATACAAATTAGGTGGGTGGTGGCATATCGGGCTATCTTACGTAAAAGTGGATGTGCTGTACGTTTAGTGGATTTTTACTATACGTTTAAAGTTACTGTGTACAATGCCATGCTTTACGGGATAAACGTTCAAATGCGGCTACCTTGGTAACTAGAGAGGAGATGAGAATTTCTATATTAGGCTAAGATAGATGATAATACGCCGCATTTGTGGTATCATAACCTCAATAGGTATTGGCGTTACCGAACTTACACTACTAGCACCATCAATAAAATCATAGTCATAGTTAAGAGGATTGCGTCGGAGCTAAACAGTCGGAGAGCTCGACTAAGCAATATATATCGGAATAAGGGGCAATAACACGGTCGTGAGATGTGATGTTTTCTTGACTTGACTGATTTGCTCATATAATCGATATTTGATTTAACCACCACCTCCTATCCCCTCTACTTTTATGTATTATCCCCATTGATGACTCGCAGCCTCCCAAACCCACATCCATTTTTCAAACGCCTGTACGAACATGCTAAGTACCATCGTCATTTTACTCTTCTGGCACACCGGAGAATAGGCCGACCCTCATGCGGTGACTCTATAAGATGGCATGTTAGTATGCCTACTTGAAAGTCAGGTATGGTATTCGGGAACCTACAAAGGGTAGTTTCGGTATAACTACTCCTAGCACAGCTAGAAAGTTGATGGTGAAATATGTGAGGTCGTAATGGGTATAGTGTGTACTTAAGAGGAAGAGCACAATAGGAACGCTAAGCAAGAATTTCTTGGCGGGGGTGTACTGTGCGCCATCGTCGATTTGTTCCCACATATTCAGGTTGTCATATGCGCCACTGTTGAAGTCGAAAGGTACGCCACGAACGTAGTGGAACATAATGTAGGAGCCGAACATATAGGAAATATTGGTCAAGGTCCAGGAGGTCTCCTGGGAGACACCAGGTATAACATCCCAGAGAATCTTGAGCGCAACGATCAGAACAATGTGGATGGTCCACGCCCCTGTTGGTATTCCCTCATTAGCTAAAAATTTCCAATACGAAAATAGCCAGACCAAAGAGACTGATAAATCCAGGAACTATATCCTCATATTACAATATTTTGACATACCTTTAGCGTTGACCCAGTTCGCATTGAGATTCGGGAGAGTGGATTGGTCGTTCAACTGCTCTATAGGCTCTTGCGGTTCCTGATATATCTGAAGGATGCTGCTCGATCTCCGCCTCCTAGCTGACTTAGAATCACCCATATCGAGATAGGTAGTACCTCCCCGTCTTGGAGGATTTGTACCAACGTCGTAAGAGACGGTGCGGGGAATGAGGATTGGGGAAGACACTTTGGCGGTATTGGGCAGAGAATTCGAATTGGTATTTTCGGATTTATTCGTCATCCAGACAATTCGACCTGGATAACTATTTTTTTTCTTCGGCGTACCGAGGAGATCGGATGCGAGTAGAATATTGCTACTGTGACGATACTCGAGGAAAGGAGAGACTAGCCAGTCGAGTGTTAGACGCAGAGGCGGAAATAGTAGAAGACCGAGTAGTCTAAAGGGTATCGCAGAGAATGCAGCCGATGATCAAGAGCAAGGAAAACTAGAGATGCCGTGTTAGGAGAGGAGTCGTAAAGGACGTGAGGGATCGAATGTCTAATGCGAGATGATGCAAGATGGAGCGACGAGAGTTTCTAATACCGTAACCCCCTGACTGGGAAAAGACGAAGAGTGGAAATAATTGATTGACGATGAATACAATTAGCTGAAGCGTATTACGAATAAAGTGGGAGATCACGAAGTTTAGAAGAATGTTAAAAGGTTAGAGAGAGAGGTTAGGTAGGATCAGGTAATACCCAGAGACGAGAATGGTTATGGAAGGTGATGATCAAAGAGTAGCAGCGAAGTAAATCAGCAGCATTTGAACAAGGACAGGTTTACGGGATAGGTACAAGGGCCAAGGGCCAAGGCCAAGATTTGAAGACTTCCATTGGACAAAGGGGTGGGAACGACTGCCAATTACCAATGAGTTACCCCCAATTTCTCAATTTCTAGCTAATATGTATTAGGTACCTATCAGGTAGTCTGCACAGCCTGGACCGCGTGGCTGCAACTGGAGATTTCGGGGATTTGATGGGTCTCCGGTTATCTAAGTACCTGGTAGGTAATTTTGCTTTGAGCTTTCCTCTAAAGGTACTACCTTAGGTACTCGCTATAAGGGTCAGGGGTACACAGAGAGTCTCACGAGACCACGTGACGTTCGATGTAGTCTTCCATTCCTTCCCAAACGGTCGGGCTCCGCGGAATTCGACTAGAACTCTCGACCTTTTAAAGTCATATCGGCTTATATGAATAAGTCTATCGATCTAAAGCAGTATATAGCCCCGCTAAATACCAACATAGTCTAGTTACGTGATTCGTGGGTTTCAATTTATAGATCGCCACAGTGAAATCTGCTGCCGCTTGGACATATACATAGGTACATATTGACGGTAAGAGTACCTACGCAACCGTATACATACATGTGCATCAACACGATACGGCACATGTACCAAGTAACAACAACTCTACCAGGGTGCATTAATTTCTGAAAAACATTCGAAGAGCCGCATCATCACCATTCATCAATTTGATGAGCTACGTATTTATCTAACCTACCCACCTCCGAAACCTTTCACCACGTATTCTCAAAGTTGCGATCCGCAAGGAAAGATCATTCCCGTCCTCGAGACCTGAATGCGGCCTCGTGCTATTTTGAGAGAGAAAAGGTTCACTTGAACGGGATATTTCCTTAGGTCCCTATTTTATCATTTTGCCTGTCTTGCGCAACTTCGACCTGCAGCTCGTATCAAGAGCGCGGCGGTTACGACAAGATCACAGCAGGTAAACTTTGGTACTACATTTATTTTGCCCCACACGACGTATTCTACGCCTGTGGGCTTCAATCTTTTTTTTCCCATTCCTCATCCACAGCATCATTATTACTCTTTATTGTCGCGGCCCCTTCACTAAACTGTGATGAGCGGCGCTACCGAGGCATCTGCCCCTAACTCCGGCCAGGGCGGTATTGACACTCCTAGTAGCTTATCGAGCCAAAAGCGGTTGCGCGACTATGGAGAGCAGCTAAAAGGCTTATCCCCATCTGATGATGAAGATCACCAGAAGGACAATTCGTTACCAGCATTGAAGAAACAGAAAACGGACAATTCCGATAGTGGTGATGACTCAGATCTGGATGACGGCGAAATAGTAGAGTCGAGTCCAAATCCTAGTCTAGCACATGCTCAACCTATCGCCGAGGCTGTAGCAGATCCCTCCAAAACACATGCCTCTAATACGCATGAGCCTTCCGAGGATGGTGAGATTGACAGCCCCATGGCTAAGCCTCAGGAGTCCGATGAATCGGACCAACCTTTCTTTATTGACAAGACCGGGAGCAAGCCTGTTCAACATTCAGGCTGGAACCAAGGGCTCAGTCTGGGTGCAAGAACGTCATTTGGGAAGCCAACCGCACATCTATTTCCGGCAAACTCAGCTGCTAGAGAAGGACCCATGTTGTCCTCCGCATCTTCGCGGCGCGATCGTAAAGACGAGGGTGCTCAATATGGTGGCGGTGGAAGAGAAGATGATGATGACGATGAGAGGGATAGAGACTATAGGCCGCCAACTGAATCGCCTGACGATCAGCAACCCGTCGGGTTTACCGTTGATGGAAACACATGGTATCTACCTCATCTGAGCTTTCGAGCCAAAAAGCATTCTGTTCATACGGCAGACTTCTCCAATGACAGAATCCATACCTGGATTATTGCATTTCTCGAGAGGAATGCCAAGCTAGCTGATCGCGTATCTACCAAAGTGGTCCGAGAAGGATTCAGTAGCCATCTAAACCTTAAAAAAGCCAATCTTTTCAAGGGCAGTAAAAAATATGCTGACGCTGCTACAAGTGCGGCTCAAAAGGCTATAGATGATGCTAGCCTTGGGGAACTAGTCGAGAAAAAGGTTAGGCAGTTTCAAACACGGAGAGGTAGAAATACCAAAGAAAACAAGGCCACTTCGGCCAAGGAGCTTAGCCAAGAAGATGCTGCCCCCGTTATAGATAAACGAGAGGAAGTATTAGGTGACGAAGACGAACTACGGCAACAACGAAGGTATTTCCCGTGGGCGGAAGATCCAACTCAGCACTGCTTGTCATGCTCCGGAATTGGGCATCATGCTCATGAATGTCCACAACGCAACTGTAAATTCTGCGGGAGCCAGGAACACGCTCTGTTCGGCTGTCCCACAAAGCAGAGGTGTTCCAAATGCCGCCAATTAGGGCATAGCAGCGCAAGCTGTGAGGAAAAACTTGCCCTCGCGTCGGATGAGCAAGGCGGTTGTGCGATATGCGGCGCCGAGCACGCAGAAGAACGGTGCTCCGAAATATGGAGGAGCTTCGCCCCAATCACTGATTGTCATCCGAAGGTAAAGGACGTCCCAGCGTTCTGCTACACTTGCGGCGGCGCAGGCCATTACGGGCCAGAATGTGGATTGCCAGATAGGGGAGATAAGGTGACAGGAAAGACGACTTGGTCGCAAGCTAATCGCCTTCTCTACATAGACCAGAATAGCCAGAATATTGCTATCGCTTGGGTCGGCGTGGACCAAAAAGAAGATTTCCACATTCTTGGAAGGGCAAAAAAGCAGACACACACTCACTTCATCTCTAGCGAAGAGTCAGAAGAAGAGCTTATTCATGCGCCTGTCAGAAAGGCAGAGCCTCGAAGTCAGATTAGGATAGCAAGCAACATCGGATCTTTAGGACAAAGTAGCAATCGTCCCCGATCGCGTCGCAATAACGACCAGAGTTATAGACGTCAGAACGAGAGAGAATTCTCGCCTCCGCCTCCACCTTCGTACTCTCAAGGCAACGGTACTTCGTCTTGGCAGCCACCTCTTCCTCCAGGACCACCACCACCACCCTCTCAGAGGAACGGATATCAGGGTTCATTGCCATCCGCGCCTACATCTCTACCTCCGCGTCCGCCAGCCTTCAATCAATCGCCCAGCAGAGGCGGTTCAGGCGGTAGGGGTGGTCATTTCAATCGAGGTGGTCGAGGTGGCCGCGGCCGCGGAAGGGGTAGAGGAGGACGAGGATAATGGTTTCATCACTTTAACAGCACGTTGAATACGTTAGATGAGTTATGTTCTTGCCAAGCCATTGCATGAATACCTAGCTACTGCCTGGATGCAGGACGGATGAGGTTTCGTGACTAATTATATCTGGTAGCCTAATATGAATCCACCGAACTCAATGTGAAGCGGGTTGATGTATGCTTGCTGTGTATTCGAGGCCAGATGCCGATCACTAACACGGTATTCATTGTCTCAAACAGCGAAGCACGTCTAGAGTATACTTTCCCATGTGCTTATGCGAATACTGTCTATAATTAATTGTCTATGATCAATTGTCTACATCGTTAGAAGAACATCTACCTTAAATCCCAGAAGATGTTAGTCGGCCCTATTATGTACTAACCAACCGGAGCCGGGTCCATTATATTGGTATCTTCCATGAGTCATTCCACCGCCCGGTTAGCTCAATCGGTAGAGCGTGAGACTCTTAATCTCAAGGTTGCGGGTAAGTTTATCATCCACGTCTGTGGTTCTTCTCACAATCACTTGTACCTAATGCTAACATTACCTTAAAGGTTCGACCCCCGCATCGGGCTCAATTCCTGATGCTTTCCAGTCTTCTGGGACTAGCAACCCTATCATTTTTTCTCCCCTTCGTCTATTTATTAGACTAGTGATTAGGGAAGAAATGTTTGTGGGTTCGAATACTTTTTGCTAGGGTTTATAACTAACTACTCGGAATAAATGTCGGGCCAATGTACGACAACTAAGTAGGTCGTTTCTACGTACGTTTGTCATCGTCTTAATAGTTCCATTTTTTTTTTTTTTGAATAAAACAAACTAGAATTATAGAAACTTCAACCCCTTATCTTCAAGAGTATATTCTAGACGTGCCATGCGCGATGGATCGGCGTTGTTATATTTAGCCAGGACTTAAAAGGCATATATCTTCGTCCAGAGTACATGAATCCAGCTCTAAAAATGAACACTTGCCATGTAGTTGAAGGTCATGGGCCCTTGTTCACATAGAACTTTGACTTATCAAGAACAATGTGAACCTTTTTATTGTTTGTCTCTAAGTAATAACACAATCCCCTTGTTACGAAGACTAGATAGAACAAGGCAACAACGACACAAGAGCATCCAGTGGTTTCAGTGCATGTTCACAGCTGAATGCGATCTCACAATGTGAATGGAAACAATGTATTTGTTCTCAATAGCAAGACTTGTACAAATATACCTCGCGCCGCCAATAAGCGTCAGAATATTGATTTATTCCACTTTGCCCTGAAAATGACTTCAGACCAACAGCAGATCACCAAGCCTACCCTTCCCAATCTACGATCAGTTCTCCACAACCTCCCAAACATCAGCAATGCACCGCGTAGGAGCCATTCCCAGCCAGGAGCCCAAAACGCACCGAGTCCGCGCATAAACATACCCCGTCTCGATACTGGGACTCCCGTCTCCGACCGGGAGAGAAAGGTACTCACCCCGGGAGCAAGAAACCCGAACTTTCTCCTCCCACCCCCCTGGCAGGTCCAGGCCAAGACCAGGGAGCCGAAAAGCCCGACGACGATGGACCTGGTGCTGGCAAACGCGGCGGCCAAGTCGAGGGACCCGGCTGCGCATACATTTTTCCCCCGGAGGCCGGAGAAATACACGGCGGCGTCTGGACCTCAAAAGGCCGCCGTGGGGCCGGTGTCAAGTCAGCTCCGGAGGACGACGGTCGCCAATTAGTAGCAGGTTGGTGAGTTTGATGAAGAAAGAAGGGCCTGAAAGACTTTGTTGTCATGGTGGTAGTCGTGATCTTGAAGGAATTGCTGACTATTGGTTGCCGTGACTCCGGAAATCTTAGCAATTGATTTTTCTTTGCTATTACTTTTCCTCTCTTCTTTGAAAAAAAAAAAAAAGAGGCACATGCCTGGTTTTAATGGTGATGGTTGCGGTTTTTTAGAATTTCTAACTGTTAGTTACCTACCATCGCCTCGACCTGTGGCAAGGAATGAGTATTTCAATATTATATATTTTTCAAATTTCCATTTACAGTTTTATATATCTTTCCTGGGAACCGAACCGAAGGATCTTATCTTATTCTAGAGTAGTTGGATATCTTACGTTGTAGGTTAGGATATATTAATAGTCTAAAATCGTGATAGGGAAAACAGAATACTTGAAAGTTAAACTTCATCTAATATAGTTTTACTCTCAGTCTCACGTAAGCTGGTTAGATAATTCGGTACCTATCTACTAGGCTAGTGAGTTTATCGTGACACATGAAGCCATGCTGGGCTGTTTGCTCTGATCACTAAGCCTGGTTATTTAAAATACCCCGAAGCGATGCTGCTCATCAAGGCATACGACTTTATATTTCAACTGTTGTTTACTAACTAGAGTTATTGAATAGTTAACTAGAAACATATTTTAGCAAAACGGACTTATCTAACATATCACTACACTAAACACACTTTCGTAATTAGTATATGTATACGTGTGAGATCTACCAATGTACATTCACGTGGCTTTCAGTAACGCAGTATTTAGCTATTTAGTAATAACTTGAGTGTTTATTTGTATTAAAAATATATTTACAATGATAGGCTTTCCGTCGATTTGACGATATCCCACTACAGTATATTTGACACACCCCCTCATGTTCAACCGATCACGGTCAAGGCTGGCATTCTTTTCTACTTTCAGACTCTTGCCTACTCGTAGCATCGATCCCTGGGGCTTCTTGGCATATAAATCTTGCGAGTGGTTCGTCTTACCAAGTGGCGAGGGCCTGTACGACTTAATCGGGTTCAAGCACAAGACTATTAATTATCGATCATGACGAGGTGGAACTAAACAGTAGTTAGTTGTTCCGCGAGGAGCTCTAACCTATCTACGGGGATCTGTGTCTATATATACTAAACATGGTCTTTGTTCTAGATGTCTCATCTAGAATCCTGTCAGATCATACCACTGCGCCACAAGGCAATTTCATAATCGCATGTACGTCATTACAGTATATCTGATAGGACTTGGGATTAGGTCGCATATTAGAAAGAGATATGTGAGTTTGGATGGGTAAGTGCAGTTAGTGATATGTGTATTGCCGCTCAGGTGAAGAGGTAAGCCCACCCTTCAGGAAAGGTAGTATTGAAGGGGCATTACCCTACCTATGTACCCTACCTATTATATTAACATAACCTTGCAGGAAGTTATATTAATCGGGTGCCTATCCGCGAATAAATTCCCCCGCCCCTCAACATCCCCGCGCCAATCCTTCCGTCTCCGGGATACTACCGCATATGCTCGCAGAATCTTGGATACTACGGTATATTAGGAATGCCATATTGCGTGGGTAGCTTTGTGCGGCGTAGATACCTAACTGAAACACCAATGGGGCTGAGAGTCCGGTGAACGTCGTTTTGGATGCGGTTGAAGGCGTTTTCGAGGGGTTGGAGATGGTGCATGATTGCGGCTGGATATATATTGGAGTAAGTAGATGTTTCTATCTGCGCGTTTACGCTCCCCGAAGCAATTCTATAGCTTCTAGGTGTAGCTAATAGGGCTAAGATTCGTTCGAAAAACAATCTTAACTTGAAGCCTTGAAAGAACTCCATTGCATGAAAATTCTGTATGAAAATTCTGTATTGAACTAAGCTTGCAGCGCGAATATATCGGCTATGGACTTCGAAGAAGCTATTCAGCTTGGCAGGCCCTCCGTGGGAGTGCCAACAATGTACCTCGTCTCGAGTCTCCTCATCATCGGCCTTTACGGCCTCTACCGCCAGCTCCTCCCCAAGCCCCTCCCTGGCATCCCCTACAACCCCCTGTCCGCGTCCTCGCTTCTAGGCGACGGCCCTGATATGGCGCGCACCGTCGGCGCAACTGGTGAGTTCGGCCCCTGGTGCGCGGCACAGATCGCCAAGACCGGCGCGCCGCTCTGCCAAGTATTCGTGCGCCCGTTCTCCCGGCCCTGGGTCTTACTAGCCGATTTCCGCGAGGCACACGATATCCTCGCTCGTCGTACAGCGCCAGCCCGCGACGTTGACTTTGATAAGTCTAGTTTTATTACTGATAGCATGAGCTGCCTGGGCGAATTTCATGCCGCCATGCGCGCGTCTACGCGTGAGGATGGCTTTAGGAGTAATAGAGCGCTTATGCAGGATCTCATGGCCCCGAAGTTCTTGCACGGCGTTATTGGGCCGATAGTGCATGGTAAGGGTTTGGAACTGGTGAGGCTGCTTGAGGCGAAGATGTTTCTGGCGGGCGAGAGGCCATTTAGTATTAAGGCGAACTTCGACTGCCTCTCGTTGGATGTTATGTTGTATTTCGCGTTTATGGCGAATTTCGAGCAGACAAACCTAGGTCCACAGATGGAATTGGTGTCGCGCATGACTGCTGCAGACATACCAAAAGGACATGTTGACGAACCGGTAACGTTTCCGGAGACGCCAGCCGGGCCGCTCATCGCCGCGGTGCGTTCGGCGCCGAAAGTAGTCGAAGACTGTATCGCCTCTTTAGTGCCGTGGCTTAATCTCTGGTGGTGGAAGAAGCAATCATGGTACAAGAAGATGTTTTTATACAAGTATCAAGTTCTTCGTGAGCAGTTTTTAAAGGCACTTGAGGACTATCGTAATGGCGAGGTGCGGTCAGCCGCTGCGTACATGGTGATGCGGGAGGAGCGGGAGGCAAAGAAGCATGGTCGTGCCCCGGAGTTTGATATTGACGTTCTTTCTGATGAGGTAAGTTCTATCATGTCTTCCTTTACGTTGGGTATACTGCGCTGATTAGTGTCTCCCCTAGCTTTTTGGTGAACTCATCGCCGGCAATCACACTACAGGCGGTGCCCTTGGTTGGCTTGTTAAGTGCCTCACCAGCTACCCGCACATGCAAGCCAATCTTAGAGAGTCCCTGTACGCCGCTCTACCGCAGGCTATCACAGAGGGCCGGCCCCCAACCTTCGAGGAGCTGCGACGGACACGGCTGCCTTACCTCGACGCATTTATCGAGGAAACGCTACGCCTCAATCCGGTCCCAGTAACGCGTGAGACAATCCGCGACACCACGATCCTCGGCCACCCCGTTCCTAAAGGCTGCCAGATCTTTCTGATATCTAATGGCCCGGGTTTCCTCGCGCCGTCCCTTGCCGTCTCCGCATCGGAGCGTAGCCCAGCAGCGCGAGAGACCAAATGAAACGACCACTGGGACGAGACGCAGGACCTACGAGTATTTAATCCAGAGCGATGGCTCATTCACAGCGGCGACGGAAATGCGAATGTGGAATTTAATGCTACCGCCGGGCCACAACTGGTGTTTGGGCACGGGGTGCGAAGCTGTTTTGGGAAGAAGTTAGCGCAGATGGAGTTGCGGATAGTATTGGCGCTGCTTGTGTGGCATTTTGTAATGTTAGAGATTCCCGAGGCACTTTCTGGAAACGAGGCGACGGAGGGGATTGCGCGAAGGCCGCAAAAGGTATTTGTCAGGTTGAGTAAAGTGGTTAACGTGTAAGAGGTGTGAAGTGAAATAGATGGACAATAATAATGATGGTGGATTTACTCTAAATCCCTAGGTTAGCGCCGTATTATAATGATACTGTATCAGCTACATGCTAAGCTAAAGGTCGGATAGTGGCCTATACACCAAGCCTAGGTAGCTTCTCACTATATCTACCTATAGTGGAACCAACTGCTGTAGCTTGCATAATACAGTGCGATTCGCACATAGCTTTACAAGGATTAGATTTACAAAGTCTTTGTAGAGGTTTAAACATATTATACACTTATCCATCACTGAAGTCTATTCTAATCTTTTTCATCAATGTTATAGAGGTATACAAAAATACCCCACTTCCGCCAAACTTGTTAAACCAATACATCATGCTTCACTATCCCAGTGCCTACTGCTGGGTATTTCCTGCAAATTTACTTCAGATGAAGTGGGCATCTCAGCACCTCTATCTTGATGAGAAAGTTTAGTCTTCCACAAATGCTGCGCTCCCTTGGAACTTTTGTTTTTGCTAGGAATAAACGTGGTAGCTGTGGATGACAGTTTCGTCAGCCTCTCTTTTAGACCTTGCATCAGCGGTTGTAGTACCGGAAGGCAAGCACACAAAGTGCCCAAGCACGGCTCAGCTACACCCCAGATTAATGGAAACCAAGATTTCCCCATTAGAAGATCATTGTTAGGTTTCTCTCTTCTAAATATGCTAGCTTGGCTTCGTGGGTAAGGGGTCACTCACAAGTTATATCAGACCGATCGTAGATTGAGTCTTTGGCTTCAAGGAAGCGGACAAGGCTGAGCACACACCTCCTGGTAGTTACGCAACCCACGTTAGTATTCATTTCAGGGGTTAAGAAAAGCGTATCATGTAATAGACTCACAAGCCACCAAGGGCGAATAAAACGACTAGCTCAAGCTTCCTAGATAGCGGCATCTGCAGTCCGATGATTGCTGGTAGAGGTAAGGCGAGAATTACGAAGTCCATAACGACGTCAGCGATCGAGCCAATTAGAAACAGTGATTCGGTGTCTAAGCAATGCCCCGGTATCGAGTCTTGCCATATTTTGGCGACTGGTTGGCATTGAAGGCCGTGAGCAACTGTTGAGCCGATCAACCAGCAGCTGACCATGACTATGAGGAACCTTGCGCTGAACCGGATGTAGTCTAGGATATGTCTTCCCAAGGTATCCTTCGTCGCTTTGTAGCTGTCAGTATTAATCTCGAGATAAGGTAAAATTCATAAATCATCCCACGTACTGTATGCGACACAGATAGCCTCTGCGAGGGCAACCGGCTTTGCAGTAAGGTGTAAGTAAAATGTATGAACATGTCATCCTCTCGAGTTGCACGACTTACCAAAGCCGCCAGTATGAGCCAATCATCAAGAGCAATACCGGCTCGTACCAATAAACGGCATTTGAACCGAAGGATTACCGCAACGATAGCAAGCACGCTGAACAAGGTTACGGCACCAATGACGGGACCTTGCTTGCTCTCGTACGCCCAGGCCGGAAGCGGATCCGTGATGGCTGACATTGTACTTGCTTTCTAGATATCTAGATACCTAACCTTGGCGCCAGGACTGGGATAAGGAAATGGGTTTACTGCAGAGAGCTCTCTTTTATCATCTGCGGACTAAGAAGGATAGGGAAAGCCGCACTTGGGGGATATTGGATTTAGAAGCAATTAACGATCTGAGTAAGACCATCATAGGGCTGTGCCGTCGGGTCACCAGCGATGACTACCAAGTTTGGAAGAGAGAGGTAGATTACCACCTACCATCTGTGCTCGCGGAATCCACCTTCTTTGGGGGGCGTAGCAGCGCTGTCATCATGTGTAGAAAGTGTGGTAGGACTATGGAATATAGGTAAGCAAGGCTGGTGCTACGCTTCCCGCTCTACACTTATGTAAGATCGCGGGAAGGGTTCATGATCGGCACTCATGCAGAGGACGGTAGGATTATAGGACACACGTAACGAAGGCTGATGTTATGTCTTGTTTTATAATGCGGGGAGAGGAGACATCAGCTTGGGGGTAATAGAACCATAGAACCATAATATATTTCATGATCAGCCATCGATAAGACCATTTACAATCAGCTCAACTGCCGTGTTATCTCTTGGCTTCTATACTTAGGTGTCTCACTACAATATCTGACTCTTCACAACGTAACGCGCCACCCTCGCATCTTTACCGAAAACATTCGGTTTTGGGCGCGGTAACACTGGAAACTCCACGCTCACTTTCCAAGACGTGCCAGTTCTCTTCCCTACTTCGGTCCACAGCGACTGGAATGTCGTCTCATCATGCAGGAATATCCTGAAATGTTCCACCTCGCCTGGCTTATCGCTGCCTATGTGCACCCCGAACAACACGGCTGGACTTTCTGCATTGGAACCGCGCCGAAAGAAACGTACAATGCGCTCGCAGATGACCAATTGCGATTCCCAGCTAAACAAGTGAAAGAAGTTCGACGCGTGTATGATGGAGATTTTCCCGTCGAGCGTTCCGGCCAGAGAGCTGATCGCATACTCTTCCTCTGGGAGCAGCATGTCTCCTGCAACAAAGGTCGCTTTCAAAGTCTCATGATCGCGGAACTGCTCATACCCCAGCTCGAGGAACTCGGCATGTAAGTCTGTGCCATACAGGCGCGACGAGTCGACGCCCTCGAAAGCGAGCCGTCGAATCGTCTGGTAGATGAAGCCACCTATTTCGAGGAAAGTATCCTGCGAACCAGGAGCCTTGAGCCGCTCGATGGTCTTTTGCATCTCCGGCTTGTCATCGCCGAATTCGAGGAGACGCAGGTAGGTAAAAGAGCCGACGCAGGGGTACTTGACGACTTCCCAAGCCTTGCCTCGCTATATGATAGAAGCGATTATTAGGAGAGATAGCCCTAGGTTAAGGAGTAGGTAACTGATTGGTAGGGATGATGTTTTTGTCTTACAATCTTGAAGATCTCCGCTTCAACTTCGCTCGGAGGGATCTTACTATACTTCTCCAGAACCTCACGAAACCGGCCGTATTCCCATGGGATCGTGTCGACATACATGTCCTTTCTCCATGTATCGTCGTCTCCGGCGCCAAGCTGCTTTTCCGTTTCCTTGCCCCACTTCTCTGAGTTAACGGCGCTGGCAATGCTTGTCATGTTGCGATATATTGAGACTGAGCTGACTACTACTTTATCAATTTACTTGTGAGAAAAGGGGAACAGTGCTACCCGGCTGAGGGTTTTGTTTTTATATTTTCTCTCGAAATCGAAATATGTACAATGTGCTTTTAATTCCTAGGGAACACCGGATCTTACGGAGGATTCCCCCAGGCCGATCCCCTTAACAGGCATAAGACATCACCCCCTAACACTTATTGACATAAAGGGAAAATACCTTGCGATATGCCTCTATAATGAATATAATTGGCCGGTTTAATGACGCAGAACCAGTTATCTTTACCCAATCTATATGTATTAATGGTGAAGCAGTGGAGGCGACAAAAAGCCAGCCCTACAAATCGACCTTATATGAGGTAGGGTCAGATAGCCGTGTAGTATTGTGTTATACTGGATCTTGTTTATGTAGTAATTGTTTTTAAGCATCCATAAAGTTATACCTACTAGCCTTCCATAGTAGATCTCCTTGTTAACTCATGGTAGTCATCTCTATCAAGTGAATACTGCTTTATGTGTGATTGGATAATATTGAGCCATAGTGAGCGTTGCCCAGTAATTGGAAGCATGCCTACCTAGGTAGGTAGGTAGGTATAGTAAGGATCGAATTGTACCTTGACAAGATAGCTTCTCAGCAGAGAATGTAATGTAGCGAAAACTAGAATCCGCACGCAGCTTGTAAATGAGACCTCAGGTTTACTCTGGTTTCTTTTCCCCCTTTGCTCTAACTGAGCCTTTTGCATTTAGATTGACGTGGCTCCTAACCACTTCTTTCAATTGACTCTCCACTTATTGCCTTAGATATACTTCCAGCAAGCCCAGTGGTCCGATTGCGTGCACTTTGTGGACTTCATATCGCGCATCCGCCTCTTTCAGCAACGCCTCGAACTCCGTCCGACAGCGCTGTTTGCCGCCATAGCTAATCAACACGATCATATCAATCTGCCGGATATCCCGCTCTAGCAGCCGTGGCCAATTATCGCCGGGTTCGGGCATGATGATATCGTTAATCAGCAACGGGGTAGCCGGCCCGGAAACTTCCAGCCCGGGGACGAAGGACCGAAACATGGTCACGACGTCTCGATCGCACCAATTGTGCGTACACTAGCGGAATAGGTATGCCGCTGCGGGATCATTCTTCCGAAGCGGCTGCGGCTCGAAGAAGCTGTGCTGCACGAAAGTAATGCGTTCCCTAACGTCGTCGGTCAGGAGCGCGCGGCCTTCGGCGAGCATGTCGTTCGAGCCATCTTGTACGACAAATTTGAGATGTGGGAACAACTACAACGAAGAACAATGTAAGATATGCAGGTAACGTATTGAGGGGAACAGGGTTGGGACAGATTGAGCTTTAGATATACGTACTCGAGCCAAAGCTATCGATATATGGCCGCTTCCACCGCCAACATCGACAACAGTGCCTCTGAGCTCTCCCCAAGAGAAGCAGTCCCGTAGTTCCTTGATGTGGAGGCCCATTCTAGTTGCCCCAGCCATAGCCCTCGCAAAACGCGCAGCTTTATCCGGGTACTTGGCGTAGTACTCGAAGACTGGAAGCCCGTGTCTCGTATAGAAGGGACAATGGGTACTGTCCGATTCAAATGGATGCTCTTTGAGACTGTCGCTTGACTCCGCCGCTGCTTTTAGCATCTCGTCGAACCTGTCGTTATAAGTAAGTTAGGACTCGAAGACATTAGAGTTGTCAGAACTCACGAGTAGTGTACGGTACACCTTAACTCCTCATCTTCCAGCAAGACAAGCGAGCTCGCGCTATGCGATACATAACCCTGCCTCTTCTCCTCGAAGATACGGTAGGTTATCAACATACGCACAACGCGGCTGGTCCGATCTAAATCCAAGCCCGCCTTCTCCGCCAAATCTGCCAAGGAGATATCTCCGTCCGGGGGCACGAACGAGAAGAAATTGAAGTCTAGAGCGATCTGCAAGGCAGCGATGTCATATCCTAGAGTCGTAAACGACCGTAGGAAGCGCCGCGGGCCTTCGACCAGCCGCTGAAGATCCTCAATGGACGTCCGCAGGCTACTCTGCAGCTTGAGGTACTCATTTGTGGCGGTGGGCTCACTTGGCTTGAGAGAAAACGTAGGCACGGCAAGATTATTCGTTTGGAAGTATAATGGGGCAAAAAAATAAACGTTAAAAATATAAACGCGTAAAATCGCGTATATTATTTTTTACCTACTCTTATCTTTCAACAATGGCTCCTACACTACCATCTAGTCTTAGAAGGCTTAAAAAATACCTATTTTCTTATAGAAGAATAAAGATTGGATTTATTGAACTGGTGCTGGGGTATCAGGTGACTTTGACCCTGATCATGTGATCATATTCTTAGTATAAGTACCATTTATGGTCGCACACACCCATTTTACATAGTATCATCCACTTTTAATACAAGTCATTCCTTTTCCTTCATCATCAACATCATCTAAAAGTCCTTGGTATCAGGTCTAATAGGGCTTGATCCAAGGCCAAGATTTCTAAGTCTTGTTCAATATTCCGAATTATTATTAATGTAGGAAGGACCAGGTATGGGTAATAATTAGGTAAGGATTAGGTGTACACCAATAAGCGTACGGTAAAGGAAAGGGAAGGAAACGAAACACACGGTACTGAAATGAGGCTATCACGATCTGTTGTTGTCTGTTGTTGAGTTGTGTGTGTGTGGGTTAGCCTAAAAGGTAAACCCTTTTAGGCTTAGCCCCACGCACGTGGTGGCACGTGACTAGATTACATAATTGGCTATTCCCCATATTCCAACAATTAATACCTTTAAATATTATTTTATTAAATTTACTTATACATATAATATTAAAAGTATAAATTAAATTTAAAAAAATATTAAATAAATTAACCTTAATTATATCGAAAAAAAATATTTGCTATTATTGAAATAAAAAGGTAATGGTATAATAAAAGGGTAATGGCAGGGTAAAAAAACTTTTAACGTTTATTTTTTCAAGTTACTGTACTTAGCCGCAGCTTTGGTCTGCTCGAGAATACTTTCTGCAAGAGCAATGAAGGAGGCGCCTTCACCGGTGGCACTCTCAGTGCTTTGTGATTTGTTATCTTCCATGATGTGCTTTTGGTCTAATACAAGTGTTAATCCAGAGTGAGGCTTATGGTATTCTCAAATAGGGGACTGCTCGACACTAGACCAGGGAAGATCCCTTATATCCCTTTACAACAGGTAAATACAATGCAACCATCAGGCCTTCGGTGTGCTAATTCACGTACCACTTTATGCAGGAGTTATATATGAATATCTCATGCGATCTTCATGTCGGCTCCCTTATCTCGCCTTGTCTGCAGGACTGTATATATTGGGTAATATCAGGCGCGGTGCTGCAGCAGAAGGAGACATCAAGCCGAGTTACAGATGCAAGCCTGTTTATGCAAGACCCCTCAACCTACTGACCAATAAGCTAATTGCGTAGAAATGCCACGATACGAGCGTAAAAGGATTTGTGCTTGCCAGGGGGTTGGTTAGTCGCTGGAGGCAACGTGAATAAGACGACAGGGCTCTTCCCAACGATCAATACTAGCTCTCGACACTGCAGGATCGACAGCAATACTCTTTATATTACTTCATTGCTTTACGAAATTTGGTATCATGGCGACTCCGGCGAGTTCCAACGGACAGCAAAAGCCCAATGCTGAGCTTGTGGCAATTGCAGGCATGGGTTAGTTCATACTTCACCCAAGCCAGATTGTAGTTCTCAAGGCACAAGATTATTCAAGAAACCTAACGTTATCTAGGATGCCGATGGCCCGGCGGCGTGGACTCTCCCCGTCAGATGTGGTCCTTCTTGCGGAACCAAGGCTCCGGCTTCCGCCCCTTTGACTCCGCATCCACGCCGCGATGCTTCTCAGCCGCCGGGTTCTACCATCCGAACCCGGGGCGGCCTGGTACGACGGCTACACAGGGTGCGTTTCTCGTCGACGGCGATCCACGGTTATTCGACCACGCTTTCTTCGGCATAACGGGACGCGAGGCCGAGACTCTCGACCCCTCGCAGCGCAAGCTGCTCGAGGTTGTATATGAGGCATTCGAAAACGCTGGCGAGACATGGTCTTCCGTCGCTGGATCGAACACTGGAGTTTTTGTCGGGAACTTCGCGCTGGACCATTGGGTAATCCAGACGCGTGATTGGGATTATCCCAAGCCATATTCAACAACAGGGGCGGCCGTGAATATGTTGGCAAATCGAATCAGCCATATCTTTGATCTACAAGGACCGAGGTATGGAACGTTGAATAATCTCGATTTCCGTTTTCGTCTTACAAGTTACCGTGATTGCTAAATATCAAGATTCGAATAGCGTTTCCGTTGACACGGCTTGTTCTTCATCCATGTCCGCCGTGCATTTAGCTGTCAGCGCGATCCGTAACGGAGATTGTGACTCGGCTATCGTAGCAGCGGCGAATTGGATCGCGGATCCTAGTCTACACATCGCACTCGATAAACTAGGGGCTCTCTCTCCTACCTCAAGGTGCCACACGTTCGACGCATCTGCTGACGGATACGCTCGTGGCGAAGGCTTCGCGGCATTGTATCTTAGACGGCTATCGGTGGCAGTTACAAGCCAGTCACCTATCCGCGCTGTGATCAGGGGCACTGCCGTTAACGCAAACGGTCGCACCGGCGGAATCACGCGCCCTAGTGCTGCTGGTCAGGAGGCTGTTATTCGTAAAGCATACGACAATGCCGGGCTCCCGTTCTCGGATACCACGTATATTGAGTGTCACGGTACGGGCACCCAAGCAGGAGATCCGATTGAGTTGGCGGCCGTAAGCCAGGTCTTTTCGTCTGACAGGACTCCAGAGGCAGATAGTTCCGGGCCTCTATTCGTCGGCTCTGTCAAAACTAATATGGGCCACGCCGAAGGGGCAAGTGCTCTAGCAGCCATCATGAAGATTGTGCTCTCTTTAGAAGCAGGCGAGATCCCTCCAAACGTTGGTGTTAAAGTACGAAATCCAAATATTGATTTTACCCAGGCTAGAATACAAGTTGTCAAAGAGGTTATAGCTTGGCCTGAACATAGACTTCGTAGGGCTAGCATTAACTCGTTTGGGTTTGGAGGTGCCAACGGCCACTGCATTATCGACCATGCCAGTGTCCTCTCTCTCGACCGCGTAAGATCTAGTCTTCGTGCGAGCTTGAATTCTAAGCTCAACGGAAATGAGGAACAGAACCGGGAAGAGCAAACACATCACCATCGTCCTATCATCAACGCACCGAACATGACAAGAACTACCAACGCGACAACTCGGCAACTCGTGCTACTCCCCTTCTCCGCACATAGCACGTCTTCTCTTCAGCTTAATATAGACGCTCTTTCACTTGATATATATCAACACCAACTTGCAGATGTGGCTTATACACTCAGCGCCAAGCGTTCCAACTTGCCATATAGGGCTTTCCGCGTCGTGAACAGGGACAATCCCGTGCTGGGTCTACTCAGCGTGGAAAGCAAGCCAGGTATCCATGCAAGCTCAACCCACCAGCAAGATCGACAACCAGCAAACGTAGCCTTTGTGTTTACCGGTCAAGGCGCCCAATGGCACGAAATGGGTCTGCAACTTTTCGAGTACCGCGTATTCCGCACCGCCATCGAGCGTCTCGATTATATTCTAAAGTCACTACCGATACCTCCGTCTACGTGGTCAATCACCGACGTCCTCAAGGGCAACTGTGACCATGGAATTATACAGACGCCAGCGGTATCCCAGACCGTCTGCACAGCAATTCAGATCGGGCTAGTTGACCTACTCGCCTCGTGGTCTATCCGCCCCGTCGCCGTAGTTGGCCACTCGTCGGGCGAGATAGCCGCATCATATGCTTCAGGACACGCTACGGCTGCAGAAGCGATCGTAGCGGCGTATCTACGTGGCCAGGTTATCGTGAATGATAAGCAGGAAGGGGCAATGCTGGCCGTGGGTCTCGGGCCGGATCAGCTTCAGGATTCGGGATACCTACACGGTGAAGATCCTAGAAATGGTCGAATGCAGATTGCCGCCGTCAATTCCCCTGGCAGCGTCACCGTGTCCGGGGATGCGCCGGCTGTCGAGGCGCTTGCTGCCCGCTTGAGCGTCGACGGGATCTTCAACCGTTTATTGAGAACGGGAGGCATCGCGTATCATTCGCATCACATGATTGCGCTGGGTCAGGAGTATGAAGATATGCTTCTGCATGGACTCCAGCATATAAGGCAGTCCGGGTTAGTTGACGAGCAGAACCGGTATCCTCGTGTTCCGTGGATGTCGTCTGTTACCCCTGACAAAAATCCACCATCCAGTGTCGCCGGTAGCGCCGCGTACTGGAGAGCCAACCTCGAGTCCCCAGTTCGCTTTTCCGATGCCGTCTCAGATCTGATCAGGCGGGACGCCAATTGTGCGCCTAGCCATGATCCCATTAAAGTGCTGGTTGAGATTGGACCCCATTCCGCATTGAAGGGGCTACTAGAGCAGATCTTGAAAAGTACGGGCCAGACCCAGATCACGTATGCCGGCTCTACTTTGAAGAGAGGCGAAGACGCCCGCAAATCGATCATGCAGCTCGGTGGGACACTTTATTGTCTCGATGCTAGGGTCAACCTCGTTGCTCTTAACGCGGTCGACAACGACGATGACCGTTTATATGGAGAAGAGTTAGATGATAGATGTGCTCTCGTTCATGGATGTACCGCTGTTGATCTCCCGCCATATAAATATACATATGGGCCAATAAACTACTATGAATGCCGCTCAAGCAAAGAATATCGTCTCCGGAAAGTCCCACGACACGACCTACTCGGTTCCAAGGTCCCCGGTGTTGCGAAGTTAAGACCTCAGTGGCGAAACATACTGCGCGTGAAAGACCTGCCTTGGCTAGGTGACCATCGATTATTACCAGGTAAGCCGGTACTCCTCTAATAATGCTATTCATCTTCACCTTTATCCAATTGCACAGCCTAATCATATCTCTAGATGCGGTTTTCCCTCCTGCAGGGTACATTGCCATGGCCATAGAAGCCGCACTGCGCACTTATGAGGAGTATCCCCAGCCATGTCCCAAGCCGACAGGATACGTGCTACGCAACGTGTCCATCAACACGGCCCTAAGGATACCGGAAGATGACAATGGCATTGAAGTCATCCTAAGCATGGAGCTTGACGCTGCTCCGACGACATCGACTTCGTGGGCGCATTTCTCCATTATCTCTGCTGGACGGGCCGATGTTGATTCCACTGATAGCACATGGACTGAGCACTGTACCGGGATGGTCAAGATAGAAATCGGAACCTTGTATGACACGGCCGAGAAGATCGATACATCATTCATGGATGCCCGCCTAATCGATGCACGATCGTGGTATAAGACGTTTGCAACTACCGGGCTTGGATACGGCCCTACGTTCCGGGCAATCACCAACATTCGCGCTGATCCAGACAAGAAGCTCGCCTCCGCCACGGTAGCACTCAACACTACGGAAGGTATAGTCCGGGGAGGCGAGTCACGATATGCGATTCACCCGGCAGCTCTTGACGCTACTTTCCAGCTCGGGCTTATTTCCTGCCACGGAGGCCGTGTCGAAACTGCCACAACTGCTTTCGTGCCGGTTCATTTTTCCCGACTATATATCAAGAACGGCATCGACGATGAATGCCGCGACACTGCCGAGGCCGTTGCACTAGGTGAATTCCGCGGCCTCAGGGGCGCTTATATAAACCAGTTACAAATTCTAAGTCAAAACGGCGACGTGGTTCTTGATATCGAAAAGCTCCGGTGTATCAGCTATATCGGCGAGGCACAGATCAGCGATCAGACTAAGAGTGGTGTGCAGCCGGCATTCAGTGCCCCCTTTGCACGGATGGTGTGGAAGCCCGATTTTCGCTCCCTGAACTACCAGTCGTGCGGTACACTATTCCCTCCGCCTAGAGAAAATGTAGATCGTCTTGTTTCTATAGAGAAGTTGAATAGGATGGCCTGCTTTATCCTCGCGGACGTGTATGAAACATTCACGAAAGGTAATGATGAGACCAGGCCATCCCCTACACCATCGGGGACTGTAGGGCACTTTTTTGCGTGGATCAAGCGGTGCATTGAGAAGGCTGAAATCTCCGAGATAGCCAGAGCTAAACAACTGCCCCCCCTGGAGCGGCATGAAATAATTAACCAGCTCTATCGTGAAACCAAGGAGGCCCCCGAGGCCCAGATAGCCAAACGCTTACATGAGAATATGGCCGATGTTCTCTTTGAGCGTCACACTGGTATCGACATCATAGTCCACGGCAACGATAATATCAACCTTCTATCGGAGCTATACCAGCGCGGCATCTTCATGACAAGCGCATACCCGCAGCTCTCGCGAATCTTGGATAGTCTAGCCCACGCGAACCCACACCTACGTATTTTGGAGCTTGGTGCTGGGACCGGCGGCGCTACGCGTGTTGCTATGAAGACGCTCACGGGACCTAACAGTATTAAGCGCTACCGCGAATACATCTTCACCGACATCTCGCCTGGTTTTCTAGCTGCAGCGCAGGCATCTCTGGCCGAATTCCACGATGTTGGTTACTCTGTCCTGGATATAGAGGCGGATCCCGCAGCGCAGGGCTACCTGCCGGTATATGACGTCGTATTGGCCTCGCAGATTTTGCATGCGACGACCAGCATCTCGGAAACGCTCAAGAATTGCCGGAAACTTCTCAAGCCGGGAGGGAAGCTTATATTGGTGGAAACCACCACAACGGACAGCGTAATCATTGGGCTCCTCCTAGGGACATTGACTGGGTATTGGCACGGGATACCTGGCGGGAGGCTAAACGGCCCATTTGTAAACCTGGAAACGTGGGATCAAGTCCTGAAAGGGGTGGGCTTTTCTGGTACTGAACTGGTGTTAGATGACTACCCTCCGCCGAATAATGTCATCACTACCCTAGTCTCAACGCTTATGGGAGGCGATAGCGCACAGCAAAAGAATAAGAAAACAAACGGAGTCTTGGCAGGTGTCGAAGTTCAACTTCTCCACAGCCTTGAACATAACCCGCCGCTTCTTGATAGACTCCAGCATGAGTTAGAACAACGTGGTATATCACCCCGAACCGCGTCGCTCGACCAAGCGTCCGAGATAGTATCCCCAGACGCCTACGTAGTGGCCTTCCTAGACGGCGAGAAGGACTTTCTTCTCGATACCGAAGTGCATCACCTTGCCACGTTTCAACATCTCGCGCGTAATGCAGCGACCTTGATCTGCCTAACGTTCTGTGGGTTTTCAAGAGGTCGAAACCCCGAAGGGGCGTTGATCCCCGGGCTATTACGAACGATCGGGACGGAGAACCCTGCGAATCGATTTATCTCAATCGATATTTCTGTCGAGGATTCCGATCTTGCCACGTACGACTCTGAAGATCTCACTCGCTGCGTGGTGGACCAACTTTTCCCGCCACCTAGCGAACTTAAAGATAGCGAGGAGAGCGAGGGTCTTGGAATGAATGACTGCGAGTACGTCTGGCAAGACGGCTGTCTCTGGGTCAGCCGGGCTGTGCCTGACGACACTTTTCGGCCATACGCAGAAACATCACCCGACGAGAGCGGAGGCCAACATAACGAGACTTTGTCGTTGCAGCCGCTCGATAGTCAAGGTCCCATCCGCGCAGCATTCTCTAAGCCCGGCCTGCTCAGCTCTTTGTACTTTCGGCCCTACAAAGAACTGTTATCACCGATACAATCGAATTACATGGACGTCAAAGTTGCCGCGGTAGGTCTTAACTGGAAGGACCTCGCCGTCTCGTCCGGTCGTTTCGACGCCGAAAATCTGTCATCCGAATATGCCGGCATCGTGACAGCCGTGGGTACCGACGCGGCTAGCTTGTTTTGCGTCGGCGACCGCGTGTACGGCATGGGCTGCGGCCACTTCGGGAACTACACCCGCGTCCCGGCCGCGTTTGCGCAAAAGTTAAGCGTTCAAGATAACCTCGTCGAAGCTGCGACTATGCCCTTGGTGTACATGACAGCTGTCTACGCGCTTGAACACGTTGCCCGCTTGCGGCAAGGACACAAAGTCCTTATTCAGTCCGCCACTGGCGGACTCGGGCTCGCAGCTATCCAGCTCGCGCGGGCGAAGGGTGCCGAGGTCTTTGCTATGGTGGGCACGGCCGAGAAGGCGGATTTCTTAATCCGAGAGATGAAATTTCCAGAATCACACGTCATTGCAATCTCATCAGGGGACGGCGCGTCTGCTATAGACAAAAAGCTCGCTCGTATGACATCTCGCGGCCGTGGCTTCGACATAATACTTAGTACGGCTCGAGGAGATATATTGCATGCGTCCATTCAAGCACTGGCACCGCTAGGTCACCTAGTTGACGTGGGACGTACCGACGTACAGGAATCCAAGGCTTTGAGGATGGAGCTTTTCGGCAAGAGTGCTAATTTCTCCTCGTTTGACCTCTCACTTGTTCTCGACGCTGACCCCGCGCTCGGCAAGCAGTTAATGCAAGCCGTTCATAAATATTATCGGGGTGGGCTTATTGGGCCCGTTCGCCCATTCTCAGCCACTGACGTATCTAAACTTGACCAGGTCTTGTTAAGGTTCTCTAAGGGTACGCATATCGGTAAGCTGGTGGTGACCTTTCAGGACCCACAGACACTGGTTAAGATGCTCCCAATACCGTCCCAGGAGCGTGTCCGGTTCGATCTTGCGGCATATTACATCGTAGCGGGAGGACTTGGTGCTCTCGGGAGGTCTATTATTAGGTGGATGTGCCAACGCGGAGCTCGCAACCTAGTAGTCTTATCTAGACGTGGAATAGAGGAAACGTCCCCTGCAGCGCAAAACCTCGTAAACACGCTCGGTGAGCAGGGCATCAATATTCAACCCTTAACATGCGATATCAGCGATCGGTCTCAAGTAATACGCCTCATAGAGAATATCTCATCAGTCTCCCCAAATACTCCCGTCAAAGGTATTATTAACGCCGCTGTCTCCTACCTCGACCTCTCCTTCGACAAACTGACCGTCCAGCGATGGCGCGACGGCCTAGCCGCTAAGGTCCAGGGGAGCAAGAATCTACATGAGGCAACCTTGTCTCTCCCCCATGGACAGCTAGACTTCTTCGTCATGGTTACCTCGCTTGATTCTATCTACGCAGTAGCTACGCAGAGCGCATACACTGCCGCCAACGTATTTCAGGATTCATTTGCGAGGTATCGCCGACGGCTCGGCATGCCTGCAACTAGCATATCATTAGGATTTGTCAAGGGTATTGGCGAGCATGGTCAGCGCTCGATCACAGTAGATATGTTTGCGCGAAACAAGGCGCCGATACTCTCAGAGGGAGAGTTCCTTGCCCAGCTGGAATCGGCGTTCCTTAACGACGGCCTGACCATCAACAATGGCAACGGCTATGGCTATGGCGACAACTGGGTTGGCCAAGCCGAGGATCCCCTTTCTACTTCCAACATTCTCACTTGTCTAGACCCAGCTGCAATGGCGGCTACGGAACGTGATGAGGAGGACGAAGCACGCAATGCGAGCCCGGCCCGGCCGTCGAGGAACGCCATACCTCGCTGGTACAACGACGGTCGCGTCTCGCTTATTATGCGCGCTTTCGAGGACGCGCGACGAAACCAACGCACAAGTAGCTCTTTGGACGCCGGGGCGGCAGCAGCGCAGGGAGGCGACGACAACGCCGGTAAGTCATCTATCAGTCGCATCCGCCGACAATTCGATACATACATTACCGCAGAGGCCCCGGAGCGTTCCAAAACAGTTGGCTTTGTCACAGACGCCATATCGACGGCGGTAGCTGAGATGCTCTTCGTAGACGTCTCGAACGTCAATCCGGGGCGGTCCGTGGCTAACCACGGCGTCGACAGCCTGATCGCGGCGGAGCTGCGAAACTGGTTCCACCAGGCGCTAGGGGCGAAGATAAATATGCAGGAGCTGCTAGATGCGAGTTCGAGTATTGCGGCGCTAGCGGGTAGGATTGTAGATGCGGCGTTAACTAAGAGGCAAGATGTGCAAGAGGATAAGTGAGGAATACATATAGATAGGACTGATAGCTAAAGAGAAGGCATTTTCTCAGGTGAACTTTGACTGTGTACGGTTTCTTCTTACCCTCCTAAACCCATATAAAGCCCTATAAACCGCTAATAGTATAGCCTTCAAAGGTGCGAATATAGTATTCGGTAGGACGAGCTTGGCACTTTATCGGCCTATAGACGATAACTGCCTGCGGGCTTTGTTTGATGCGTGAGACGAAGTAGTTAAAAAAAAAAAAAAAAAACTAAGACCATACAACCATACAGAAGTCTTTTTTTGCCTCGTTGTCGGAGTATGTCGCAATGTGATATCCTAGCTAGTAAGAAGCGAGGAGACTAAACGAGTCAAGATGATAGTCCAAACGCAGATGTATACTCATATCACGAACGGAGCCCCGAGCGCCAGGAGAAACTTATTTATCATCTGAGACAACTCAGCCCTGCCCGTACTGACGCTGGGAAGTCCACTGTCCTTAGTCGGTCAAATATACACACAGCCTAAGCGCGCGGCCATGCCTTACTGCTATGTTTTTTACAAGAGATGCAGTGGCTTTTTTCATCAGCTTACTTCCCATCCCTCGCGGGTGATACTTGCTAGGATTCTAGATGATATCTGGAGCAAAGGACGGTCCTAGACGCCGGCCTCGATAATTTAAAGATTAATTCCTTTGCGAGACAATCCTGTTGTTTCCATGTCTTCTAGGTCCACTTCGTGATATCAACATGATAAACAAGTACGAAAGCGAGCTGCACAATTCCTGTAATATCATCCTGCTGAGAAATTAATTATAGTAACTTAGTATATTGTCGATCTTGTAGATGTTTTGTCCGGTTTAGAGATGATCTGGACAACGTTACCATGCACTCCGGGACCCTCGGGTTCCTAAAATTTGGAAGGAATGCATGATAAGTATACACGATTCTGTCGTGAAATTCCACAAAGTTCATAAGAAGAAGTAAACAAACCTTTACCATTCAAGAAATCATGGACTTAATATTATGGTACCGTAAAAGCATCCAGGTCGGAAAGAATTCCGACATGACTATGTATTATAAGATTGACACAAGTTCTAAGCTATGACATGGCTAGATTCCCGGCTAGATTCCCGGCTAGATATATTGGGTTAGTCTAGCATTGACGTATGAGGAAGAACGGGACTTTTGGACGGTTCTTTTGTTTCGCAAATGAGAACTTCTTAGCGGCGCCGTTGATTCGCTGGATTTCGTATTCTTCAGCGAATGGGAGAAAAAGTCCCATGTCGGGTTATGCTAGCGAAGCAACGCATAGATTTGTTGGTAAATGTATGTCTGCATGGCTTTGGGAAACAGGCAGTTGTATGACACTAATTGCATGGATTCTGGAAGGAATCTGCGCGTGTTGGAAGTCGAATCTGAAAATCGAAAATTAGTCCCTTGCAGATGTCCGTAGCGGTTCCACAGCCCGTTACCAATTGCTATCCTGGCTCTAGGTTAGATCGTGAGCCCGGTCGCTGACAAGATACCAAATAAGTATTCCTTGGCACTCCGCGATTCTGCCCTGGTCTTTAAGTCATCAAGAGTCTTCTACAACGTAACATCAGAAGCATAAGTATATAGATGCTGAGTGTGTACAGCTTAAATAACCCTTTGATGATAGAATATGTGTGTTTTGGTTTATAGATCTAATACAGCGGTCAGTAATTCTTTAACTATATATTTGAGATGAGTAGCAGTATGAAAACCTCGATGCTTAAGCATTGGAGGAATAGTAGCATCTCTCTTGGCCGCAGCGGAAGCAAAAGAGAAAAAGGCGAGAATAAGACTGCAAGGAGACGGTCCACCCAGATCGTTGTATCCCCTCTCAGCACGATCGAGCCTCCCGAGGCGCCTTCAGAAGTGATGGATAGTACGGCAACCATGAGTGAGGCCACGCCCCCGTCAAAGGGAATTAGCCTCCACGTAACAGTATACATTGCGCCTGAGAACGTCGGAAGGTTTTTAGTTGCATTCAAAACTATATTCGACGTTGTGGCTGCCGAGCCCGAATGTCTTTTCTTCGAAGTGTTTAAGTCCGTGGAAGAGCCAGGGAAGTTAAGCTGGATAGAAAACTGGTATGTTGTCACCCTAAAAGAGAGTCCAGGATATGTATTAACCAGATGATAGGTCAAAAGATATACAATGGTTCCTACAGGTCAGTCTCCGTTGTCTTACCCCCGAGTCGTTGAATGGGACGAATAAGAATCAAACCTAACCTGTGTCAAAGCACCAAATGACCAAGCCGTATTACAAGGAATACTTAGAATTTACTGAGCCCATGTTTCTTAAGCCACGGGAAGCTCGCATCTTGGAACCCCTAGGACCCGAATTCTCTATGATCAAGGGGGGGCGACTGGGAGTTTAATACCAGTTCGCAATTGTCGACTGACCACGATGATAATTCATACTGATGATGCCACACCATATTTAATACCCGCGTCTGGAGATAGAAAATTTTAATCACTATGGGTCGGAGGGGCACGAAAGGGTTATGATAATATGAGCAAGGATAAAAGTATTTGCATAGTAATGTATAGTGAGGTAGCGAACAAAGAACCAAGCTACCTCTTATTCCTCCTATCCTACAATGAAGATTCCAAGTACTCGAAGAAACGTGTGTAAGCAATGCCCACGAGACGAGTTCCCAAACGATAGCGCAGAAGCATTGTCGTCGGTCCCGCCTCGGCTGCAACACGCCGTCCCAAGCGATGGCGTAGAAGCACTGTCGCTGGCGAGTCTTTGGTTGAGGCTCTCGAATGACAGCGTATCCAAAACACAGATGGGGTATCATATGAATGCGCCAAACCCAAAAAAGAAAAAAGATTGTCAGAAAGGCATCGAAAATGAACCTGCGTGTACGCCACTTCCCACAAGACGGGCAAAAAGCGATAGCGTTCCAGCATTGTCGTCTCGCCCGTCTTTCATCCAGATCCGCCAATCCTAGCGATGGCGCAACGGCACTTTCGCCATGAGAATTCCAGTTCTCCATGTCATGTGCGTATCGAACCTCTAATGGGCGTGTCTCGTATTAAGAAGTCGTAAAAAGTCGAGTGAGATTGAAGCGAAAAGTATAAATGACAGGTTGAACTGTCCAGATCACGAAGAGCAACTAGTTTCTGATGGCTAGGCTGCTAGTTGTTGAAGATCACAGCGGAGAATAGCCCATCTCCAGAGTATACTGGAGTATACAACTACGTTCTCTTCCGCCACCATATGCGGCTGAACCCGCGTTGCTGAAGCTCACGGCGGGCTGCGCCGTCTTGGAAGCCATCCATGCTGTCAACTGTGGAGCTCCCACTGCTGCTAATCTTATGACTAGGCTTATTACCAATGGCTTTTAGAGCGACGAACATGACGATACTGCTTAAGATACTGACGCATAGAATACCAATCATGACCAAGTTGCTTCGGCGGTACTGATGAGGCCCGGGAGCGGCGTCTGCCGGCCAACCTGTGTATAGTGCATATGTCGTCGTAATGCTACCGAGGTTTCCAAGACCCGAAACTAGTGCCGACGCAGCAGCTACGCCGACCTCCCCGTGACGCTGTTGGAATATTTCATTGGTCCAAGTCATACAGATAGGGACCGTCGGACCAAGGCCGAAGCCTACCATGAGAAGACCTCCATACCTTGCCCAAGAGTTCGAGGTAGGAGCAAAGGTAACGGTGAGAAGGCCGGCAATTTGGATACAGACAGCACAAGAGAAGAACAAGGGACGTAGGCGGTAAAATCGATCCGAGATGGGAGTGACGAGCAGGATTGCGAAAAAATCCATCTGTCGAAGTTAGAACCGAGAGACATATACCTGGCAAGTGCAGACTTACGATCCAAATTGGGGCGAAGAGAAGACTGAGCTGTACCCCGGTAAATGATGGGTTGATACCACGGATGATCACTGTGCCGTAAAGTTGAGTGCCGATTCCGACTCCCACCACGCCGAAATACATAAGAGTAAGCGGCCAAAGCCTCCAGTCAATCAGGACGTAACCTAGATCCTTGAGAGTCCAGGGTCTTGAGTGGTAGACTCGCTTGAGGTCTTCATAATGAACTAGAGCATCTTCACCCGTCAGAGCTTCAGGGGTCGGGGGAAGCCATTTCATGAAACTTGAGCGCTCCCTTTGTTGTCCTGGGGGTAGCGGACGTTCGGGTAACCACCATAGTAGAGTCCAACCAAGGAGCACGGCAAGAAGTCCATAAATAAGGAACATCCATTGGAAACCGACCAGACCACCAACGCCGTCCATCAGTTGGAATCCCGCCGATACCAAGCCCACCACGGCGGCCGAGATCTGAGAGGCCGTAAAATACATTCCGATTCGTTTTCCAGTCCGAGAGGGGGGATAGAAAAGAGTCAAGTAATAGGACATCCCAGGCCACATGCCGGCAATTACCATACCAAGCAGGAATCGTAATAGTCTTGCGTCAACGATTAGCACCCTAGGCCAACTCAAGGGGAGGGGAATTGAGATAATATTAGACTTACTTTAAGCTCCAAGCAGCCTGGACGACAGTAAAACAAGCCCCTATTACGCCCACGGCAAAAACGATTCTAGCCATCCAAACCCGAGGGCTTAGTTTGCTCATGACAAGATTTGAGGGGCAATCAAAAATGACATATGATACATAGAAGAGAGCCAATGCAGTGGAAACATCATTAGATGAAAGTCCAAGCATCGTCATTAAATCATGTCCGACGTTCGAATTCATCGTCTGCGCCAAGCCGATGTTAGAGCGTATGGCGGAGCAGAGGAAGTACAGGATCCAGAAAGCTACGGTTGAATCAGCTTAAGAAGCTATCAAACGATAACCGGCGATCTTACCTGGAATGATGCGGAGATCTAACTTCCTATAAACTGCCTCTACTCTCTCGATATCGTACTCCACGCGAGCAGGCCGGCCTTCCTCTAACCGAGTCCCTGTTTCGTGATCTGCGTTGGTCATTACGGGGGTCTTACCCCCCTCTACAGTAGTATCGTCGGCCATACTTCGACTGTGAAGCAATGGAAGCGCGTGCTACCAGTCTTTTCAAGCCACGAACTCGAAGCGTCCAAGTAAGATGTGTTTGCCTAATCCCAGTCTTGTCTAATATGGGACAGAGTACCCCCGATGTAAGTCCTGTCCGTATAATGATTGCTGTGACTAAATACCTGGAGAGGAAGGTAAGAAATGTTTGAGAGAGAAAAAGAAAAGTTTTTGAGCAAAAAGGTAAACGAGATGACGCTAGAAGCTACCTACCTAAGTACCTACCTACCTAATGTACCTAAGAATCGCCTAGGAACTGTTGATTCGTTGAGTTGAATACAGCCAATAAGGTATGCGGTTGGGAAGGAATATATGGGGCACTAGCCCCCTGCCCTACATAGAGATCACTATCTAACTGTAAGAGGATAGTCTAAACTCTATTACAGCGACACTCAGGTTGTACGAAAGCTTGACAGTATAATTTCTTCTTGAAGTGGCTTAAAGTTTAATAGGAAAGAGGTATGTAAGATTAAAAACCGTCTAAATAATGCGATATATCGTCACTCAACCCCTTCCAGGAGAAGTAAATGGCCCAGAGATAGGTTAACTAGATGTAGAAAGGTGCATGTAGCTTAGATTTATTCAAAATAAAATAACGATTCGATACTCCGACTGCAACTTGTCTTCCTGAATATCAAAGCTTCAATGAATATATAGCTCCTAGCTTTAATTGACTCTAATGAAGAAGGCGAGGAAATCAACCGCTGTCATTACTTGGGGGGTTCCCAGAACTGTATTTTCTTTCACGCTGGTACTGTGATATCGTATTCATACATCGTTCTCACACGGCAAAGAGATTGTTTCCAGCGCGGCGCAGGCTGACTCTAAGAGACCTCAATAGCAAGTTACCCTAATATTTTGCATTTTGAGCGACGATAGATGCATGTCTACATGATGAACACGATATCCTCACAGACAGAAGGAAATTAATGAAGATTAATATAAATTTCATGGACTCAGGCCCATTGAACAAGCTGTGTGTAATTTTTTCGGTCAGAACTTAGCTAGTTATCGCCAATTGTTCCTAAACAAGATTCGCTACCCAAGCTTGTGTACCATTGTGCATGATTTTCTTTGAAGAACAGAGTGATCGTTTAGGAGCAGACCGTGTAGGCCTCAATTTGAATAAAGTATATAATACCCTATAACCCGCATGCTTTTGGCTGTGAAAGAATTCCTTGGATGCTATCATATATTCGAAAACTTAACCCTGAATCTTCTAACGTACTTCTCAAATCTTCTCGTCTACGTCGAATTTCATTCGCAATGTGTTGGGTCAACAAAACATTCCACACGCTCTGCAAGCATCAGAGTATCAATTATGAAGTTGAAAATACCTGTCCTGCTAAAGGGGGAGCTAATTGCTTTCATAAGAAACCAGGTCCGGTCCGTGAGGTCAAAACTAAGTGTTTAAATTGCTTGCGGAAAGAAGCATACGAGGAAAAGCTTTCCAAAGATAAAGAAGCATCAGTGTAAGGTGGTATTAAGAGGGCGACCGGCAACTAGCAGGCTTCTACGGATCGGCCACGCCCTCCCCCGTTCGGCAAAGCCTGAACGTGATAGGTCATCTCACCCTCCTAGAGATGTCCCTGTTGATTCATCAACTATGACAGTATCAAGGATACTGCATTCAAAATTTCTTTAACCGGCGTTGCACTATAAGTTATTATCCGTTCTTGCATATTCTAATGATCTGTGTACCCCTGGTTCGTTTTAGCAACCACCCTACCGCATACTCTTGTCGTATTCTAATAGACAGGATATTACGCGGTAACAAAGCCAAGGTACCCCTAACTCGTGGGTTTCAAGAAGTATAACGCCGTGCTAAATGGCTTAGAATCATGAAGCTAATGCAGGTACGTCTATTGGATGTTGCACTAGTTAAGTCAACGAGTGACGTGCAACGCGCTCGACAGGGGCTACCTCGCCACTCGCATCGTGACCGGGTTCTTCGGCTAGCTAGATGCCAAGTATTACTGCATTTAGCTCGTATCCAGATTTCCGGAAACCCGATCAGAGCCTCATAAGATTTGGCGGGCACCAGCAGCATAGACATCTCCCGGGAAAGACTCGGAGTGTGCTACCCGCTAATGACACTGTGGGTAATATTTTTCAAGATATCAGCATCCGAGCCGAGGCGGGTGTCAGAATGAGACCTTCCGATGGCAGAGCGATGCAATTTTCATGTAGCATGTTAGAAATCCAACTACACAAGACAACAGGTTCGCATGGTCACGAAATACAAGGTCAAAATTCATTTAAGTAGGGTGGGTATAACATCGACTACAGAGTACACGCGGTCATTCATCTTGTAGACTAGAATATAATAGCTTAACTATCTTAATTCATAATTTATAATCTTTCGCTCAGTCCCGCTAAAAACATCTTCTCTTCCGGCGATAAATACATATCATCCGGAATAGCTACATGTCCTTTTGTTATAACCACCCTTGACGGCTCTATAACAATTTTCCCTTCTTCCATATGACGTATCGTACTAACCTTGAGCCTAGCTCCATTATCACTACCGCTATCGATGTTGCTGCTCTTCTCATCCGATATTTGGTGCTGTTGCGGCTGCTGTTGCTGCTTCTCCCTGCGGCCAACCTCCGCCGGGGTCCACCAATAAACGGGGAACCGCCTCTGAATATTATTCAAAAGTAAAGCTACACACTGCATCAAGGCGCAGCTGAGCAGGACAACGGGTGGTAAGAACCATCCTAGATGAGCTACACCTTCATCAATTACAGCGAGTAGAGCTGTAGCTCCCGCAGGCGGGTGCACAGTGCCGGTCAGAGCCATAAATGCGACCGCACAAGAGCAGCTCAGCGAGCCGGCGACCCAGATAACCTTATTTAACATAGGACTTAGCGCAAAAAGTTTCCTAATGGCAACGCCTATTAGAGATGAAAATAACTGTCCGAGAACCGCGTTGCGAGGCTGCGAGAGGGGAGACTCGATGGCGTAGAATTCGAGAACCGCAGCGGCGCCCTTGGGTCAAATATTAGTCAACTTGCCCCTGCAAATTAGAATGAGACAGATCTCAAAAAAACAACCGGTCGGAACTCACAAAACTGCCGATGATCATAGGAGCACCGTGCTCCTCAAAAGAGGGGATGGCATGGCCCACTGCTTCGATGATGGTAAGGGAACAGAAAACCCCAATAAATGCCCAAAAAGTCATCGCAATATTGCCTAACGGTCGCTGATGCTCTGACCTATGGCCCAAAAAATGGGCTACGGGATATGGTAAATGTTTCCATGGGGCAGCTGGGATCCATGGGTTCAGGTACTGGTCGATTTCGAAGTGCCATTTCGTCGGTTGGAGAGGCATTTGCGTCTCAAGCAGGCTAATCGGGTTCGTGGGGGGGTTGGTAGCTTTTAGGTATCAACAACATGAAGCCAAAGATATTTCAGCACGACAAGAAGATGCCAGCGATGACGACGACCCGCCAACAACGCGGAGGCGTGTCGGCGGCAGGTAGATCGTATTTATCAACTCAAGATATGGTTGATGCCGTTGGCATTTTAGCATTCAATTTCTTTCTCATTCCATAGATGAGAATATGTAGACGAATGGTGTCATGGGTAAACCAGCAAACCAACAGAATCAAAGGGATTGAACCAGGAAGGATATTTACAGTTCGTGACTAGCACATTCAAAGTTTGTCAGGGATGATTGAGACACGATGGCCGATGGCTAATGGCCAATTGGTCGTCTACCTGGCGTCATATTGGGTAACGAAAATTCCCAAAATGGATGTGTCCAACGCGCTGGCTCAAGTAACACGGGCGCTCCCTTACTCCGTCTGCCGAATGCCGAAAAGGTGGATCTTTTTCCGGACGAGATATCTCCGCGGAGCATCCCCTTCTCCTTTTTATATAGGCAAACTCTTCCCCCACGTGTCCGGACAAAATTTGAAGGCCGAGTGAATCCAATGTAGAAATTTTATTAAGGTAGGCTTGATAAATAACAAGATTCATCGAGGAATTCAATGCATTGGGATTCACAACTTTTGTTCTAGACAAGAGATCGATTCAGGGGCTCGGGAAAAAAGGGAGGGCACTCAGTCAGCACTCATAATAATCGGTCAACAAGCAAAAATAAAAAAAATGTTGAAAACTCAGAAAGGAGGCTTATGAATGAGAATTCACCTCTTAGCTAAGAGGCGCCCTACTTGGCATCAAGAGTTTGCGAAGCTAAGTGTCATCAATAATCACCGATGAAAGCATATGAATAGTCCCGAAATGGCTCACCCAGAACTCTTTCAGAATGCACTTAAATGATACTCGTATAACTTACAGGCCCTTGAACTGTAAGTCTGTAAATTTGGAAAGCATCCCCTATGCTACAAGCAACTTATAAAGATGAACTCTCATACATGACTCCCCGTCGCACCAGGATGGCAAATGGCAGGTAGCCTATCCAATCTGACCATTTTCTAGAGCTTCGATCAGAATAAGTTTAATCTGTAAACTTCCGTACTTAATAATTACCTGTTACAGTAAACTCATCGCATCGATATAATAAATACAACGGGAAGGCCAAAATGGACACCCTACATCACAAGTATGGTCATGCGCTATAAATAATCCATACAGTGTTTTATGCAAAGCTAAATGAATGCCCGTCCCATAGTATCAGAGAGGAATTTGAATAAATGTGCGTCTCATGATATAGTATTCAGATGAGTACCTAATACACTCGAGAACCGTGGCTTAATGGGGGTGGGTGGAATTATTTGAAGCTATTTAATCTGCCGTAATAATCGTATTATACATACCTTAATTCCCAAGACGCCTGTTTCCCGGCTTTCGTACCTGACTCGTTTCATTCGGGAGATAACCACCAATACTTCATTTTAGAAATCCGAGCAATCCCGAGAGACGGCTACCTACAATTTTTGATCGCGACTTGAATAATATAACATTTTTACGTAATACCGAACATTGACGCCAAAAGACAACTTAGCAATAAAACATTCAATGTTAATTTCAGTTAAATTCTGCTATAAAAAAGAGACAAACAAGATACAAAGACTATAATTGGCTTTATATGTGCCATTTGAGATTACATAATCAGCTTAGCATCTATGCAAGAGAGGCCTCCTAGCATTATAGTAAACTCCAGTCTTCAACCTCAAATGTTATAATATCTATAAAAACAATGAGCAGTTTACATGGTAATACAAACCGTCTATATTTCAGCCAAGTAAAACTTCCAATAGCAATATTGCAAAGCATCAACGTCGTCATTAACGTATAAACCCACGTGCGGTTAGATAAGCGACCTCGCGTTTAGCCAATCCCATTTCCCCCTCTGGAACCTCTGCCAGTGGTAGCGTACTGCAGGCAGCCTAACAAGGCATTATAAGAACTTGAATTTGGGAGGTGTTATTGTTCAAGTCCTCAACCATATTTTCAATACTTTGTTTTTCCACTTCTATGAGAATAAATCCACTTCTTAGGAGGTGGCGGCGCACTTTTTAATCGGCACGTTAAGCGCGCGCATAATGCAACCACAGCCACAATAGCAACCCTCAATTTTCATGTGAGTAAGAGGAGCCCTCTCAAAACCCGGCCAAACCCGGCCAAATCTGGGCATTGATTTGATTATTAAATTCTTCAGTTATCGTTGCTTTGTTTTCAGTTCTCATGATTGCTATCTTCCCCTCAGCCACTGTTTGTCGCAACTCAGTTCGCCGATATCAATATGGGCATCCTTGATATGAGCAACCTTAATGATGAGGAGGTGAGAAGCGCATTATTACTTATTAAGAGTACTAAGCTGCTACACCCGTCGGGCTCATTACTTGAATCATTTGTCTCTTCGGCACTCTACCCCGAATTGGCTGCAAGATATGTGAAGAAGAGGTTAGAGCTCGGCGAGGCTTCTTCACTAGTGGATGATTGGCTTTACATCGTCGAGTCTAGTAAGTTCATCGTCTTAAATTTTCACGTCTATTCGTCTAACAGTCACAGTTGCCAAAAATGGCAGCGCTCCACCACGGCCTAGTGTCGCCGAAAGACATGCTATTACAAGACGAGACGGCGGAAAGTGTTGCGTGACTGGAAAGGCTGCCTCGCTGCGTGATCCTCTTGTTGTCGTTCCGATTCTCCCGGTTCCAACTGGCTGGGATACAGAAAAGGTATGTCCACTATCGTTTAAACTACTTGTGATAGAAAAGCTAATAACTGGTCTTGAAAGGCTGGCATCACTGACATGCTCGGTGCTTTCTTCGGATTGTCGTATCGGGATTGGTGGTTATCTTACATTAGAAACCCTGAAGGCAAATCGCCTTGTTATAATCACTGGCTAGTCCGAAGATCTACAGCCAAAGCATTTGCTTCGGGGATTGTCAGGTTAAACAGGTTGCACCCATCCATGGTTGAAGTAAGTTCCAATGCAACTAGTGGCTCTCATCATACCCTCGTTTAACAGTTTGCAATAGTATGAACTCGAACAAGTCCCTATCGGACCGGAGGAACCAATTGAGGTCAACGGCATACGTCCATTACTGGGTGACCATTCACGATCGGGCATTACTAAGGTTGACCCCCGCTTCGTAGGCTCCCAAGCTCGACTGTCCAAAAGTATTCAATATCTTGGCCTCTACGAAAGACTTTCGTCAGAAACCCAACCTCAACCCTCATGTCTATCAATAGACCATCCAGCACAGCGATCAAATATAACGCTGCAGAATCGTTGGAATCTGTTAGGTCTGTGCATGGTCGCTTTTTTCACAGTCTGGCGCCTGGTACCCTCACAAGTCAGGATATTTTGCTATAAGATATTGCTAAGGCTTGGAGAACGTCTATACGGGAGTCCTGATGACTATCTCTCGATCCAGAGATTGCCATTTGGGCTGTACTTGAAGTTGGACGTAGATGATGACTTCTCTCGCAACGAATTCAATGCGCTAGAGATGGTCTACCGGCATACCTCAATCCCAGTTCCAAAAGCGCTTGACATAGTTATCGATTCGTCGTCCTCTTGGACTCACAGATCTTATCTCCTTATGAAGAGAGACCCCGGGTTTCCGTTATCAAGCTGCCAAGATGTCCTCTTCGAGAAAGATATGGAACGAATTGCAAATCAGCTCAAGGACTACATAGACCAACTGAGAAATATTCCCCGGTCAACAAAATCAGACAAACTAATATGCAACACTCTTGGCGAAACGTGCAGGGATCCCCGCATTCACTATGCCGACTCTATTGGGTCATTCGCAGACGAAGCAGCATTTAGTCGGATGCTAAGATTCTCAGACGACTCTGCTCGGCGTGGACATAAGATTGTATTCACGCATGCGGATCTCACTTCGCACAATATATTGATTAACCAGAGTATACAACCGGATGGAAGCATAGGTTGGGACGTGACGGGGATTGTGAACTGGGAGTTTGCGGGGTACTACCCCGAGTATTGGGAATACACAAAGGCGATACTTGGGGGTAGATGGGCGCAAAGATACAACGATATAGTACATGGTGTATTTAGAAAGGTTGGGGACTATTCTCGAGAGCTTGAAGTTGAACAGAAGAGCTGGCAAATGCTCAAGGGATAGACCTTTCATATAGTTATAATTATCAAGCATGAATAATATTCGGTGTTGGTTAATGGTATTGATTTCAGGGATTTGGGGGTTGTAAACAGAGCTCCCTTGTTGATTTCCCGCCCTTGGGAAACTTAAGGGCTACCGCTTTCAACTCTTTCTTAACACAAGGCACCTAGGCCAGGTATATCTACTTGATATTTAGTCCAACTTAACAACTTTATCGTCTTTCTCTTCCATCATGACTACTATAAACATACCCTTCAAAACAGTGGCGCCTTCAAAGCCGCACACTCATACCGTCGTCTTTCTACACGGCCGCGGCGACAACCCCCGCAACTTCGCAGCCTCACTAGCTCACTCTCGCGATTCGCGCGGCCGCACTCTTGCCGACGCATTTCCGTCATTTCGCTGGGTATTTCCCCAAGCTCCGACACGTAAGTGCGCTAGCTCGCCCGGGACGTGGCCGCAATGGTTCGACGTGTGGGATGTGCGCGATTTTGCTGCGAACGAGGATCTATAGGCCGTAGGGCTCAAGGAAGTTGTGCCTGCCATTCGCCGCATCCTGGCTGATGAGGCCGCGTTGCTCGGGGGCCGCTGGGATCGCGTGGTGCTGGCGGGCATCAGCATGGGCGGTGCGGCGAGCGCGCATGTCTTGTTCAATCTGGATGTGCCCGCGGCAGGGGGAGGGAGGCTTGGGGCCTTTGTTGGATTCTCATGCCGATGCCCGTTTGTCGGTCGTAGCTTAGCCGGGATTAGAAACGCTCTCGGTTTGGAAGGTGTCCCGGACCACAGCCATGTCGTACAAAACACGCCCGTGTTGCTCGAGCATTGCGCCGATGACCCGCTCGTCCTGGTTCAGAATGGCCGAGGCTTACGAGATGTATTGCTCGCATTTGGTGCACAGGTTGAATGGAAAGAATACCCCAATGGAGGACACTGGTTTAATTCGCCGGCTGGGATGGACGATGTGGTGGACTTTCTAACCAAGCACCTTGGGGAGGAGAGCTTTGCAGGCAACCCTACACTTTTACGCCAAGCCTCATCGAACGCGATGGATCTATCATAAGAGAAACCAAGTTGCGGGGAGGAATCTAGTCATGGCTATAGGATAAATATTATATTAAGAAGTAATAGAAATTGCAATACGCATTTCATTTCAATATTCTGCAAGTAAAACACACAGGGAAATAAGACATAGCGCGGTTATACACAAACAAACAAATACGGTTGTGTCAGCTTCAAGCTACCCCAGGTGCTCATCCACAGTTTCCAATATTTACCGTATACATTTATTGCCAGTATAAATCACAATATTAAAAGGAATATTTTCCAAGAAAGATATCTATTACTAAAGCCTATTAAGAGAGAGAGCCACCTTTATAACCTGACTTCCGAATTGCAATTTCTAGGGGGAACCGTGCCTTTTGCTATGGAATCTAGGACAAAAACACCCTCTTCCAGCCGCTTCAATTGAGTTATGTTTTCACTTCTTGTTTGTATTACTTACTAGAAGGTTCATCGCTCCCCATGAAGGTGTCCCCACCAGTACCGGACGCCATGTAAGGACTCTTATCCTCCTCCTTGGGTGGATTAGAGGATGTAAATCTTTGGCTACGGGCATTGAAGATAGCCACGCGATTCTCTTGCAATCTACGAACCGTGTTATATACCTTGTCTTCTTGGGAAATCTTGTTGTCCTGGGGAATCTTGTCCTCCTGTGAGGGTTCAGACATGTCGTTATTCATCGTTCCTAAGGGTTTGATAGCGGTTGAAGATGAGGTTACAATCACAGCCAGACTCTAATATAATAAATCTAGCTGTTATGATTCGATGCTTGCCAAACCGGCGCGGTGGTAGAGTAGATTCTTATTCACTAATTTTAATACAAGTTTTCAACACAATTTAATAGTGAACTCCTTGCTTATCATTCATTGCCTTTTCAGCAAAGAGTGAAATCAATGCACGAGAAACGCATTATACTCAACCTTTAATCCGAGTTTGAAAAAGAAAGGGTGGTCAGTAAACTATATGAAACACCCATATTATGCCAACTATCACTCCCACGCAATACAAAGACATTGAAGAAATATCCGAAGGTGATAGAATAAAGCCACAAATTAACAATTGGATTGTTCCCAGAGAAACATTTTTTTCTTCTATGAAACATACCTAGATATTTTAACTAACTAAGCTACAAGGGGTAGTTTACCTTAGAGGGTAGGGTAGGTACCTAAGGTACCTAAGAGGTAGGTAGTAATTGGGCGAGCTCAAAATCACGTATGTAGCATGTAAAGATGTTCGGTCTAAGACAGACAAAATGAAATTGGTACCTGTTATGGAATTGATCTTACATCATACACCAAGGGATAATATAGTATTCAAACACTAATTCATTTTCCTTATAAAATAGGAATATAGTGGCATAATACAGAGTTTAGGTATCTATAAACTATCTCTACGGCCAAATAATGGCAAAGGCTAGTAGAAATGCCCTGTCTAGGTATCTATGTAATACCCTTTAAACTAACCCCTATTTGTAACTCCGTAGTATCTTTACTCTTACAGACTAAGATGGTATTAATCCGCATATAGCACATGAATAGCAACTGCAAGTACCCATTAAAATTACACGTCGTCCTCACTACTAGCCGCGAGGCTCTCCCTAGTGCTCTCCTTAAATACCAGCCCGGGGTGGCCTATAGATAAGCAGTAGAACGACACGACGACGAGCCTACATGAGTGTTAGCCTCCTATTATAGAAGAGGTAGGAACATACTTACACTCCTTCCAAGCCAATATACAAACCCTCTTCCCTAATCAGTTCGCCAGTATACCCTTCATGCAGCTCAGCAAGGCGATACACGCTTCTCACAACAGTTAGGAGCATGGCAAGGAACATGAATCCAAAGAAGATCTTCAACCGGAGACCGATGATAGCAACTGCCTTGCGTCCTTGTGGGGATCGGAAATACCGAATAATGAAGTCGAGAAGGAAACTGCAGAAGGTGACAATGGTTGCGACTTGGAAAGCTAGGCCTGCAAGAGAAAGGTCGACTCCAACCTGGTTTGATCCAATGGATATGCTTGACAAAGCCCCTCCAGCAGCTTGTAATACAAGGGATATGATGTCGCAGGTAATAAAGCCAAAGTAGAAGAAAATTGGCTTCACACGGCTAAGAGATGGTGCAAAGCATGTGATACTATGTAGCGGGGTTCAAGTTAGCTGTATGTATCTAAGTTAGCTGTATATAGGAGACTCAAGTCTAACTTACGTTTGGCCGAGGATCACATATGTAGCAGCACAATACCACTGTAACAAGAATCAATAACTACCTCCTCGTTAAGGAATTTAGGGGACCAGGTATGTCTTGGGAACAGTGATTCTTCAATAAGTTTAACAAGGAGATACTAGCTCCGGAGTCAAGCCACATGGAACAGAGAGAAAAAACCAATTGTGTTACATACCACTGGACCAATAGTGACACAAACTATTGCGAGGTTTAGCATAAGATCAATAGAAAAGAATTAGGATAATCGGTCCACTTACTCATCTGCATTAGAAACCCTTCGAAACTGAATGGTTCATAGTATAGCCAGACACGACCACCATATCCGATGCAGGCGTTGATAGAACAGACAACCATGCAGCCCATGAACCACCATGTCTTCCGTCTGAAGCCAAGGATTGCGTGTAGAACTCCCCCGAGGCCAAAGAGAGCCATAAAGGTGATGTTAGCGGCCAGAGAAGGCCGGTATCCATAAACAGTCCATTCTAGAGGACAGGTATCTAGCGTGCAGGTAACATCGGGTCCGAAGACGATGACACCTGGAGGTAGAGACCAAGACATTTCAAATAGAGGATCAAGGCCTATGGTAGTAGGGGGTTAAAGGACAGAAAAAAATGAATTGAGATGAAAACAAATCTAGTAAATGAGAATACTAGATTGGTACCGGAGAAGGAGTAATTATTGTTAAGTATAGCTACGCCGGAACATCTATAATCAAGCGAGACAGTGTCTTGCATTTATAAGATCCTCCACTCTGTTGCCAGCGCCTCAACTATTTGAATGCACGAGCCGGCAGCCAATTCCACCGACCATATCATATCAACTACAGCTCGAAACCTGCCACGCCGCCGCGTAGACTCTATTAGCATAAGCCGCCATCATCCTACGATTCCGCTGGGGAAGAACGGGTAATCTTGTATGTTTCTTTGTTCTAATGGGACGTGATTAGCAGCCGCGTAGAAATTTGGCGCCATCTTGGGACTGTGCGCGCATCTGCTGTTGGCTCGGACTCGCACACTTGCGTATTGGGAGCTCGCACTCGGTAAGGCGTAGCTGGGCGGATGCAATTGGGTGCCTCACGCTTGGCTGCCAGGGTTATAAACGTGGCGACCTTGTTAGTTGCTATGTAGGAATTTCCCAATGATGAAGCGTTGACCAATTAGATTTTATCTGGGGAATTGGAACCCGGTAGTTGCTTTTTGCTTATAATACCTTTTCGGGAGATGTGCATTATGGCAACAAGTCGCTGTCTGAAAATAAATACTTCTTTAATTTAATAGACCGCGTTAACTTCTACTTAGAAAGACGACCAAACCTGCTATGTTCAACCTACTCTCAATCTGCTCTATAAGCGAATCGCTTACCCACACACTCGCACAGTGGCTTCTCGCCCCAATTGAAGAGATTCTTTGCAACTAAGTATTTGGTGGTGATGATGTTTCTCTATGCTGATTTGATTCCTCACTATCCACTAAGATTGCGAGGGGGGTTTCAACTAGGTAAGTCATACAAGTAAAGCTAGTGACTTAACAAAATCTTTTTATATCTCTACCCTGACTAAAATGATATGGCTACTAGGTACCTTCAGTCTCTATAAAATTGAGGATATTGTATGACTAGGGGAGTAATAAGTTTATAGCTCTGAGTATCTAGGTCGCTACCGAGATCGAATGGTCGCCCTGAAAAGATGAATACGGCTATTCGAAATAAATCCGGAGCGCTCGGCTCTGTCTCTTGGCGACGAGGGAGTAAAGACATGGTCAAAGCGGTACTTTGACAGAACCCGATGACGTCGTCGAATTAGTTCCCACTCCATGCAAGTAAAGAAATCTCATATTGAACTGGTATACTTAATAGGCGGGTTAGGCACATGAGAAACATCTTGGTCAGTGACAAAGAGCCTGATGTAGTAAGATAAAGTTAACGAGGGGCATTCTATTACCATAAATTATATTCAACCACTCCTATGTCTTAGAACGGACTGCTATCGAATGTCTAAAAGAAGAAGTCCATGTATAAGCCACTCAAGACCTCCAAAGCCAAACTTCTGCAGGAAGCTTTGTTAGTGGCTTTTAGTATGCCATTGAAGCCATAGATAATGCACATATGTTAATAGTATAGCAGATTATTACTAGTTTGGTATAAGCCACTGATACTGAGCCGTGTAACAAGTTTATGTGTGGCAGTAATTACATTAGGTATATCCTACTACCTATTTAATAACTGTATAACAATTACCATGCTTTTAGATATACTAGTTACTTCAATGCTGAGGATCTATAATACCAAGAGGTATTTAACTAAACCTAGGTAGTTAACCCTAAATTATATATAATACGTATTAGGGGTGGTTGGTTAAATATATCAAATAAAGGTTAATTTAAATAGTCTTAACCTCATAAACTACAACAAGTATAAGTAATATAAGCCACATGGAGTATACAATGGTACTGTATTGCCATAGCTTTAGGAAGTCGAAGTTACCTAATGGTGCCACTAAAGGCTGCGCCCGATAATTAGTAGAGTCAAGTTTTGCTCTCGACGCGACATACACATATAGGATAGTAAAATATTAGCCACGGCCACATCTTCGATTAAGCACCAAAGCTTGACTTCATATGTACCTCTTTATAAACTTGGTAATTATAGCGACGCTCCAAACTTGGTATCCATTCACGTTCCCCTATCCCAGGACATATTGCGGATGTCTTAGCCTAACAGTAGCTAAAGTTGGCGCGTAGGCGCGCAAGTACAAATTCCCGTTCCTGGGTTCGATAATAGAAAGGATATAAAAACGACTAGGACAGCGGCATACGCGGCCGTAGAGGCAAATATCTCTACCCTTCGTGCATTCGTCAAGACTTCAACGCTAGCTGCAAATAGCACCGTAAACATAGCAATGACACCCAGCTGTACATTCTCTTAGGTTAGAAAACGTAAAAGTACTATAGCTCCAAGCAGGAGGATTGCTGCCACGACGGTGCTAATTATATCTGTTACCCAAGCAACATGATTCTCATTGATATTCTCGGCCCCATCTGTGATTTTTGTCGTCTATAGCTGTTAGCATGTTACATAACTAGAAGGTGTCATGTCAGTGGTACCTTAAACATCCAATAATCTTGTAAGAATCGTAAGAGAAGATCTTTATCAGGCGTCCGTCCAAAGGCGGCAAGATCTCGAAGATTATGTTCGGAGAGCCGTTTCTCGGCAAGGCCCGCTAGGATGGGTTGTCGACTAGACTTATTCCCGAGAGAGTCATATATACCTATCTATATGAGACTGATCGTATACAGCATCGAAAGCCCGTTTCCTAGGCCCTTCCAGCGCTGCTATTTGGCTTTGACGCAGCAGTGCTTCTTCTATCGTTACTTATCAGCTGATATAACTCTTACATAGCAGTTTATGTCACGATATTCTTTCAATCTCTCGCTGACTTCCTCTACTAGCTTCATCCTATTATGTTCAGGGCGGGTTTTATCCTCCGAGTTCTGTTCAAAGGCCTCCCAGGCTCGGATAGAACGGCGTGTTTCATTATCTGATCCAAGTGCAGCTTGCTCATCCGCCTGATCTAGTTTATACTCTAGGTATACAAGCCTGCTTTCAAGGTGGAGGAGATTCCGGGCGCTGAGCCGATCGGATTTACGGGATATAAAAGCTTCATAGTGTGGGTTGATGGTTATTCTTTGGGCCAAAAGCGGGAATCCGGTCTCTCCCGGCATATCTTTCATTTCTATATGACAGCTAGCTAACCTAGGTATCTCAGCGGTGGATAGGAATCTTATTCCAAATGTTAAAAAATGACGCATTGTAATATATTTGATAATTAAAATCCGTTATGAATACCTAAGGCTACCGATTCAGCCCATTAGATAGCCCAACATTACAAATACCCCAAAGGGTGGCTGGCCATGGCAGTGTCTGCAGCGTGGGTAGTAAAAGACAGGGCAGAACTCGGCTTCTAGCCAGTATTAAATTTCCTAATTACTGCCTAACATTACTGGGATTGCCTAGAAGGCCTCAATACCAGCTCTTCTTATTACTTAATTCATTCCTAAACTCAGGATCGCCTACTGCCTTGTTTCCCAAAAGCTCTTACAAAATCAGCGTTACATACAAAATAGAACTTTCAGAGCCATTATTACATTATTTTCTAATCGCCTTCAAGCAATAGAAGAATTGTATTTCACCGTGTCAAGTGAATTTCTTAAGGGCATTAAAAATCAATTGAAGCTTTTGTAATAGACCTCGCAGCCTATTATCAAAACCAATCGTCAATCGTCTGGTCGCCAGACAAGATTAGTATTCGTAGTATAAGGCATTACGAAGTCCCGGGTTTCTTTAACGGTGTTCCTGTCAACGCGCTACCAGACTCAGGCTCTGCAGTAGATGCTGTCTCCGAGAGCTTTGCGAGGCGACATGGTCTAGTGATCGAATTCACCAACTCACGGGCAATACATCTCCCTGGAGGGCACGCAGCTGAGATTATCGGTCGGATTATTGGTCACTTTAAATTTCAAGGAGAGAGCCATTCCTATCGTCGCGAGTTTTGCATCCTCCGAAAGAGTGTGTACGATTTAATGCTGGGTAGGAAGTTTCTCACTGAGACAAAGACTTTAACCGAATTCCACCATCGCATTATCCAGCGGAGCCGACCCTGCATCCAAAAAGGAAGCCGGCTTTCTTAATGGATGAGTCACCAAAGGACCGCCTTCGTTGCACCATCAACAGCTATGAGGCCTCGGCATTTCTGGATACTGGGTCGGATCTTATGATCGTTTCTGGGGACTTTGCCCGCCGCAGTGGGTTCATAGTCCACCGTGAAGAGAAATATAGGAGGAAAATCGAACTTATCGATGGCTCTACTATCCGTACAGACGGGATGGTTTTGGACGCAGAGCTGCAGTTCGATGCATTACCAAAATCAGAGTTGTTGGACTTGAATTAATACCTCGAATATATAGACGGTATTTCCTCGCTTAAGAGCAAAGGAGTTGGAGAAACACCTAGAACGACATTCATATAATACAACCTCCACGTCATTGAGGGCTTATCATGCGACATTATTCTCAGCAATGACTTTATTTTCCAGAATCAAGTCTTCTCTAGGTTTAAAGGCCTTTTTTATGCCAAGTTAGCGGATTCTCTTCCACTTGCCGATAGTCTTATGCGCCATGGCATATTATTCATCAGGAATATAAGAAAGAAATTCCACTGGTTTTCTAGGCGGAGACGATCACCACAGAGCTCGACAAGTCCGAGTAAGGCATCTTTATATTATGCTGAGGCAAGAATATACTAATGATAATAGTTCCTCTTCAGAATAGCTCGACATGGGATCGTGCTTGGGAGATTGAGGAAGCGCGAAGAAACCAAACACAACTGTGGATTGCATCTTTATCAGAGCCGCAGAAGTCTATCGAACAGAGAAATGAGGATCAAGAGAAGGCAATATGGGACAGACGAAACCCAAGGCCACTACCAACACGATCGCCGGCCTTTGATCCAATTGTGAGACGAAGGGCGGTCCCTGGAGTCCTTGCATCCTAGTCTCCTATATAATTTGCATTCAAAAACATGGCAACGTCCCCTAGAATTTAGATTTGATACCCAACTAATGATGCTACGAAGTGGGAAATTGCGACGACGATGAAGAGAAGAACTAATCTACCTGTTATTAACAACACATATTGTTAGGGGATAATAGGTAGTCGCCAAGCAGCAGGTCTGCACTCCACGCCCTCCCCTGTTTTTATATAGAATGGATTTTATAGAGTTACTACCTACTATATCTAAATACTAGAAGCTACCTGTTGTCCCCTCACTTTACTCAATCCCTTTTAAAGACTTATAACGAAACGGCCAACAACCCATGCCACCCAAACACAGGCCCACCCAGCGTGTGATTACTTATTGTTTAGATCGAATAACTTTACTACTGCGTACATTATCATTTAACAACTAAAAACAAGGCTTGATAATGTCGAGTTGGATTACGTAGGAATTACTGCTAGTTAACTGGCTACCTACCTAACCTATCAAGGGATATCCCGTCTTATTGCTTTTATAAGCTGCTATTACGTCATTGATGTCGATACAGGCTAAATGCCGAGTCTAATCTGTCGAGTCTCACGGAAAACGGCAAACTCAATGGCCAATGCTGTTGCTAGGCTCAAGACTTGGTTTCTTCACAGTACCTACACTACATATGCCCATGTCCTACCTAGGTAGGTACCTAATGCAAACAAGTCACAGCGACAATGATCCACACGTGGGCTGTTGTCGCGCATCGCTTTGTCGGCACATGTGTATAGTAAATACCCGTATCAGATGCATCTATGCATTTTCGTAGGGTCAGACAGAAGGGGTCTAGATTCTATAAATCTAAGTCGTGACTAGAACAGAAAGACATTTTCATGTAGTACAGTTGCATTATTCTTCCGCGTGACGTTCGGAAGTGCTAAGCGTTGGGTTGCGCGTAAAGTCAAGTTCTTGACGAATAAATCGACACATGTGGGTTTCTTATTGGACTTGGTGGTGGCGTAATGTGGCTATCATCGGTGACTATCACTGCTTTATCAGTCCGATACCAGTCCCTGACTGCATTCTGTTAGGCACCTAATGCGGTCCTAAGGCACGAAACCATGCTGTTATTCAGGGGTTTGGGAGGGACTAAAAATAGAGGGCCGATTAGTTCTACATCTGTTTCTAATATAGTTTTTATGTGTGGCACAGGTATCAGCTAACAGATATACGGACCGGGGCACTCTCCACTGTTTAGGAAATGTATTTGATGCCAAGCCCCGACCATCTGCGACTCCGAATTCCAAACAGGTACCTACCTACCATCTGAAGGTACCTACCTAAGCCCCGCCGATGCAGGTGGTAGGTCGCATATACATATTCGCATGTATGCATGTATTCGGACTCCTTCTTTCGGCTTTCTACACAATTATCCCATCACCATCAACCAGCCACAGCAGCTGAACTATGCACTAATTGTCTTTCTAGATAGTCTCTCATGATATAGGGGGTTGATTGATGGTGTTTCCTTTTACTTATTAACATACTTTCGCCTTTCATTTCTCTTCTAACTGCCGACCTTCGTTCGAATCACTGTCGTTTTCGACTCAAAAGCGCGCGCGCTCTTGTTTTCGGTATCTTCGGTCATACCGCTTTCTTTTTTTCATTTACCATATACTTGACCGTTGATCATTAACTACCGACTACCTCATCCTCCGTCGGCGTGCTATGCGCATCGGCGACGTTTCTTCTTCCCGATGTACCACCTCCGCCGAATAACCATCGCCGCCGTCGCACTTGCTATCGTCATCGTAGTTGTCACCGTACTACCTCGAGCTCTCAATCCCGTCCCACCAAATAAGGAAAAGCAAGAGGCTGACCGACAGTGGATCAATACATCTCCATATTGGCTTGATCGTCAGGCCTGTCGCTGGTTTAGCCTATGTGGTCTGCTGCACCTCAAGAAAGATCCTCCAGCGAAGCCGAAGAATAAAGACGATGGTCATCGACATGAACTAAGGCGTCTTCTGGGAGAGGAAGAGATTGCCATATTAAGAGAGGAGAGTAACAATAAGAAAAAGGGGCAGCTGAGGGGGATACCAGACTATGTGCTGAACTATGCACCGCTAGTTCACCTCTATTCGCAGGAATTCTTCTGGCCCTCGGACATTGCTGACCACATCAAACATATGGTACCGGATCTAGACGGAGACAAATGGACACTCAACGAGTCACAGCCCCTTACTTTAGACAACTTGAACGAACTTAGCTCCGAGCTAGGATTCCAGCACCTTAACAGCAAAGATGATGTAGAGTCACGCCCGCGCTGGCTTCACAGCAAGATGAACAGGCCGATCGCTTTTAACGACGAGGATGACGATAAAGAGCACGACGACGACGAGCCGGGTAAACAGCTTAGCGACGATACGACGTGGTTCGATGTAGATCGCGATCATCCCTTACACCGAATTTCAGATCCACGGAAGCTTCCTGCTGGCAGACCACAGTCGCAACTGCTGAAAAGGCGGTCTCGAATCCTTCATTCTCATGAACAGCAGAGGCTCATGTCTCAAGAAGCACAGGACACACAGAACGCGCATAATAAACCTGATGAGTCGGGATACTCTCGCGCGCCTGTTACTCTTGTTTTGGTAGACAAAGGATCCGGTATCGTGGATGCCTTCTGGTTTTTCTTTTACGCCTATAACCTCGGCCAGACGGTTCTAGGTACACGATACGGGAACCACGTCGGCGATTGGGAACATTGCATGATCCGCTTTGAGTCCGGTGTTCCCCGCGCGGTTTTCTTTAGCGAGCACGAAGGCGGTCAAGCTTACGCTTGGCAAGCTGTTGAGAAACGAGGAAACGAGACTGAGATACAAAGACCAGTTATATATAGCGCCGTCGGTTCGCATGCTATGTATGCCACACCTGGAAACCACCCATACGTTTTACCCTTCGGGATTCTCAAGGACGTCACGGATAAAGGCCCCCTATGGGATCCTTCTAAGAATCTCAGGGGTTATTGGTATGACTATACTACTACTAAGCATAACGGGGGACTAGAACCGGTGAAGGAAAACGCTAATGAGCCGACAAGTTGGTTTCACTATAGAGGAACTTGGGGCGACAAGTTATACGGTCTCGATGACAGACGGCAGTGGAGGCTATTCGGCCAGTACCACTACGTAACGGGTCCCCAAGGACCTAAATTCAAGAATCTCGGCAGAGAGAAAGTATGCCAAACATGGAGGTGCAGGATTATACATAGCATTGCAGAAGGAAAGAAGGGGAGTTGGCATTCATAAGGATGAAGGGTTATACCATAGAGAAGGGCACACCAGGCGTTACTGGCTTAGATACCTCAGCGGTAGTTGGGCTTTTGTTTTTGTTTTTTATTTGCTTTCCGTTGCTTTGAAATATAACGAAATCATATGCAGACGAGATTTCCCAGATACCTGGTTCGTGGAAATGAAACTTGATCGCCGAACTGTAGGGTAGTTGCATCCGATGCTAGGCTCTTCAGCTCTGGGTCTTCCCGCCCAATGGCGCCTCGTACACTCGTTCAGCTAGGTACCCATATCCGTGCATGCAATCGTACCATGCCGATCAGATCGGGTAACCTAGGTTGGAAAGTTACGCTCGTTCGTTCGCAGCGGCCCACTCACCGCTGCTGGCTGGACGCGAGGGCCTCGGCGTGTTTCCCCTCTGCTCGTACACCGCATACGGCGTCCCGCAGGGAAGCAAGGGGGTCCACCGCTCCCCTCTGGAGAATTCATACATATCCTCCTCTCCTCCTCCTTCTCCGCATCGCGACCCCGGATTTTCCTAGGGGGGCCCCCTTGGCGAAGCCGCGGGCCCTGATTGGCGCGCATGGAGCTGCGTCAGGGTACGGGGGCGCTGGAAAATTCCCTCCAGTAAGGAGATCCCGGAACGGGGAACCGTCGTCCCCTTCGAGTATCGAGCTCCGGGGTCTGGTTCTCCACGGTGGGCCTGTTGGCTTGGATTTGGAGGTAGCTGCATAGGTAGGTAGGCATATATATATAAGTATGTTGGCGTCTTGCGGTCGGGACGAGAGCGTGTTTGTTCATTGAGTTGGTGCTTGTTATTTGTTGTTTCTGGTTCCTCGTTTTGTATGTGGAGGTCGGTTTCTCTGGGATAGATAGACAGACAAGATAGACAGACAGACAGGCAAGCATAGAATATCCAGGACAACTGACTGTATGCGGTTATTGCCAAGATGAAGCCTCATACTTACCAGGTACGTGTATTGGCGAGACCAATTGGCACGATAGAGATCATAACTAACTCCTTCGTGTTATAGTTCCTCGTCGGCGTCTTCGCCTCGATGGGCTCGGTGCTCTTCGGCTACGATCTCGGTGTCATCGCGGGTGTAGTAGGGAGTACTTCGTACGCCGAACTATTCCAATCAAACTCAGCTCAAGAGTAAGTCCTCTGCTTCCCATTTCTTCCATTTCCGATTCGCGGTCCTAATCATATAACTACAGCGGAGCCGTCGTCTCTCTATTCACAGGCGGTGCCTTTTTCGGTGCCATGTTCGCGGGGCCGGCTGGTGATATGCTCGGCCGGAGACTGACGATCATGCTGGGTGCTATTATATTCCTTCTCGGCGGGGCGATCCAGACTGCCGCGCAGACGATACACTACTTATATGGTGGACGAGCGATTGCTGGCTTGGGCGTTGGGTTCTTGACTATGATTATTCGGTAAGCTCATCTATTGATTTGTATGTGTGAATAAAGAACGTAACGTGCTAATGATTCTATGTAGTGAGTTTACTTCCTGGAGAGATGATTCTCCTATTCAACAATGAGTCGAAGGATGTAGCAGAGCCGATATGCTAACCTGACTACGTTTAACAGCCGTCTACCAGAGCGAAATAGCACACCCTTCCATCCGCGGCCGCGTCACGGGCTTACAACAATTCATGCTGGGCATCGGCGCCTTCCTCGCCGGCTGGATCTCCTGGGGTTGCTTCATCAACCTGAGCAACGACGCGCAATGGCGTATCCCGCTCGGCATCCAGAACCTGCCCGCCTTGGTCCTAGCCGCGCTCATTCTTCTATTCCCCGAGAGTCCGCGCTGGCTCATCGACCACGACCGCACCGAGGAGGGCCTGCGCACGCTGGCCAAGCTCCACTCCAACGGCGATATAAACGACCCCTGGGTCCAGGCGGAGTTCGCTCAGATCCAGGAGACGATTAGCTTTGAGCACGAGCACGAGGCGAAGAGCTATATGGAGCTTTTTACGAATCCGTACGTTTTTTATATATCTTATTTCCAAGTAAGGCGTTGTTTATAGGCTACCTAGGTACCTAATCAGCTAACCGTTCTCCTTCAACAGCTCCGCGTTCCGCCGCCTCTTCCTCGCCTGCGCTATCCAGGGCGCGACGCAGATGACAGGCGTATCCGCGATCCAGTATTTCTCCGTCACCATCTTCGCGCAGATCGGCATATCCGCCGACGACGCGCTCAAGTACCAGGCCATCAACAGCATCCTCGCACTCATCGCGCAAGCATTTTGTATGCTACTCATTGACAAGTTCGGCCGTCGACCAACTATAATCACCGGAAACATCATCAACTGCCTGATGTTCATCATCGCTACTATATTAATCTCCAAGTTCCCGCCGGACACGAATTCTAGCGGTACTGCTGGTTGGGGGTTTATTATTGTGTAAGTATATACCTACCTACCTAATTAAATTATAGTTGCTATTTGCTGTGGGAAAGATAACTAACGCTGGCTTCACTAGTACCTGGCTCTACAACATCTCCTTCTCCTTCGCCTGCGGCCCGCTCTCCTGGATCATCCCCGCCGAGATCTTCGACACGCACACGCGCTCCAAGGGCGTATCCCTCGCAACCATGGTAAGCTTCGCCTTCAACACGCTTATCGGGCAAATCACCAAGGTAGCCATCGATTCGGTCAGCTGGAGGTACTTCATCCTGTTCGCGGTGTGTAACGCCACCAACGCGCTGTTTTTCTGGCTCGTGCTTCCCGAGACCAAGCGCGTACCCCTCGAACAGATGAGCACCGTGGTCTTTGCCCCGGACGCCCCCTGGATCGTCCTCGGAAAGCGGTCCAAGACATTCCGCGCCGCCGCCGAGGCTGCGGCCGTCGATGTGAAGGAGGTTGAGTTGAAGGGTAAGGTTTGAAGCAGGCGAGTTGTGGATGTTTACGGTAGATAATAGCTGTGAAAAGGATATCGATCCACATACTTTTCTGCGGAATATAAATTATATAAAACCAGAGACAGCCTAGCAAAATTAGCAACATTTATATCAAACGTTGGACTTAATCGAATTCGGAATGAAATTTGTATCTACTAATGCTATACTTTAGGTAGGCTTTGGATAATTGGGATCATCCGATTCCATTTTAGATGTATCGATATCATGGTCTGTTGATATAGTTGGTATTAAACAAAAGCAATGTGGTAATCAAACGCAGGTCCTTATGTAGGATATAGTACCCTAGCTTGGCCGTGTTCTCGTGCATTCACCAGGGAATATTAGCATCCAAGACTGGAAACTATCATGCAAAATCAGGTATCATTAAAACTTTTTACTTCCGCCGCTCGACTTTCTGCGCAACACGGCAGACCATATCCTAGTCGAATACGTAGTGACAGATATAGTATCTAAAGGGTATATAGGTTCATAGCTTATACAACATTATTTTCCTACACCAGGCACCTAGGCCTTAAAAACCTGGGGTCGGTATTCGATGTTCTCTAATACCGCGTCGAAAGCTTCTTGCACATCTGCGTGGAAGAATGGCCGGTTAAGGCCATAAACGGGCACCTGGCGAGCGGAACCCTCGTCCTCGTTGATCGAAGATGGTTGCACGCCGATCTCTTCGTCACCATGGCTCGTGCGCTTCTCGACTGCCCCCTTTTCTCCAAGGTGACTTTCTCCAGAAAGCGGTGATGCGGCTTCCGCCAGATCGGCGACACTAAAAATGGATTTCCAGCGATGGCCAACTTCAGCGTCTCCCTTGGGCTGTAAGAACCCGAAACCAGCGGCGACAAGGGCGCGACGAGTCCAGGCGTTCCTAACATTGGCAAAATGCCACTCGACCGTATCGGGTTGAGTATACCTATCTAATTGGTTACGCACGTCGATTAAGGCTTGAACTGAAGTCGCATCCACGTTATTAACGGCGGAACAGTCCAGAATGATAGCTCTAAGAGTAGGTCGCTCTGCCGTATTGTCCACAACAACCTTGCCCTTACGAGGACCGGGGTCATTCCAGGGACGGTCCTAGTATAACATTAGTGAATGCAAATAGAGACTTAGGGATATCAGACTTACGCCTAGTTTTCCGATAGATTCCGGATCAGTTCTTCGCGTCGCTTTGAAAATGCCTGCCGTAAGCCCATCCAAGAAGCGAGTTGCGTTCGGATAGTTAAATAGCTCCGAAAATTGGTAGATAAACACGCCAGGGTAGGGATGAGAAACGGGTACGCGAGGATTCGAGTTGTCTTCATGGTCGATCGGGATGAACAGATTGCGCTCGCTCGAAATGTGGCCTTCCCTCAAAGTTAAGGGGGTCTTTTGATCGTGGGACAAGGTCTGGCTTGAGCTAGTACGCTTGCCAGATCTTAAGTCTCCAATAGTTCGAACCGTAGCAACACCAAGGAACCGACCCTTTGCCTGGAATAGGCGGAAAATGAAGACGGCAAAGGACACGCAGACTGTGGTGTAGATACCATCCTCAATACCGTCGAAGATAGTTACCAAAACTCCAGCAAAGAAGATGATAACCTCCAAGGGGGAGATTCTCCAGAATTGATACACGACGTTAGGTGGAGACACGACGTCCAAGACTGCGTGGATAATTACAGCGGATAGAGACGCTTGGGGGATATACCAAAAGACGGCCGTCAACGCGTAGAGAGCAAGGAGCACGACAATCGCAGTAATGACACCGGCGAATGGCGTACGCACACCGCATTTAGCCTTGATAGCAGTGCGGGAGAAAGATCCAGTAGCCGGATATGCACCAAGGAAGGGACCTAAGAGGTTACTGACACCAATGGCGACCAATTCCTGCGAAGGGTCGATGACGTAGTTATTAATACGACCGAACGACTTCGAAATAGAGATGTGTTCGATTAAGACAACAATGACGGCTGCAGGAAGCTCGGAGGTAAAGAAGGAGAGAATCTTGGGGTCGAGATTGGGAACCGCAGCATGTTGAAATCCTATATTTGTTAGCCATATATTGAACTGTTGATGTAAATAGTATGTTTACCTCGAGGAACTTCGCCGAGAACACTGAAAAGAGGGTTGGACCGGCGGTGAAGATTGACACCAGCACTAATTCCAGTATACAACAATATGACAAAAGCTGTCCGGAGGGTGGAGACGAAAAAGAGTGTCTTCTCTCGGTGAGGATACTTCTTAGCTAGATACGTGCAAGTCCCCCTAATGATGTACAGCATGAGTAAAGCTGTAAGACCCATAGCAGCGTCGATAGTGGTGTATTTGAGGTTCTTCAAGGTGTTGATGATAACCAGATAAGTGGGATCTCGTGTCGAAAATCGCTTCTTTTTGCTGTTCATGCCCATCATCGTGGGTATTTGTCCGACCGCAATGTTGATTCCGGATCCAGTCATAAAGGCAGCAATCGAAGGCAAAGGAATGAAATCGACGATCCAACCAAGTCGTGCTAACCCTAGGAAACATACAATAGCACCGACAACGACGGCGAGCGCAGATGCCACAACGTGGCCCGGAACATCAGGAATAGCCGCCTCTGCTCTGTTGACGATGCCGCCGGTGACAGTCGACATGACCGCGACAGGCTTCGGGGAGGGTTAGCAAAACATATCTTTAATACAACGGACCGAAGACAGGTACTATAAAACTTAGTAACATACTCCGATTGTTATATCCTTAGAGGTTGCAAAGAACCAATAGATAAGAACACCCATGAAGGATGAGTAGAGGCCATATTGAGGCTCAAGCTCCGCAAGCAATGCGTAAGCCATGCCTTGAGGCACTACTACGGCACCGACCGTAATACCTAAAGCCAGATCATGTCAGTCTTGTCCGTGCGATAGAGGGGGTAGAGTAGATTCTAAGCTTACCAGCAATCAGATCACCCATAAACCATATCATATTGTATCTAGTAATCCAGTGAAGGAACGGAAATAGGCGATAGAAATATTGGAAGATCCCTCGAGGCGTTGGTGTCACACTCGCGAGCCAGTCGACCGCGGTCGGGTCCTTTTCGTCATAGGGCTCGACATTGGGATGACTTTGAGACGCGTCTCTTGAGTCGGCGCGCTCAGCTTCGTGTTGCCCGTAAGGGTCGAGATTCAGGTTAAAGAACCAGGCAAAGCCATGGCCTACCTTGGTTAAAGTAGGAGACATATTTCAGTCTTATCAGTCTTACACAGTACCAAATATGAACCCGAAGGTTATGTCGGGGCGCGCCCCTTGAAGGTCCTCAGTGTAAAGCTACGCTGTAATTGGGTAAGATTACAACGCAACACAACGCAACAACCCAAGTCTAGATCTCGACTGCTAACGGAAGTTCACTTTGAAAAGGGCCATATAATATAACCAAGCCAGAGCAAATGCCATCAACGTGCTCTCCAGGAAGGTGGAATGAACTGCATAATGCGGTCGTATTTAATATAATTAACGACGGGAGTATATGCAGACGAGAGAGAGCCGAGGAAATGGATAACCCACCCCCCCCCCCCCGGACGAAGACTGTCGATTCTGGATCGCGCACCGAAGAAGGAGCATTATGCAATTAGGACTTACTCTCATGTATTTTCTTGGTGAGGACCAGTTATGGCTGTTATAGCTTCAGTTGGACGAACGAGAGCTCTTGTAGATGGCGAAATGCGGGTCTCCGATGATGTGCGCGCCCTTGTAACAGGGATTATGCGGGTTGTAATACCAAATATCTACTAAATGTCTATTGAAATTCGTGTACCTTGTCACTTATACCAGGACTAGCTCTTATTGCGCCATTGAGTTTACGGGGTCAGCTACGAGTCCAGCTCTCAGCCTCGATCCAATCATGAACCAATAGGAATTCTATTTATCATGTGAAAGAGTCGGCATGATAGATACAATGACATATTTACATACAAATTGCCATATGGGACCCCCAACTTCTGGCTCCAGCATCTTCACTACGATGAACTTCCAACTTTTCCAGCAGGCCGGATCCAGATCTTAGCCTCCATCTACACATTAGATCTAAGAAGCACGCGTGGCCTAGACCTAAGCCAAGCTGAAGTAAACACGTACATACAGATAAGGAAAGAGGATGAAGGATATCTATGAACCAAGTCTCTATCGAGATGTAACCCACAAGATCTGGTAACTATGAGGTAAACCATAGCTTTTCTTATACCTTAGTATTTGCTCATTTCTCTATCCACGCGGATTATCGTCTCATGACATCTCCTTGGCGAGGGGGGCTCCAAGACGGCACACGCCGTAAGTCCAACAAACAAATAACTCAGTTACCTAATAATATTCTTTCGTATGTTATATGTAGAACACCCCATGCTCATCTAGGTTACCTACTAGCCCCCGCCAATACTCTTGTCTCACGGAGATACTGACCCTTATTGAAGGCCTCCCGAGGCATCAATCGTTAGGACTATGTTTAATAAAGTCTAGATCATGACTTACCTGGCAGTCTAACGCCCCTAAGTATACTATGAACTGATGAATTCAGATAGTGCCTCTATCGTGGTTCCAAGTAAATTTTCAGTCTAGAAGAGCAGCTAAGTTTAGTGAGATCTCGAAGACTATCAAAGACAGGTTAGTGTATAAGATAATACTATAAAACTTGGGCTATAGTGTGCTATAGTCGTAATACACTGCCGATCTTAAGGCTTCAAGCTTCCATTCAGCCTCTCAGATAGGAAACTAGCAATCACACCATGAGTAGAGGAAGCCAAACAGACAAGCTGACCTCATATTATGATTCACTATCGAAGATTCGCATTGAAGTCCTGTAAGACACTTGACGTAAGAGGCTTATTTAGGCTACGTACCTAGGTAACTAGGCGAAAGTGAATTACAAGAAAATGATCTAACGCCATATACACCTTGTTTGATTTCGCCATCACGTTGTCTATATACTACCTTAAAGCAAGCGTAAGTTATAACCCGCTAACTATCGTTTATAGGAGTATATCTTGATATTAGCGTAATAACTATGAATTCACGCCATAATTTTGCGTATGATAATCCTTCAACTATAATATGCTATTGTTTGCCGGGAAGAATAATGCTAACCTAGATAATTACCAAAATGAAACCCTTGAAAGATAGACCCTAAATCCAATCAACCAGACCAGACTCCAGCCATGAACCACCAATGCATCATAACCCTATCCCAACCAAATGCCCCTATATGCACCACAAGTAGAACTTCTAACTCTTAGAACAGCGGCAACTGTTACTGTCTCCGGGACCACAGCTTCCGGGTACCTTTTCCCACATGCAATTATTCTCGGCTTTATGGATATCGCAGGGCACTTCGAGAATCTCGATAGGTGTACATGCTTGTCTGTCCAAGGTAAAGGTGATGGAAGGGGTCTCGCTCGGGAACGCGTAGCTGATCCCTTTCCCGAAACCCCCAAGACAGTACTTGCCGCATGACCACTTTGTAAGTGTGAACACACCAGAATCGCCATATAGAGCGGTTCGTCCAATATGGTTCCCGTCCGAGGCTCCATTAAGCCACTGACTCCCTTGAACTTCCGAGCTCTGGTGCGCGGTCCCCTGCACGTCTTTGATATGTACGGGGTCGTTGGGGTTCACGGCGCGGCCTATAGTGCAGGCTTCATTCCCGCAGATCTTGAAGCGCCCGATACGGTGCTGGTTGGAGTGGTCGGCTGCGCTGTAGTGTAGTTGTATGCTATCGTAGCCGAAGGTATGTCCGTTTTCCATCTTGAAGACGTAGCATTTTCCTATTACGCGATTAGATTTCTCCGCGGTTATGGATATTTATGCGAGAATGAATTAGCACGTACCGGTAGTGATGCCAGAATCGCAACCTATTGGTCCCCTGCAGCCACCATCTGCGGCCGGGCTCGTTCCCAGCGGACAGGCACACTGGCCATCCACCATAACCTTTCCATTACTGCAAACCCAGCCACATCTAATACCATCGTAGGACTGGCCCACAGGGCAGCATTTATAGCCGGTATGGTCGCTTCCAACTAAATCGTGACCCTCAGCACAGCAGTCAAATGCGGTATCAGGGCTCCCAAGTAGTCTCTGACCTGGCGCACAGCATGCCACGAATACTTGGTCTGCGTCGAACGTGAGACGCTTGCCGGTACCTCCGGCGCACCGGAAAACATCCTCAAAGTCAGAGCCGGCCTCTTTGAAAAGGATCTCCTGGCTTCTTTGATCGATGCGGCTGTCATGATCAATCTGAGCTATTTCAACATTCCTCTTGTTAAGATCGCGGCGGATTGCCCCTAATGCGAACGGGAGTCCAACACTAGAGGCAACGAGCCCAAGTCGTAAGAGCTTCATGACGACGGTAGCTCTAGGCAATACTTCAAGCAAGCGTCACGACGAAATATTAATGAAATATTAATAATAAAGATATCGCTAAACTTGCTGTTGGGGCCGGATTCCTTCGCAACTTCATCGTGCTGGGAAATTTATTAGTTTTGATGTTGGTAGTAAACATCAAAGGGCCGGTTATCAAGGCGACTTTCATACTTGCCTATACAACTCAACGAGGCTGTCTTACGGCCACAAATACACGTTGAACAGTTCATAAAGCGACGTGAACCTAATCTTATCCCTCATTGCACAGTTATGCATTGCTGTCAACCAACACGAAGCCTAAGTATAGAGTACTGGTGATCTGCGCTGAAGATAAAATCGAAATAAGGTTGATCCCGCTGCTAGATTTCTTAGCTATTCGATAGATGGACGTCGATCCACACAGGAGGGACAATGCTCTCGGTACATAACTCGCGAATCATAACTTTTGTATAAATTGTGAACTACGTGGTCGAGGGGTTTAAAATCTGCGATAGGGCCTGTGTTACTGCCACGTCTCTTGATCTCAGCTTTCAGCTAGAAGCATAGCTGTCTCTTGCCAAGAGCAACGAAAGCGACAAAGAGGCAATTTTTGAGGCCTCCGTCGGTTTGCTCGTACAGAGTGGAGATAGAGACGTTTGTTTCTTACTGGCTTTTCGGCGGTGATGGAGCTCGACTCCGGATCCACCAGCTTGTAGATAGGACATCATCACAGCAGTAGGGTATTAATATTAGGTAGAGTTTATAGTAGTTTGAAGATTTTACGTGCTCGTCAGTATTTGAGATATGTTAAAGATATCGGATAACTGTAGCCGAAAGTCTTGGTAGGTGGCGTGGTATGTGCATTGGGTTTATTCTGGTGCTGTAGACTCAAGGTACTGGACTGACTTCGTCTCTTTTATAAAGGTATTTAACTGCAGAAGTCTACTTAAAAGGTACCGCATTTATATCAATATAATAATAGAGAAGTCCCAAACTGAAGCTGAGTACCTAAAGCTATGTTGTAGGTTGCTGGCTAATAACACATGTATACCTCATATTGCCTTCAGCTATATGGTTTTTGGATACTTGATCGCATCGCCTTAGATGCTAGATACCAGATCTATTTATATTAATAGGTATTTAATATGATCTATATTAAATCTTGCATTTTAAATTAAGTACCTGATACTCGTGCTTTATTTGACCCTTACCCACATATAAAATGATTTTAACTAATAGTTCACTTCACTTATACCCCTTAACATGAGAATATGTCCTACGCCGTATAAGAACAATGAGAGTAATAAAGAGAGGAGATTTGTTTATATTTTGTCTGTACCAACCGCATATACCAGTATGTCAATTTATCTATTCCTCCATATCTCTAACCTATTTAGTAGGTTCTCGTGATGACCAAGACACAATCTTAAAGGGCAAAAGCCACGAATTTTCCAATACCAATGTGCTCCGCCGCTACATCGAGAGCTTCCTTCCAATCTTCCATCTTAAAGAGCTTCGTTTCCACGAAATCCTTGCCACGAGGAAACAAGCCCCTTTCTAGCATCTTAAAGAATAAAACGATATCATCTCGATTGTACATCAGCTTCCCTTTTATGGAGATGTCCATACCTATGATAATAGGGACCATAGGATCCTCATTCCAGCCCATAAAGCTAACACGCCCACCACGGCGGAGAGCCAAGATGGTACTCTTGACATGTTCGGACTTGGCTGCCTTCGGTGGCGTAAGATCGAGGACAGCGTCAACAGTGCCAAACGCCCGCAGCGCAGCCGCATCCGCCATCACATCCCCGGTCATCTTCACCGTCTCGATATTGGCGTTTGGCGTGCCCCTTAGCACATGTTCCTTGAGCCTGGCTAACTCCTTCTCGTTTCGGCCAAAGGCGATGACTCTTGTTCCCATACCAATAGCTGCTTGTACAGCCGCGCCTCCGTAGCCCCCAGTAGCCGGACATATAATGATAGTTTCGCCAGGCTTCAAGTCAATATCCTGGAATCCGCCGAACCCAACAAGCATGTGGCAACTATACAAGATATCCGGGACTGTGTAGCCCAGTTCGCCGCACAATCTCGCCTCGTCAAGGGCAAAGCAGTTCTCCAAGGGCGCTTCGGCGTACTCGGCGAAATACCCGTTACGCCATACGTCGCGGATTAGCTTCCTGCTGCCCTCGCTCAGGCCCTCGTGGATAGCTGTGAGGAACATATCACTAGGGTTGTCGCGCGAGCGGATCACGCAGTCGACATACACGAGCTGACCTGGCTTTAGGAGGGTCGCATCGGCCCCAACGGCGACGATACGGCCAATTGCACTGATACCACCTACAATTGGCTTGGGGAAGTTGTAGAAACGAGTACCGCCATAGATCTCGCGGTGGTAAGAAAGTATACCGGCAGCAGTTATTTTGACGACGGCTTTGCCCAGGCAGGGCTGGGGAGTTGGGATGTTCTTGAGGTTGAAACCTTCGCCGATGGCCTCGAGCACAAGGGCGCGGTGTTCGGTGGGAAGGTCGGATGCCATAGTGGAAGTGAAGATGAAGATAAGGTTGAGATTGCAGGATAGGTAGAGAGACAGCTGATTATGGACATGTTCTCAGGCTTATATACCGGATCTTAAAAGCTTTATATAAGAAGAATGGCCGTTCTACCTCAGCCGGCGATGATCGGATATATTCAAAACTTCTCCGATTAATCTACGGGAAACATTTCCCCTTTAAGGATTATACCTCTTGCGAATACCTATCTCCGCGAAGCCCTTGATACTATAGCATGATGTTTCCAAAGGTTTTTTTTTATATGGTGTTGCTTGATTATTATCTCCTAGAGACCCCATGCTCCTTATCTCCACAAAACCAGATGACATGAGTGAATAGGGGTAACCGTCAGTAATTTCACATAAGACGCGAGGGGATAATAATGGAAATAAAAGTAAAATCATAGGACTTAAAACTAGTGCATTCCAGTTCATGTCTTTACGGTATTCTACGAAAGCGTTGTAGGGATACGAGCTACTTCATTATAATCACAAGTTTACTATCCTACAATACTATGAACCATCTAGTTTTCGCGGGTATTAGAATCTGACTACCAGTAAAACCTCTTAATATTTCTCAATTCAGCCCGACATGCTTGATATTGTGGTTCGGAGAAAGCTCATAAAACCGGGTAGACACCAAAATAGGAGAGGGGAACATAAAACTTATCACCGGTAACTCAGGTGTTAAACTCCACATACAGAAACATCAAGATCAACATCATTCAAGGCTTATATCATCGGTAACCAAACCACTCAGGTAAACTCCGTGCGCCAAAGTACTAAAGCGGAAAGGGTATGAGTCCTATCGCCGGTATTAAACTGCTAACTCCGCATCGTTACTGAAATAGTTCATGGTAAGTTTCAAGAGCGATGTGCAAGTGCTCATTAACAATTTTATTTTGAAGACTCAACAACATATTACTTATGCCCTCAAATGAGTTTCATAGGTTAGTTACCTTAGGTACCTAACCTAATGTGTACCTATTCTTACTCTATCGCAAAGTCTGCCGGGCATGTTTTACCCTCGAAGCTATTCGTCCCAGTATCGACAGTAAGTAATACACCTAAAACAGATAGTGCAATGAGGTTTACCAACTGTCCTGTCCCGAGACGACTCTATATTCTTCTATGTTAAAATACCTAATGTTTAGTTTTAATTACCTCGCTCCAATAAATCCACACAGTCCTCTAGCTGCGTAACCACAGCCTCAAAGAATTCTTGACAAAAGTTGTCATTCCGCAAATCAGCTTCATTGTGAACGTTTTCAAAACACCAGTTAACCACTGCCAGATACCTCGTGCCGCCATTTTCCAGGATTCCGTTAGTTAGTCGACTTCCTATCTTTCGCTTTGGACTAACCGACTTCACATCCATATTGTCTTCAACATCGAGCCCTTTAATCGCCTTCCCGATAATAAGCTGTGTAAGCAAAACCCCAAGTGAGAATATAATTAGATTCATCGGCTTCCGCGAGTTGGGCGACTTAACCTTTTGAGTTGTCAAGGGGAAGTTCCCCGAACCGTAGCTTTTCATGATATGGGGACGATAGGGAGAATCATGATGAGAATATTCAATACAATCGTCGTAGAAGAAAACAATGTCATCTAAGGTAACCATGTTTTCTAGCCACGGTGTATCATAGAGGTGTAGAATACTGATAGAAAGGGCCAGGGCCGCCTTGATCTTATCAGGATATTCAAATGGCGGTAAGCCTTTCTTGCTTATATCGACAATCTGCCGGAGCGTCACTTTTCTCTGGAAACTTGGGGAAGATGAAGGGTATAGCTCGAACTTGCGCTCTGAATGCAGAACGTATCCGAAGCAGCTTACAGCCTGCTTGTTACTTATTTGGATAGCTTTGCAGAGGTTGATAACTCGTTTAGGTGAACTTGGAGTTGTTGGCAAGATAGGCAATTTCTGTATATTCTTTATTCGAGTTTTTGTTGCTGAGGATATCGCTATGTTTGATTTTGAACTCTTTGGTCTCATCCAAGGAATCAATCGGATACGTCTTCTAGTATTTTGACTAGGATTAGATATTTTGGTAGGAGACGAAGGGCGTTCGTCGCTCTCATTGTCTACTAGCCGAACGGCGAGACTGCTCCAGCTTTCTCTCGTATCCTGAATTACGTGGGCCACGCAATTTCTACCATCGGCGCCAACACCATTGGCGGATTTCAGTACAATATTAAAATTGAACTTCTTAGCAACTTGCTCTTCGATATCACCGGGAACGAGGACAACACGCCTATGTTCAAGTTCAAGACTGACACTATGCTCATTAGCACATGTGCACGTCAACGCGCTGAGTATAGCGTTGTATATGCTCAATGACAACCCGCGAAGAAGCCTTGTGACCCGTGCTTGGGAGCGATGACGCCTGTTTGACTCCAAGTCATTATTTGGTGCAATAAGACCTTCGAGAGCCGAGTTCCCGGTTTTTATACGGGATAATATGTTTTCATAATCCTTTCTATTCAACGTGAAGGATGTCCCTTTCTTGAGTTCCTGGAGAATCGAATGTGAGTCTGTTGGATTTGTCTAAGTATTAAGAGGTAGTTAGATTTAATTCAAGTGTAGAAGTTTCATATAATAGTTTACTTACGGCGTCATTGGATGGAATACAAAGCTTTTCTTTTAACTCTTTTGTTGCCGCTAACATCTCTGCAACGTGGGTTTCGAATGTCCCTTTTGACGTCCAGAGCCGTATACTTAACTCGTCGGAGTACCGCTTCCATTCATCACCAAATGGATTATTGGTCATTCTATCTATCATAGCTAATGGCGCTATTCCGACCAGGAGAGTCTCGCAAGTATTCTGAAACCGTATGCATTCTGTTTCGAGATCCCTCTGAAGACAGATGAGGCCGTACTGAACATGCCACATCGACGACAAGATAGACTTATAACTTTGCACCGCTTTTATCGCTAGAGGGAGGGCCCCTAGGACAAGACCGGCTATTTCCAGACCTGACATTGACAGATTAAGCTGGTTTCAACGGGACAAGGGGGATTGGTGCTTCTCGTAATAGGTATGGGAAGAATTGGTGAGCCCCCGCTCAGCTATGGTCAAGAAGTCGAGATAATGTAACATGTGGCCGCCCCTTTGCAATCTTATTGGAGCTCTATGGCTACGAGGCTGTGTGCGGGGATAGACAGTAAGGAATACGGATAATACCATACGTGCCTTAAATCACTCACTCTTATTTCATGGAAGTGACCAAGCTTTAAGCCTTCCGCCTTAGGTGCCAAACCAAAGACAGAAAATCAAATACAAAATGGATATCGAGCCTCGATTTTCAAAAATTGTTGCGCATAATTTACAGTGCTTTAAGATTCTCATCTCATCCTTCAATGACGACCCCATTCCGAGAGCAGCACGTACTCTGTCTCATTTGGCAAGATTTAAATTATGGGCTGGAAACCTGGGGGCACATCGTCAATCAGGAAGTCGTTCCCTAGAATACCGTCTTCGAGATGCATCATCGCTTCGGAAATATATCACTTCTCTACTTCTACAACTACGCAGCTCCCTCGAGAAAGGTTAGTTCAGATGCGTTTGGGTATACACTGCAATATGCTACTAGTTATACTGAGCGTGATATAGCCTGTGTCACATCAAGGGAATGCACATCTGAAGATGAATCTGAAGATGAGCATAGAGACCCAGTTGATAAGGAGTTAGCGGCTCTTTTTCGACAATATAATGGCTCCAATGAATCTACGCTCGATTTAATCCTAGGGGACGTAGGCCATATACTCGACTGCTTACTTCGGCTGTCTATCACTATTACCAATCCAGCCCCATATGATCAATTCAAATCTAGAGCCGAAGATGGCAGCTTCGCTAACCTTCCTACAGAATGGGATATCCGCCACGTAGAAGAAAAATTTCCTAGCTTAAGCCATGATCTTGCTGAAAGACTCGGGAAAGCAATAACATTTCGGCGTCAGTATTTCAAGTACCGGGAAGACCACTATAGAAAGCTTTCTGAGGGTATACAGAGCGACAGTGGTGTCAACGAGGATATCGGTGCTATCTTCGATGCCATCGTTGATGATATAGGTGAACAGACGACTATAGCCTCTCCTATCCCCCAAAACCTCAGCGATTATAGTGATGAATTAAACCTGCAAGGTAATTTGACGGTAGATTTGGACTCCAGGTCAGAAATCTCTCGAACTTCATATGCCCCTTCTAGTCTTAATCCAGATCAGCTGAGAGTTCCGCCATTGCCAAAAGGACATCTTGATGGTCCGTTCATGTGCCAATTCTGCTATTTTATAATCGAGGTAGATTCGAGGCAAGCTTGGAAGTACGCTAGTTTACCATAAGAAAGCCCTTTTCTCCCTTGTACCATATTAATGTATATATAGGAAGCATGTATTCAGAGACTTAAGGCCATATGTTTGTCTTGAGCCTTGTCTTACAGCTGATCATCAGTTCTCGCATCGCTCTGACTGGGCTAGCCATATGAGAAATGTTCACTGGAGGCAATGGCACTGCCCTTTAGGCTGTTCTCAAAATTTTGATACAGTTGAGGAAGCCCGAGCCCATCTTATGGCAAACCATACTGATGACCTAGAAAGCGGCCAGAGAGCTGTAGGGGACATTGGTAGCCAACCAGATATCCGCAAGGCAGAAGGAAATTGCCCGGTGTGTTTCAACAAGCAGATCAACACAGCCCAACAATATTATTCTCATGTTGGTGATAATTTGGAGCAACTATCTCTTTTCGCACTACCGTACTCCGACGCTGATGAAGATGAAGATGAAATTTCAGAGCAAGGGAGTGAGGAGGAAGAGGACGGGACCAATAGTACGGGCGACAATATTCGAGAACAGTCTAGATCGAGGATGAGAAATGACCCAAGGTCTCTTTGGAGGCGACCATATCTGCTCATTAGAGTAATCCATGCTTTCCGCAATGATGGAATATATAAACCTAGCATTCTCCGTCGAATCTCGCCTCCTTCGGACATTACGCATTGACGAAAACAGAAGAGAAAAAAGTTAATAAAAAGATTAAGCCGAAATATTCCAAGTCAATTTATCTCCTACTTATTTTGAATTATTTTCAAACTTTTTTTTTTTTTAAAAAAAAATTTGCTCTTTTTATTATTTTCTCTCTTGCGTAATAATTGTACAAACTGAAGCAATTGGCAAAGACTTAACTAATGTGTAGATGAGGAGTTTCGTATCACATTACTACATAAACATAGCGGTGCTATTACATCAGACAATAATCATCTTTTATTATCATACCTCATCCAGCAAGATAGAAAAAACAACGGGGTTTTCTGCTGTGTTCCTGTAGTAGAGTATCTGATTGGTGTTCGTCAGATCACGACGTTTTCTAGATAAGGAGTTGATGGTCCGACCGCAATATCGCCAATATCACCAATATTAAGTGTGACCAGTTCGCTGTAGGGTGGTGGTGACTACGACGTCGGATCATACATGTCGAACGCTTTCCACGCAGTCAGTCCTTACGAGGCCGTCGTCATGGGTGTGCTGGATCGATGTCATGGTATTAATGGTATTAATGAAGATGGGCTAATGAAGATGGGCTGCCATGGCGACGATGCTTAGGAACTGACTCATAAAGGTGGGCAGAGTCAACGAGGTGAAACAGAGTTGAGTTAATTTGATAGGTTAAAGAATAGCTGTCGTATGTTAATAAACAAGCAATTCGAAGTTGCATATTGGACCCTGATTTATTCTTCCAACCCTTTTTTTTTCTTTAAGAATTTGGGAGGGCGGCAACTTCCGGATATTATAGGTAAGTGATATCGTGCTGCCACATGCTTAGATACAAGCACTACCTCCTAAGATATGTACAAACAGTGGTATCTACCTACCTAGGTAGATACTTGGAGATACTTCATCCTTACTTAAGCGGTATGTACTTATAATTGGGTCTTTGTTTGAGCTAAAAGCAACGCTAGCGGGTACAATTCCGTCACCCCCCAATCGCAGCGGTAGTCAGCCATCCCACCACCTACACCTGCCGCAGCTTATATCGGTAGTCAGGGTAGTCAGAGGTACTTGAAAGATACCTGTACTGGGGCACTTAGGCTTAGTTGCATTCTTGCTCCCCTCCCCAAAACGAACTTCCAATACAAACCACGACAAAACCTCCCACCTCTTTCGACCACATCTTCTTCTCAACACCACCGTCCATTCGCAAGCCCAACGGCACAGAGAAACCCGTCTGTTAAAGACTCGTTCCTTTGATCGAGGAGACTTTCGTGTACTTCACCATGAACCCTCACCAGAAGAACAAGGTTGACGTCAAGGTCAGTTTTCCATTCACACCTACATCCCTCCCCACCACACTCATCTACTCTACTCCTCGTCGGGTTGGATGCCCACTTACTGTACCCAAGCCAGGGGGGGTAGACGATGCGACGGACGGAACCAAACATATCATCCCAATATTTGGTTAATTATGGCGAGATTTAAGTCTCACGTCTTTGTCTCTACTACACTACCGAACATCTCCATCGTTCCACATGACACCGCTGCACATAACCCCACATACAAATACCACCAGCATGGATGCTAACTCCCTCTATCGCAGTCGCTCACCCCCGATGAGCAACGCCTCTTCCGCCTGTACGGCAAGCTGCCGTCGAAATCCGACCATTTCGCCAAGCACCTAAAGGAGCGCAAGTATTTTGACAGCGGAGACTACGCCATGTCGAAGGCGGGCAAGGGCGACAGCGTCGACACCGGCAGCGTCGGCAGCCAGCACCCCGTCCCCGAGAACATCCCCCACCTAACGTCGCCCAACGGCCAGAACGGCGGTGGCGTCGTCGCTCACCAGCACCACCCCAGCCTGCACGCTCACACCGGCCAACAGGTCACCTCCACCGGCAGCCCTATCAAGGAGAGCAGCTTCCTCAACCGCGAAACCAGCGCCGACGAGAACGACACCGCTGAGAATGGCGACAAGGAGAACAACGCTATCAATGCTGAAGCTGCCGGTACCGCGGTGAACGGCGATGCTGCCAAAGCTATCCCGATCAGAAGATAGGATGATAGTAAGACGACACTGCTACTAGGGCGGGACAATGTAGGATGAGGTGAGACGAGATGATTCAACGGGGGATAGCGAATGAACAGCGTTGGATGCTACCTACTTACCTAAGAAAAGAGGCGCGTTATCTAAAGGGTTTCCACCCTTCTCCCCAGCCCTATCATGCACGGCCAAGGGGAGCGCATGTGTACGTTTTTTGCCCGTCGTTGTACGACCGAGTAGTTGCGCTGCGTTTTATTGCGCGCGAGGGAGACGAGAAAGGTGCAAAGGGTGCTAGTTAGCCGGCTCCCTTTCAGGCCGATGGGAAACGAGGGACTTTTTTTTAGTTACTTCTTTTTGATTTTTAATCCTCCCGCGGCGTTCGGGGAAACGGTGATTTCGCGTGGTACTGGCAAAGGGAAATCTTCGCAATTGCAAAAAATATTACGGATGAAACGACGCTGTGTCGTCGTCGTCGTCGTCGTCGTCTTCTAGGGTCTATTCCCAAATCCCAAATCGAGAACTTTCGCTAAGATCCCTGGTTCCTTTGCTTTTGTTTTAGTCTCTGTGTTCTGGCTTGGTTGACTTAGGTATGTTTGGAACTGCTGCTATTTATTACTCTTGCCTGTAAATGAAACATGGGTTAGGCATTGCTCTGGTGTCAGTGTCAGATAGTTGTTTTTGATAACGAGGGTTAATATCTCGGAAAATCTGAAGTCGTTGTGCCGTGTTCTCAACAGGGTATTCATGTGCTAGATTGTAGCTTTCCATTGATTGTTTGTCTTTCTGCTGGGTATATACCAGGAAGCTATCATCACACTTTTCCAGTTCCTCTACATACTTGGTTACTCGGTAAGTGGAATTCTATCTTCAAAATGCACAGGCCTTCTCCGCCAACGCCTTAGCACCATCGAAGGTCTTGCTTCCTCCGATGAATCCCGACGCATGCACAAATACACCACCCGGAACCCCAGACAGCTCGTCCAACTGCTCATCGCGCGCGCCCCGCCACGGCTCGGGCAGCGCCTTTCGGCTCTGGAACGAGTCCTTGGTCACAGGCACAGCTTGTATCCGCCACTTGGAGTCGAGGACGGGCTTCTCCGGGTACAGCACGTAGAGAATTTTCTTAGCCGACTCTCCCTCTTCTTCTTCCAGGGTATACAAATGGTCCTTCCAGGGCACGGATTGGCCCTCAAACACCATGACGCGGCCCTCGGGGTCGAACTGCAGTCTTTTCTTGTAAGCATCCTGAACGATGGCGCGCGCGGGCAGCCATGCTCGCGTGTAGAAATCGAGGTCCCGCGAGAACTCCTCGCCAATACGCGTGCTCGCCGTAAGGAACTTCTCGTCCTCGGCGGCCTGGGCCTCGATCGGGTCCGAGGGCATGGGATCGTTCCATTTGGGGTTTAGGCGACCAACCATGGCACCGAGCGAGAAGCCACCGGTGCTAAATGCCTTCTCGATGCCGGCCTCCTCTAGCTTCTTCGGGTCGTACGATGAGATGCCGTTGTCGTGGGCGTCGAGAGGCTCGATGAAGGACTCGTAGAGCTTGTTCCACACCACACCGACCTCATCGCTATCCTCAGACTTGCTTAGTTGCTGGGCGACTATGGACTTGCCGAAGTGCATGTACACCAGCCCCGCGCTGGACAGCCTGGTTGGTCGGCCGGGGAAGGTTGTGGTGAAGGTACGCTGGTGGTGGTCGTAGCGGTTGCGCGAGGCGTCATATTCACCACCTACGTCGACGATGGTGTGGCATGTCTCTAGTAGAGCCGGGTCGCGCGTGCGGACGAGGGAAGAGTCGGCGTAAGTAGGAAGTAGCCGTAGCATGTAAACGGCGAGGGCCTCATCAGCATGGAAATGGCCGTTGTGGGTGCCGATTTTAACACCGCTACCACCGCCCGAGGTTTTCAATCTTTTTGCTGCGCTTTCAGCCATTTTGAATACTTGTCGGAACATACAATTGTATATATTTGGTTATATATGTGGTTGTTTAATTGTTCCAATTGACTTTTCGTTGTTTGTAAAGGTCAGCCTGTGAATATTTCTAATGATAACTATTGGCTGTAAAGAAGTAATAAAGAGGGATAGCACACGAATGGTGGGCTGGTGGGGTCTATAATTTGGCCTTTTTAAGTTTGGTGCGGTGCAGTAGGTAATATCGGGTATCCAGGTATCGATAGCTTGAGGTGTGGAATGTTTAATTGATAGGTACCTAGGGGTGGTTTTAGCAAAGTGCTCCATCTGGAGAACTGATGCTTTTATTAGCCCCCAAAAGAAGGAGGAGATGGTATGAACGCGTGTTGTTAGGAAGGAAAGATGCGCGGTATCAGTGTGCTAGGCTAGAAGGGAAATGCGATCGCTCTTGCCATAACACATAACCTCTTTTTTATGAATACACCCGCCCTTTTTGAATCATTAAATTTTCAATCCACCAAACATTAACCCCCCAACTCTCATTGTCTTCTTGTTTTTAGTCACGTTCGGAGGCATGGGCCATGTTTGACAATTCCGCCTTGTCCCGTGTCGCTTGTCGTAATCATTTAGGATAGCCTCCCCTCCCAACCGAAATTTTATCTCTCATTTATCTCTCATTTACTTCTCTTCGCAATCAATTAACCCAACCTTTCCAAATTCTTACCATCTCTAATTTAATTCCCTTTTCCCCTTACAACCGTCAAATTATCATTTATCGCGTCTCTATCGCGTAAGACGGCTGCTACGTAGACAGACAATGGAACGCTCGGTTAAGGCCGAGTTCGACAAAGATGTCGACCATAGCGACCTTCATATGACTGGTACCAGGCCGTCATATAAATCGTGGAAGAAGAAGTATCGAAAGATGCGCATCAAGTTCGACCACCAAATGCAGGAAATCGAGACTCTGCATAAACTAGAACAAAAGGCCATGCGAACTGCTAAGCGGTTAGCTATCGAGAACGAGTAAGAACTATCCCTTTCTTCGCGCTTTATCTCGACAGATGGACATGCGACCGCTAACCGCGCCTTCAGTCGCCTACTGGACTTGCTATTTGATATCAACGAGTCGCCCCAGATCCCTTTCGAGCGACGGATAGACCTCGGTTTGGAAGATGACGATGACGATAACGACTCAGACGCAACCCAAAAACCTACAAGGTCTCTAAGGCGACTAGAGCAGGACGTTCCGCATAGATCGTTTGCCGCCACTGTTGACCAATATCCAGAAATATTGGATGACTTGGAACCTCGAGACCCCCAGATACATCCTACTTCTTTTCTAACAGCTGATGACGTTGACGAGTATCTCCACGAACTCGATACGCGATTGGGCCTAAAGCCAAAGCCCACTCTCGCGCCTAGCGCCATTGGCAAAGATATCCCAAATCCAGCCGCCAACTTCGCGCTGCGCAACCCGACGAGTGTCTACAACTGGCTGCGAAGACATGCACCTAAGACGTTCCTCCAAGACCTTGAGAAGGAGAAGGACAAAGGCAAAGACAAGGACGACGGTCATGATAAGGACGACGACGGTCGGAAGCGCAAAGGCGGCGGGGCCGCACGAAATAAGAGGCAATCAGCTGTCAGCCGTAAGGAAAAAGAGAAGGAAGCTGCCGAGTCCATGGACTGGGATGATGATGCGGGTTACGATGCGCCGGCGAAGGGGAAGAGGAAAAGAGACGACGACGGCGGTTACCGACCTAAGGGGGGATCGAGCAGGCCTACGAAGAAGCGTAAGAGCAAAGACTTTGGTTCTCTTCCAACCAAGGGTTCGCGGAAGTCAACCGCTTAAATTCTTATATTAACTACCTACCTACTCCATATTACGATAGTCCTACGAGGGGGCTTCTTCGGTGTATTTTCATAAGTAGTCGATGGCTACGGGCGCAGGGTTTAAGGGCATTAAAAGGCACCACGATGATTGAGATCAGTTTGGCATGGAATTGGTACTAGAAGGGTATATAATGCGGTAGTGTTTTGATCAGTCTAGTCTAGCCTCACAATCCTGTGTCTAACTAGGCCTATTAATAAGTTCAAGTGCGTCTTTACAACTGCTTTCCCATTCCGTGTATAGTGACTGAATCGAGCTTCACATGACATACATACATACATACATACCTGCAAGGGCGTCTACGTAGGAGCTTTGGCCGTGTCGACTTGATTGGTTCCCGCTCTTTCAATTAAGTGGAATTTTCTCAATGGGTACAAATTCAGGGCTTTGTTTTGTTTGGGCTTCCATGGAAATCTTGGGAGCCAATAAATTCATACAATTAAGTCGAACGGGTCAGCAGATACATCGTCAGTTCTCAACCTTTATAAGTTGTTTACCTACATAAATTAGTTGATCAAAATCGCAATATCGGAATTCGAACTGAGACTACTTATAGTAAAAGGCGTAGTTATATCTACTACATAGGTTAAGCTTTTGGGTCTCATTGCAGCATACTACTTCGTACATACATACCTGGTACGCAAACTAAACATAACAACAATCGACACCGAGATCCAGGGAAATCTCGGAATATAAAAGGTGCCCTCCTTTCCCACACATCGTTACCCACATTATAAGCAGTCCAGTCACGCACGCACGCAGCAGCAGCAAGTCCCAGCCCACCAAGATGCCGGAACGCAAGACATACGTAGTGGAGCACCTGGACGCGGAGCTGGGGCCGTGGTCGGAGCTGGAGTACGCGGCGATCGCGGAGGAGACGCAGCGGGCGCAGAGCACGTTTATGCTGTCGTCGCTGCCGCGCGGGTTCAAGGTCCCGTACAAGCTGACGGGGTTCCCGTCCTTCATCGCCGAGGGCCGGAGCATCGAGGATATATACACGGACGAGGAGGACAGGGAGAGGGTGTGTCTGCTGGATCCGCAGGCGGAGAGGGATTTGAGCCCGGATGATAAGAGGGACTTCGATGTGTTTCTGTTTGGCGGGATTCTGGGCGATGATCCGCCGAGAGGTATGTGTGGGCTTTTCTTTGCTGTGGGGGGGGTGGAGGCCAGATGGTTTTTTTTTTTTTTTTTTTTTTGAGATGGATGGGTGAAGGGAAGGATAGCGGAATGGTAATGAAAATCAAGTTGCTAATATGATGGACAGATCGCACGTCCGAGCTACGTAAGAAGGGATACCAGGGCCGCCGGCTAGGCCCCGTGCAGATGACGACGGATACGGCGGTGAGGGTGACACGGATGGTGATCGAGGAGCAGTGTAGGTTGATTCACCTCCCTCTTCTCGGCCTTGCCTATTTTTAATAGCCAGCTACCTCGCGAACGAGTAAGAGTATAGTGAACCCACGGAGCTAACGAGGGAAACAGTCACGTTGAACAAGATACCCTACCTCGACTACCCCGAGCTCAAGTTCACCGAGCACGAGAGCACGGAGATGCCGTTCCGATACGTGAAGGGCAAAGACGGAAAGCCGATCATGCCTCAGGTGGGTGAATATTTCCGCAATTTTCTCATTTCTCATTTTCTATTTTCTCATTTTCTATTTTTCCCCCCAATCCCACAGTCTTCACCGCTGTTTTAGTCTTTGTCTGCTACATAGCTGGAGTATGGCGTCTCTGATAACGACTTGGTAGGGAATGATAGATCTTATCAAGAAGGATGCCGACAAGAGTATCAACGATCTATTCTAGAATCCATTCCAGAATGAATTCTAGACTGTGAACTGCAACGAGTACCGGGACGAAATTGGGCAACGAGTGATTAGGACAGGCTAGGTACCTACCTACCTAACCTGACCAACAAAATTACTTGACTAAACGCAAACGCCATGGCTGGTTGATGGGGTTTGAGGATCATCGAGTAGTCTGTGACTACCTAGTTACTGTATTATGAGCTGGAAAATGCGATCACGCATGTATTTACCCCCGAGGAACAAAGTACTCCACAGGAAGCAGACAAGAATACTTAAGAATAGGCAAATTAAACCACCAAGATTGATTCTCATTTCGGAAGCTCTTGACTGAACCTCAAAGTGCTATATAATAAGAGTCAACTCCGATCAGCATGCTTGGAAGAACACTTAGATTTCATCCATGTCCACGTCCTCATTCTCATCTCCCTCTCCTCCCGATCCATAATACTCGGCCCTGTCCATCTCTTCTTCATCTACATTCTCATCTATCACCTCATTCTCATCCCCTTGCTCCCCTTCTTCTTCCAATTCATCCCAATGATGCGGTGTGGGCGTAGAAACCATAGTATCAGCAACGCTAGGCGAAGGCGAAGTTGCGGCTGACCCCTCACGAATCGATAACGTTCTAAGAATGCCCGCGTCTTTCACCCTCATTCTCCTCGGGCCCCTAGTATGGGGAAGATTGAATTTGCCTCGGTGGCCTTGCTTGAGTTTTCTGCTTCGGTTATGTTGGGCTCTCACTTCCATGCTCTTAGCAATTACAGTGACTTCATCCGTCTCGCCCAACTTTTTCTTGAGCGCGATGAGCTTCTCGAGAAAATTGCCCTGGGCGACTCTTTCCGGACCCGCCCACTTTTCGGCAGGAGGAACAGCAGGTTGGGAGGTTTGCCGCTCCTTAGACGCAATCGCATCCCGCTGTCGTTTTAGAGTGGCGTCCTTGGACTTGAGCTGCTTCTCCTTGACGTTGATTCTTGCGCAGCTAGCGGCCAAGAGATCCACATCATGATCCAGCTGCCGGAGAGCCGGAAGAGGGTTATCGTTGTCACGCTTTGCTATGAGGAGTTCGGTGCCGACGTTCTGGTTCCATTGGCCTGAATAAACGCGCCCCTTATACGAAATAATTGGGTTAGTAGTTTCGAGGTCCAAGATCTGAACCTCATGGTCATCTCCGTCGTCAGCAATTTGAGACTCTTTCGGGTTTGAATCTCGCGATAGATCTCTCTCATCATCGCTATTATCGATACCGTTACTCGGGCTCATCCGCCTATTCAAGTACAACTTCGCCCTTTCAGCTTTCTCGCCACCTCGATAGCCCGGCCTGTTAACAACACTGGCATCACGGCTAGTGAAGTCTGCTTGAGAGAGGTCTAGAGTGACATAGAAGCTCTAACATAAGTTAGTCGCTAATCTAAATGCTTGTGGTGGAATGCTTACCTCAGTCTCGGTTTTGGAATATTCATATTCCCATTCAGATTCATCCTCCTCGGCGGGCAGTTGGCTGTGCCAGGTCGCGGGAGCTCCGTAGGGAACGCGAGGACCAGCCTCACTTACACCGTTCCTAGCCATCGGATATCTGTAAGATAGAATTATGACGGCTTAAGGATATGCAGAAACGCATTGAGATGTCAGGTTGTCGTGTAACACGGATTTGAAAGTCAACTTTGTAATTGTAATTTGTAATTCCCTAGTAGGTCTATCTTTTAAAGAGCGAAGTTGCGTCTTCATAGCTTACCTAATCTTTTAACTACCTAGGTAGGTACCTAACTAAGTGAAATGTCATGAAGTTTAGAAATGAGATGCTTGCCATTTCTAGCGGTAGCTTAGGCGGTCAACACTGGCATTACACGCTAAGTTTCCAGGTAGCTGTAGCTACCTAACCTAGGTACCTAGGTAGGTAACTCTTGGAGGGGTCGTTCAAGCGCAATCGCTCCCGTCCTAGATGCCCCTCCTGCCCCTCATTCGCGCTGAAAATTCCCATTGTAGCTGCCTTTGACTCACCCGTCAAACTCCCTCTAGCTCTCTTGCGTAGATAAACTTCGAGGTCCGCTAGGTTATCGCTAACTTACAGCTGTTTCGCTATAAACTATAGTTACGTAGATACCTAGTTAAGTCTAACTTCCCCTGTATCCCTAAACATTGCAAACTTTTCGTGCTCTCGGGTCCCTTTCCTTAGGTACACTTACACGCCGCTACCGCTCTCGCCCGCTATGCCTACAGTTCACTTGCTCGACTATGTCGCGGGCAATGTACGGTCTCTCGTCAACGCCATTGAAAAGTGCGGATACAGCGTTGAATGGGTCCGTAGCCCAGATGAGGTTGCGCGCGCAGAGAAGCTGATCCTGCCCGGAGTTGGCCACTTCGGCCACTGCACAAGCCAGTTAGCATCTGCCGGATACTTACCTGCTATCCGCGCGCATATTGAAGCCGGCAAGCCGTTTATAGGGATCTGCGTCGGGCTTCAAGCGTTATTCGAAGGTTCAGTTGAAGACCCTGCCCATCCGGGTCTAGGTATAATAAAAGGCTCTCTGGATCGCTTCGATGACACCCAGAAATCCGTTCCGCATATCGGCTGGAATAGCGCCAATGCCGGCGGCAAGAGTTTATACGGTTTAAGCCCGCAAAGCAAGTACTACTACGTCCACTCATATAAGTACCCGTACGTTAAAGGCGATCTAGAGAGCCAAGGCTGGACGGTTGCGACAGGAGAGTACGGTGGAGAGGTATTTGTGGGCGCCGTAGCGAAGAAGAACGTGCTGGCGACGCAGTTCCACCCGGAGAAGAGCGGCGTTGCAGGACTCAGAGTGTTAAAAGCATTCCTGACAGGCGAGGGCGCAAAGACACTAGGCCAAGACGTAACCGGACCAGCACCAACAGGCGGCCTAACAAAGCGAGTCATCGCGTGCCTTGACGTACGAACAAACGACCAAGGAGACCTCGTCGTGACGAAGGGTGACCAATATGATGTGCGCGAAAAGACAGACAACCGCGACGTGCGCAACCTTGGCAAGCCAGTTGATATGGCCAAGAAGTACTACGAGCAGGGCGCGGACGAAGTCACCTTCCTCAACATCACCAGCTTCCGAGATTGTCCGCTGGCCGATCTGCCTATGCTCGAGATTTTACGGCGCACCTCGGAGACGGTCTTCGTCCCGCTGACAGTCGGCGGTGGCATCCGCGACACGGTCGACACGGACGGGTCCAAGGTTAGCGCGCTCGAGATTGCGACTATGTACTTCAAGAGCGGCGCGGACAAGGTCTCCATCGGATCTGATGCCGTGCTCGCTGCCGAGGAGTACCTCGCCGTTGGGCGCAAGCTCTTCGGCAACACGGCCATTGAGCAGATTTCCAAGGCGTACGGGAACCAAGCCGTTGTAGTCAGCGTCGATCCTAAGCGCGTCTATGTACCTAAGATCGACGCCACGCGCCACGCCACCATTCGCACAAATTTCCCGGGCCCCCGCGGCGAGGAGTACTGCTGGTATGCCTGCACGATCAAAGGCGGTCGCGAGACCCGTGATTTGGATGTCGTCGAGCTGGCCTGTGCCGTAGAGGCCATGGGCACCGGCGAGATCCTGCTTAACTGCATCGATCGCGACGGCACCAACTTGGGCTTCGACCTCGAGTTGATTAACCAAGTCAAGGCCTCGGTACGCATTCCCGTCATCGCGTCTAGCGGTGCTGGCAACCCATCCCACTTCCAGGAAGTCTTCGAGAAGACGCGGACGGACGCTGCGTTGGGAGCAGGCATGTTCCACAGGGGAGAGTACACTGTCAAGCAAGTCAAAGATTACCTAGCAGAAAAGGGGTTGGAAGTGAGACAGTTCGAAGGGGAATTATGAAATCTGGTGTCAAGAGGGGTAACGGGTCTGGCGCATTTATCGCATTACGGCATTTAGTAGATAGGCGTTACGGGTTTAAAATATGGAAGTGGAAAGATAGAAGCTCGTTGTCTATTGATAGTAATTTGTTACTATACCATTGCCTTCGCATTACTGATCCATTTTCAATCTCGGTCCTCTAAGCCGATGCGACGCCTATCGTATGAATGCAGCAGATGTAATAGAAACGACCCATACGCCAAAGCTAATGGGGGTGTGAATACGCCTTCCGAGAACTCCAAAAAAGAAAAAAGAAAAAAAAAAGAAAGCAACCTTAACCTTAAGGATAGGTATTTAGACGCCGGAGAACCCCTAGCTACTTCGTAAAATCGAAATATGTTGAACGATCGTTAGAGTCCAGAATGTCACATCTAGACTTCCATGCCCATGAATAACCATTTGTCGCTAATGACATCGACGTCTTTGGCCCAATGGTCCAAGGTGGTCATCTCGAAACCAACCCACTGAAGACTCTTCATCAATGCCTTCGCATATTCGTGTGGCATCGAACGGTCCACGCAGATGACGACATGCGAGCATTCGATTGGACCATCCGCTAACTCAATCAAAGCAATGAGTCTGCGATGGTGTCAGCATAGCTTAAATGATATGATAGAAAGGAAACAACATACGCTTGCTTGAGGTCGCGGCCTACGAGCCCGCCATCAAAAAATGCAAACAATGACTTCTCGTCGCCATCTTCTGTGATAAAGGCTCGGAAGCTAGCACCTCCAGCATAATCCCAAAATTCCATCCATCCGTTTACATAGACTCCGGGTTTGATATCGATGTTGAAGAAAGGCGACTGACTCATAGGATAGTCGTCAGGTGGTGTAAGCGCGTAATTAACACCAGTCAGGCAGGAGCCATTACCGGCCATATTCCACTCACCCTGGAACACAGCTTTCATAGTCTCGCAAAAGAATCTCTCACATTCTTCCCTGATCTGAAGTGTTGCCCCCCCTCGGCGGCTCCGGCTAATCGGTGCGTTGCGGCTGCGCTTCTTGTTCTTGGGCTGAAGAGCGAGCTCGTTAGACGTCGTGATGGCCGCGAGGGGGGGACTTGACGGAGGAGATGGTAAACCTGAGATAGGGACCTCAGGAATACCACTCGGCCCCTGTTGGAAAATGTTGGTTAGTACACAAGTCTCGATTCATAATATAGGTAGATCAAGCTTGAGGGTTTAGTTAGGGGACAAAGACATACCTGCAGCCCCGGTAGTGCAGTAGTGAAGTCCCTTTAGGGACGCAGCGGGGTCGACGACGTAGCAACTGGCGAGGACATTGACCTCACGGGCCACGGCCTCGCCGTTACTACTACTACAGTTATTTTTATTGTTTTTCATTGGCGCCATTGCTGATGATAGAATCCAGGTTTATCGTAGAAGTGGAGTTGACTGGTCGAAGTGATGAATCGGGACTTTGGGAGACTCCGAAAAGCGTAAGCGTAATTGATAGATGTGCGCTGTCGAAAGAATTTTCTGTCTGTGACAATCAAGTTTGGGTGAGTTATGGTTTAGCTGGTTGAGTCAATTGAATTGCTCGAGTCGTTTGGATTTGACGGTTTGTGTATGGTTGAGTTGAAGTTTACAAGTATGACTTATGAAAATTGTAGGGCGGGCGGACGAGGCGGCAACTCCCAAGGTCAAATATGTTCGAAAGAAGACAACAGCGGTCAATGTGGGCACTTGCATTTGTGCCAAAAAAGCGGGTTAGCGGCTTCTAGGGTAGATTCTGGAAACGGCTAGAGTTTTACAGCTGGACCAATAGTATTGCTGTATTGTAGCCGTGCCAACCCCGCATGTCCATCACGTGCTAATCTGCCATCGGTTGAACCAATAGGCTGGGAGTGTAGTGATTGGTAGCCGATTCTTGTGCAGCTTGGCGACTCCATTCTGCGAACTTCTCAAGAAAGCCGCAGAGCCGATCAGCCCACCAGCAGTAATGTTTTATCTTCGATATAAATCAAAACATGCGATTGCTATGAACTTTTTTTCTTTCTTTTTTTTTGATCTGATAATCGGAACATCTTAACCTAGTGTCCTCGGTTTGAGCCTGTATTCATACGATAGATATACATACATATAAGTACATACATCAGTATAAGACCATTATGACCTAACCTAGTCGCTTTTATTAAGCAAGGGAGCTAATTCGTGTACTAGGTCTTCATAACCCGTCAAATATCCTTTTGATACATGGATAACCAATTGATTTATTTAAGAATAATTTATAGATCTAACGCAACCTTATATTAGCTAGTCTGCGCCCTTTTTTCTCTTCTAATTTTACTCCAGCTTTTTACCATCTTACTGCGAAGATAGCTAGTCCGCACTCGGCGTTCGGTTGACTCAGTCATATCGCAGCTTAGCTCTCCTGACTCGCATGGCGGCGGCGACTTTGCTCCGCGTACTCGGCTTTGGGCTTACATCGTCGGTGGCTATTGTAGTACATGTGGTAGCATAAGACTGATGCCACACTTGGCGATGGTGAGGCGGTTATGTGTTCGCGAATCAGCGCGTGGAGAAGCAGGTCGATCATTCTTTTGCCAGAGCCTACCTTAGGTACATATGCAGCACTTAATAATTGACCATGATCAAATACAGTCAGAATCGACTGCTACATATTATGTTCCAGAGATGCGACTAGCAAATTGGGCCTTAGTAGATGCGGTATTCAAGATAGTATCATTTGAAATGGATGCTAAAATAGATATAATTATGTTGTATCATAGAAGCTACCTAACATTCATTAGGTAATATTATAGTGTCACTCACCATCTATGTATACCTAGGTACCTATATTAAACTTAGAGGCCTATTCCTCTTATAGCCGTAGCAGGAGTCATGCAAGGGTCACCTCTCAAACAGTAGCCCGCTCTATCCGCTCTCTTGGCCTTGCCGGGTAAGCGATAATGGGTGATAATGGGCGATAAAGCTTAGGGGGGGGGCATCTCCGATAAGGGAGCGTGTAAGTGCACCTTCCCTCAAAATGATGCGATAATGTGACTTTGCACACGGGATCAACTTTAAAATGGTAGTGCTAGTAAATGCGTACCAAGTCTACTCGTTACATACATGTATGTCATGTACAGCATCCATGGACGAAGCCTGACATGGATATCACCCGCATATTCCGGGAGTGTAAGGTGCTCTTTTAAGATGTGGCATGTCTGCCCAACCATCCAGAGCATGGAACCATTCTTTGTTGTCCATTGCTCATTGCTCATTGCTCTTATGCTTCATGCATGCGGGGCTAAGCTGTCGTTACACTACAACGTCAATCATAACCTCGACTTTTCTGTCTCCGAGGACTGAGCTGGTCTCCTTCGACAGTTCAAGAGTTCAAGAGTTCAACTGTTCAACTTGAACTATTCAAGTCAGGCACTTGAGGTTCGCCCGTCTTCTCAACGGAGCATGGTTCATGCTCATTATATCGAAAGATATATCACAGGCTATTTTATAACTCTAGTAACATGTATTCCATAATGTTTAACGAGGCGCTTCCGCCTCCACTTCCGCTTCCGCCTCCGCCTTCTATGCCTGCATCAGTTCGACAGGAGGACGAGGGACTCAAGTTTCCAGTTTACCTACTTCCCAGTCTCTCTATGCCGTTTCGCCGAAGACGACAGAGCTCGCAGTCGAGTCACGGAAGCCCGCCAGCCGATATTCCTCCGTCTTTGAGCTCGTCTCCTACAGACTCGATACCACCAAGTCCTACGAGGCGGCTATCGATACCTTCATTTACTTTACCTACCAACTTCTTTACCAACTTTAGATCGAAAGGGAGCCAACTATCACAGGCACCCTTGGAGACTTCTATTACACGAACACAACCTAACACCATTAGATGCTCAACATGTGCTTCTGATTTTGCTTTCGCCTCGCAAATTGTTAGTAAAGGGTTCACAGGCCGCTACGGCCGAGCATTCCTGGTTTCGGCGCAGGACCAGCCGCTACACAGAGGCACGAAGGCCGGGGACCTTATCAATATCAAGATTGGCAAACCAGAAAATCGCCTCTTAGTTACTGGATCGCATATGGTCGCAGACATCTCCTGTACAGTTTGTCACGCCAAGGTAGGCTGGAAATACATAGACGCGAAGGAAGACTCGCAGAAATACAAGATCGGGAAGTACATACTCGAGACTCAAAGAGTTGTCGTATACCGGAACTGGGAAGACACCCGGATTGGCGATATTCACGAATCCGAAACCGAGCAGGAAAACGCGCCGGTGGAGGATGATGCAGAGCCCGTCATATTCGACTCAGACGATGAGGATGAATGCGAAGATATCTTCATGGGGACTTGGAATGCTAATGTGGTTGCTAAGAGGCGAAGTCGGAAAGTCAATCGGCGTCCGAAGAAGAACGACGGTTAAACTGACAACCGCAAGCATTACACGGAGCTTTGTGGCGGTAATATCCCAGAACGGTTTTTGTTATTTTTAGACGGGCGTAGCGCTGCAACGCCCTATTTTAAGAGGAGTTGGCGGACTCTTCGTAAATACGGAATCGGGCGGATGTGGATGTGGACGTTTTTGGTTTATCACATTGCATGCGGCATTTGCATTAATATTGATACCCTCACTATAACAGGTTTAGGATGCGGTTCTTTTCGACCACGAGCTTCTGATTATAATGTATCAGTACTAAATACTCAAATGGATATAACAATCAAGTTTGTATTGAGAAGCCAACCATTACATTGTTGTAAACATTGTAAACAAGAGATTATTGGATAAGTAACTAGCCATTATTGTTGATTTAGCGCAGGCGTTGGTGTTGGTGTTGGTGTCGGCGCAGGTGTTGGTTTTTGACCAGCTGATAGCTCCAGCGTGACCTAAAGCCCGGGTTAATATCTCACCCTACATGGAGTTGGAAGCAGACGATTTCAAGACATACAGGGCCATCGTTCACTAAAGCAACTTCCATCATGGCTTGAAACACTCCGTTCTTTACCTTATCAGCTGAGTAGCCTTGTTGGACTTTTTCGAAAAAGTAGTCGTAAAGCCTTTTGGCCTCCTCCCCTCCCATCGCTCCGTGGAAGTCAGGCTTATTGCCCTTCTTAGTAGAGGCAAGTAGGGTAAATTGGGACACTGAGAAGTCCTTGTTAGGCGGCAATAATTACTTCTTACCAAAAACACTTATAACTCACCGCATAGGACCTCACCGCCGATATCCATCACACTCTTTTTCCACTAATAAGTGTTTGTTAGACATGACCACAGAGTACGCGCGTATGAGACATAGGAGAGATAAAGAATGGGGCATAGTAAATATGTCATCATACTCTTCCCCCCGCATTGTCGTCCCACAGCTTCAGCTTTAATACTTTAGCTGCTAGGGAATCTGCTTCTTTCTCTGTATCACCGGGGGCCATTGCGGCAAAGACTAAAACTCCTTTTCCGATAGATGATACGACCTCCTTTTCTACTGTCACGGAAGCAGACAGGACACGCTGTAGGATAGCTGCAAGTAATATGAACAATTAATAATGGGCTAGGGTGAATGTTTGAATTTAAAGTAGTCACCTACCTTTCATCTTAAACAATATGAATATTGCTCAAAATAAATGACTCCGAGATATCAACATTAATATTAATGATTTATATTGAGGATTGCAAGGTGTATAATACATTTGCAAAGCGCTTTAGAGGTAGTTGATATTATTTTTAATCTTCAATTATACTGGCCCTGATGGAGAACAACGACAACGTCTAGGTAAAATGCTGCTAGTGTTACTAATTGTAAGAACTAACCTAAGCTTGTCATCTGATTGCCAGTTGGCATGTCAAGTTGTACATAGTATGTTGTTAGATTTCATGATCCACTAAGAGAAAGGCCCGCATTGTGCATTGAAACGGCAAATGCCAAAGTCAAAATTAAGTTAAAAGACTAACCTAGACGTAAATAAGTCAAAGCATAGGTGCACAGCAGATAAGTAATTGCAAATGGTAATTAATAATACAATTAAAGGATGTTATATATGGGTAATATCTTACCGCAGTTTCGGTCTAAGGAAGAATATAAAAACTGCAATGTTCTCATCAAACCCTAGCATTAACACACGGATATAGAGATACGTAACAATTGTCACACCCCCTAAACGCAAGGCGGACAATAACCAGAGGTATTGCCTGTAACTTTGCCCTAGAGGTAACATTGGGGTAAGTACAATATGGTACAGCGATATACCTACCTTAGGTACATTACCTACATGTAACATGGCAACCGGTACTGAGGTAGGCCGGGCAGGTGTTATTTACCTTAGGTACCTAGGTAGGTACCTACCTCATGTAAGGCAGGCTATGGGCTGTGTGCGGTAGGCTGTAGTAGGCTGTAGTAGGCTGTAAGCTGTAGGCTGTAGCTGCACCCAGGGCTGTGCTGAAATCGCAATCTTTCATCGTCGCATCTAAACCCGCGTGAAAAGATTCAGCCTTTCTAATAACAACCAAGATAACAGATAAACCCTACAGTAGTCAGCAAACAACAATGTTTTAGACATCACTAAAACATTGCATTGCATTGCTTATTCCTCTTCCTCTTTAACCTCCCCCCCTTCCCGCTGGAGAAAACAAACGAATGATATCCACTAGTTGCGATATTCCAATATTCCGATATTCTTTCCTCATTACCTTCATAGGTCATAGGTCATAGGTCATAGGCCATAAGTCCCAGTAACAAGCGCCACACTACCGCACATACGCTAAACCAGTACGATACCGTTAAATGATCTACGGGATCAAACCTAGAGGTTACCTCGACCGGGTTCTATCCTGCGCCAGTTTCACTTAGACTTTTCACAGTCACGATTATCTACATACAACCAACCTACCTATCATCCAGCCAACTACATCGCTGCGCCTTACGAAATCTGCCCGGTATACGGCCTTCGCGTCCAGCCCCTACATACTCGTCCGACCTATTCGCTCGGGTTCATTCCCGAGCACACATCGACACAATGGCAGCAAGGAAATTACAACAAGAGATAGATAAATGCTTCAAGAAAGTTGCAGAGGGGGTGGCCGAGTTCGATGCCATTTACGAGAAGATCGAGCAGTCAAATAACACGGCCCAGAAGGAGAAGCTGGAAGACAACCTCAAACGGGAAATAAAGAAGCTGCAGAGATTACGAGACCAAATTAAGACGTGGGCTGCTAGCAATGACATCAAGGACAAGGCTCCGTTACTGGAGCATCGGAAACTGATAGAAACGGTATGTGCTAGAGCAAGCGAATATCGCAAGTCCTGCTGTAGTATCACTGACGCTTTCTCTCTGTGCTGCAGCAAATGGAACGGTTTAAGGCTGTAGAAAAAGCCATGAAAACCAAGGCGTATTCGAAAGAAGGGCTCTCAGCAGCCGCCAAATTAGATCCGAAAGAGCAAGCCAAGGTAGAAGCGGGCGAGTTCCTAAGTAGTATGGTCGACGAGTTGGAACAGCAAATCGAGGCGCTCGAAGCGGAAGGAGAGGCGATACAAGCGACAATGAAGAAGGGCAAGAGCCACGCTGCCAAGGCAGATCGTATGGCAGCTATCGAGCACATAATCGAAAGGCATAAATGGCACCAAGGAAAGCTCGAGCTGATTCGTAGATCACTCGATAACGGGGGCGTCGACACGGAACAAGTGAACGACTTAGAAGAGAGTATTCGATATTACGTCACAGATGGCACAACAGATGATTATATCGAAGACGAAGGACTATATGACGAGTTGAATCTTCAAGAAGAGGAGGACGTTTACGGTATGGTCCAGGACAATGACCGAGTCTCGTCACAAGATACGCAATCTATACAGGAAGACGTTGCGGATGCAGATTCGCGATCTGGTAGCCTACCCGGAAAGTCACGGAGTGCTGTCGATGCTGCTGCTGCCGTCGGCCGGCGTCCCTCCGCACAGATGAAGTCTCCTCTCCCGACTCTAGCAACATTACACAACCCCTTAGCAAATGTCACTAATGGTAGCGCCGTTGGTGCTGGTATGAAGCCTGCATCGTTACCAACACGGCCGGCCGTGGAGGGTCTCAAGTATGCCTCAGCCGCTGCCGCCGCCGCCGCAAGCGATAAAAACAATGTTGGTATCGCACCACTTCCTCCACCACCTGGGTCGCAACCAGTATCAGCCACACCGGGTATTTCACCTTTACCTCCTGCTGCGCCGTCGAGGACGAGTGCTGCAAATTCTCCAAATATAGCTTTCTTACAACCGGTTCCGTCAGAACAAAAGCCCGGGAGCCTTTCTGTTCCAGCAGGCGTATTTGAACCTAAAGTTTCCGAGCCAACTATTCCGGCCGCTGCTCTGAAGAAGCCAGAGAAGGTATCTTCGAAAGCTGCAGGTAAAGCACCCGTTACTTCGGATCACGCTGAATCTTCAAGAGGTATATCGTATTGTATAAGCAGTATTTACATCCTACTAATCCGGTCATATAGCAACTCAATCCAATGGTGTTGCCAATGGTATTAAGCCTATTGAGGAGAAGGAAGAGGAGTCTATATACCATCTCCCTGCTTCCTTACAAGATTTAGTAGAGTCTTTCGAAGTAACGAAGAAGCGTTCGCTGCCAGTGAATAGCCCATCACATCTACGCATGATGGCGGCCTCTCAGGCGAACCTGAATTCAATCGATGCATTCGACGCTGAGCCGACCCGGATATATAGACCTGATACCCGATATCCTTCGGCATCGGGGTACCCGCAGGAACCGCTTCCAATATTCGAAGACCCTAGACTGTACTCGCGGATAGAACCCGATACGCTCTTCTATGTATTCTACTACAAGCAAGGTACTTATCAACAGTATCTAGCAGCCAAGGCACTTAAAGATCAAAGTTGGCGGTTTCATAAACAGTACCAAACCTGGTTTCAACGACATGAAGAGCCGAAGAGCATAACTGAGGAGTTCGAGCAAGGCACCTATCGCTTCTTTGACTATGAGTCGACTTGGTACGTATTCCTCGATGCCGTTTTCGTTGTCTTGTTTTCAACAAGAAAATATATCTCATTTACGCTCGGGCTCGGGCATGGTCTTACGAATCTATTGCTAACCTGTTCCAGGATGAACCGCAGGAAGGCAGATTTTAAATTTGCCTATCGTTTCCTCGAAGATGACGTATGAATGTCTTAGCCCTTGCTGCCTATCCTAAGCGTAGTAACCTAGATGGTCAACTGGGAGGGGTCTTTACCTTGCAAGGCTTACTTGTATGGAATATACTCCCATTGTCAGTTGAGGCAGAACCGTGGCAAACGGTCTGCCTTTGTCGTAATATCTGTAAGGAAATACATACAAGAACAATTTGGTTCTTTCCCGATGGTTTCACTTGAAATTATTCAATGCTGTGCGATGCTCCCGAGTGCGGAATGAACGACGTATTTAGCTTTCCTAATAATTTCCCAATGAATGATATGCCCGGCACAGATAGACAAAGTAGGTTCCTTAGCCGTATATTCACTTTGCTAACTTTCACGATCGACGACTTCCATGTCAGCTTGTAAGTGTTGTTTCCTCTCACCGCTCAGAATTTCGAGCTCAACCGTGTACCAGTTATACGCTGAGTCGAGGAAGACCGGTGAAGCAAAATCGGTCCCTAGGTTCCGTGCCGTCTTCGGCTGCGGTATGCTCACGAATTAAAATATGCGAGCGTCCGAGTCGGCATCCAACAGACAAGCTGACGCTTTGCTGGGATAGTCATATGACTTTTATCAGGTCTCGTGGCATCCATGATTGGGGTTAGCGACATTAAATACATTAAATTTGAGGCTACAACCGGACCTATCGGATGTCTTCCCATTGCGTAGTTGCATAGGGTCGACTCGCCAGGTACCAAGCGGTTGGGTTTAGAGTTACGCTGCTAGTATTATACGTCCCTGGTCCTTTTTCTAGAAGGGGCCTACTATTCGTGCTTCTCTTATTCTCGACTTATAAGTCTATGTCTTATAAGTCTATGAACGAAGTTCGGGGGTTTTTTTCTTTCTTTCTTTCACCGCAGAACAAAATGCGGTATCGCTCTGATGCTAATTCTAATATATACCTACCTAGGTAGGTTACCTATATAGCCCAATTCCATAAATTAGAAGCTGTGCCCGCAGCGTGTTCCGCTCCCATTTGCCCAAGGCATAGGCCCCCCTCCCCCCCATCGATCTCCGATGCAAGCTGCAACGAGGTTACCCCTGGGCTGTGCTTATATGTGAGCTGTCTTGTGCATACAAGTCCTTTCAATGGAGCACCGAATCTTGGGTGAGATATCTGCCGGGACCCTCGTTGCTCCAGATCCGTGACTACAAATACGCTTCGCAGTAACATCACAATGATGGAGCTAGCCGGTAATTCTTCCTTTTTTCGCCTTGTGCATGCGTCTAGTGACCTCACCCCCAGCACTGAGGCTTTCCCCTCATTCGCCTGCTGGAGGGTTTATACTGGGCTACTACATACAGCGGCCTTCGCGATATCATGCCCAAACCACCTTGCTCGTTCCTTTCGCGGTGAAGCGAACCGAACTATCGTAACTCTTCTTGCAACTCCGATTCCCGGGCTGTTTCCCATATTCCCCGTAGCGACGTAGTACCAGTTATTACTGCGTAGCCATGGAAGACAAGACCGCTGTTCCTGTTCTTAAACAGGTCGCTGCCCGGCCGCATGTCTGTGACGAGCAACAATTCAGACTTAGACCTAGAGCTGCTGCTTCTTCTTCTTCTTCTTCTTCTCCCCTCTTCTTAAACACCAAGCCCGACGCTATAGCAGTCATGGCACATCCGCAGACGCAGTTCACGCAGACCGAGTTCACCGGGGCGTCGCTGCTGCGGGCGCGGCGGACGACGGTGGGGCGGGCCACGGCGAAAGCGCAGCTCAAGCGGATGAAGGACTCGGGGCAGTACGACGCGTTCAGCTTGAAGAAGAAGCCGACGTACGACAAGTCCCGCTGGCCGTGCCCGCCGCCCGTCTACTGGGATAGCGATGTTGCTAAGTGGATCGAGGGCGCGTGTTATTTACTCAGCGAGGAGTACGACGCCGAGATTGATGCGGCGGTGCGGGAGCTTGCGGATATGATACGTAACGCGCAGCAGCCGGATGGGTATTTGAACACGTGGTTCACGATGGAGGAGCCGGAGGGCAGGTGGTCGAATATTAGGGATAAGCATGAGCTGTGAGTTCTCGTCCAACCCTCTCCCCCTTATTATGGAGTTGAGATTCAGGAGCAGATGGTTGGCTGACCTTGTTCGTGCAATGAAGGTACTGTGCTGGACACCTGATAGAAGCGGCGTTGGCGCATAGCAATTACTACAAGAACAACCTCCTGATAGAACCGTTAGAGAAATACGTCAAGTTGATCAGTACGGTCATCGGCCCGGGCCCGGATCAGGTCAGTATATCTGCTCCTTTTCTCGGTCGAGAAGCGGCGAATTCTCTGATAAGAGCCCCGTAGAAACTAACTTGTAACGTAGAAACATGCCTATCCAGGCCATCCAGAGACGGAGCTCGCGCTCCTGCGTCTCTATACGGCGACAGGGAACGAAGACGCCTATAAGCTAGCCCGGTATTTCGTAGAGGAGCGCGGTAACCCGACAGGCCAGGATGGCGTCCACTACTACGAGTGGGAACGACGGCAGCGTGGCGAAAGCCCTTACCAACGGCCAGACAGCTACTCGATGCACGATAGTGGGTGGTATAACCAAGCTCACGTTCCGATCCTGGAACAGAAGACGATCGAGGGCCATGCCGTCAGGGCTATGTATCGTGAGTACTTCTCGGAAGCTATTCTCCTCCCCCTTCAGCCTTTTTCGACGTCTTTCGTTTAATGCCGATCGTTATCGACTATCAGTGGCGTCTAAGTGTCTAGCGACTGTGTAGTCTAGGCGTACTCTTTCGTGATTTAGGGGCGAAGTGGCTTCTACCAGTCAAGAGTTGGGACAATAACACCTTTGTCTATACCGAATTGCCACAATGACAAAATTCTCCTTGGATAGAAGGCGCTAACTTTAGTATTGTAGTCCTAACTGGTGTTGCCGATCTACTATGTCTAGACGAACTTGGAGTGAGGCCCTACGCACGCAAGAGTGAGTATTTTGAAGCCCTTACCAGGCTATGGAACAATATGGTCGATAAGAAAATGTACCTCACCGGTGGGATCGGGTCGATGTGGCAATGGGAAGGCTTTGGCATCGATTACTTTCTCCCGCAGAGCTCCGACGAAGGTGGGTGCTATAACGAGACTTGCGCGTCCATCGCCGTCATAATGTTGGCCGAGCGCCTATTGCATCTTGATTTGAACTCGAAATACGCCGACATAATGGAGCTATGCCTCTACAATGCGGTGATGACAGGGCTAAGTCTAGAGGGGACCGCATTCACATACGTAAATCAGCTTGCGAGCTCGGAGTCTGATAAAAGCCGCCGAGAGGATTGGTTTGATACATCATGTTGCCCGCCGAATGTTATGCGGCTTTTTGGCTGCCTCGGGGGATATCTATGGGACTACGGGGGCAGCGGAAAGGATGCCTACGTCAACGTTCATCTATATACAACGGCCAAGGTTACGTTTCAAGTAGAAGACCAACAGATCGTACTCGAACAGAAGTCGAATTGGCCGTGGGAGGGGAACACGCTATTCCAGCTGCAGGCCCCGGCGTCTACGGGCGTGACTATCAGGTTAAGAATTCCTTCCTGGGCGCGAGGGAATTTCACGGTAAGTGCCCGGTTTGCCCCTGATTAAGAGGCCCGCGAGGCAATATCGCTAACGTCTGGACAGCTCACGCCGAGCCACAAAGCTGCAGAGGTCGAGAAGGGCTACCTGGTTCTCCCGCCCGCTTACACTTGGGCGAATAGGGCCTTCTCGATCCAGATCGACGGGTTCAAGCCCCGATTCATCTCTCCACACCCCTATACCAATCAGAACACGCTTACCCTCGCTCGTGGACCGCTAATCTACTGCGTGGAGGATGTCGACAATGCATGGGAGCAGGACCACTTCCGCAACGTCGGGATTAAATCCGACTCTGAAGTCGTCGAGAAGGAAGAGGAGATGAACCAAATGGGGGAATATTATATTGCCCTCCGATCGGTCGGTTGGATCCGCAAGATAGATGATCGGACCGAGTCGAAGTCCGGCATCGAACCCGGCTTATCTCCCCGTCAGACGGTGGTGGCTGAGGAGAAGGAACTTACCTTCATCCCCTACTATCTCCGCGCGAACCGTGGTGGCAGGGGTCACATGAGAGTTGGGCTGCTAAGGGGCTGCTAAGACGACGAAGAACCCGAGACACCCGTGTCGCGGTAACATCGTCCTTCCGCTACTACCTAGTTGAGCTCGAGCGTGGGATTTACTAGTAGAAAAGACGTTGGAATAGGCACGCTCGGCGCTATCGTCATATATACCCCTTGCATACCCCATCGGGCAAGCTGCAGGTTCGGAGCCTTATCGCTACCTGGTATGGGTGCCAGCCATGGTACGCTAGATTTAGTTGAAACTGGAATCCGGATGAGACTTGGCTATCTCAGCTTTAATCATGTTCATCTACTTGTGCTAGGTAGCTGATGATGGTATCGAGCTATGTAAGAGGTAGGCAGCTCAGGGGTTGTTTCTGTTGAGTTTTTCTTTTCTTTTTTCTTTATTCTTTATTATTATACGTGGTTTTTGGAGGCAGGGGAGAGAGGGAGACAGGGAGACAGGGAGACAGGGAGACAGGGAGGGGGGTTAGGAAAATGAGAAAATAAAAATAAAAACAAGGGTGTAGAAGGGTATAGAAGGGTGTAATACCTTACACAGATCGTCCGCAGAAAAGAAATAAATCTGCAGACGGCGACTAATAACAAGTTGGTTTTAACCATCATTCTCCCATCAATGCAAATATTTATTCACTCATTCCGACTACTCTTTCGCATGCTAACGGAAGTGCTCCGCGAGAGAGTGTATAGGTAAATAGTATAGCCTTAACTTCGGCCAATCATTTCGGTTTTTGTATCGGTCCTCATTCGCAATCTTAACCCGAGCCCCTTCAGTCAGCAGCATGGATATGCCTCTAACGTGCTTCAAGGTGAGCCGGTCAAGCCTTGTTTCCTCGCGTGCTTTGACCAATGACGTCCTCGTCTCCTCACTGCTTTTAATCAATCGGTAAGATGTTCCGACGAGCCCTCGCTCTAAGCGCGCCACCAACTTACCAACTTGTCCCTCCACCATCGTCGAAGACAATGTGTACCGAATTAGAATGCTTCTAGAAACCCAGGCCGTTTCCAGCCCGTGCGTTACATTCGATAGGTTCGGTCTTGATATTTGTAAGTCGCATACGTAGACGCTTGCCATGGCTTATAATACGTCGGGGCAAGCATCATGAGTTCGAAGGCCTGGCTAGAATCCATCATATGTCTATACCGAAATGGAAATAGATAGTGTTGCAGACGACAGCAATTGGCGTAAAAGCCCTTCCCCCGGAAGTGAGGCTCAAGAAAAATATCAATGTCCTCGCTGTCCTAGCAGCTTCAAACGACCCGAACATCTAAAGAGACATCAACGCAGCCACGACGGTCACAAACCATTTGTCTGCTCTGTCTGTTTGAAGAGATTCTTCAGGAGGTATACCACGATACCTGTCGACTTTTAAGAAGGACTTGCACTGATATTTTCAGCGACATTCTAACTCGCCACGAACTCATGCACCTTGCCGCCCAAAGAAACAGCCACGCCTTCAATCGAAAACGAGCTTGTACAGAGTGTGCAAGGGCACGGGAAAGATGCTCGAGAGAAGAGCCTTGTCTTAGATGTTCAACTAAGTCTCTTCAGTGTCTGTATCCCGACGATGGATCGCAGAAGCCTCATCCCTTCGGCAATGAGTCCTCAGCTGCTTCTGGTAGCGAACACGGACAACTCGAAGACTATTCTCGATATGCATCGCAAGGTTCGTCGATGCACTCGAAACAGGAAGACTTTTCATCATCATCATCAAACCCGATCCAAAGGAAATCCGTCAATGAAGACGACACCCCTCTTCGTGAATTCATACGCACGCTAAGATCCCCAGTCGGCTCGTCCTTCATGTCAGACGTAGACCGTTCGTCAAACTTACTCTTCAAACCCTCTGCTTTCAACCAAGAAGATCAGTCGCTTCTCTCCTCGCTCAACCTTGGCGGTGTAGCAGGCGAGCCCAACGGTTTCGAACATAAGGGACTCGAGGCGAGTCGCCAAGCTTCGCTATTCGATCAGCTGGGAAGCTCTTCCTTCACCCGCGCGCGCATGCATGACGCGATCAGCCTCGACGAAGCTCGTTTCGGCCAAGCCCTCGGTGACTATTCCAATATCTGCCCCCCGCCCGCGCCCGCGGACCCGCCTTTAGACTTCCATTCCGAGACTGGGCCTGGGCCGAGGGATAACATCGACCCGTTCTTATCGATGCGCGCTGGGTATGGCGCGGGCGACCTTGCGTCTGTGTCAGATCCTGGGGGCCTGGCTCCGACGACAGGTGCGGGCCCCTCGACAGGGGCTGCATCGCCGGGGCTGTTGTCCATGTCGGACTTCAGCTCGAGGCCTATCAACTTGAAGGCGTACGAGGTCATCGCGAGCAATTTCAAAGAGCTCTCGCTGGACCTCGGGGGATCCTCCTCGTCGGCCCGCAGTAATAATATCTCGGAGTCCCAGCGCACTGCCCAGCATGAGCTATTTGTGAAACTCTACTATGAGCATTTCAAGCAGCAGGCTTATTGACCGGCGGCCTGGTTGCGGGGGATGCACGCGTGCACGCGTGCCGCTTTGTTAGCGTGGGCGTGAGAATCCGACTGGGGTGGACTTCGTAGCTCCTGTCGGCCTTCAGCCAGACTGGGTTGTGCCGCGCACCGGCGGCCAGGCAACATATACCTGTCGCAGAGCCGCATTGGCGATTGAATACGGCGTGTTGCAGCACGTTACCTTGCATGACGCTGGTATGGACGCACAAGGCTATTTCCGAATTGTTTGCCTCCCTGCCTCCCTGGTTTCGATCATTCTCTAGCCTCGCTCGTGCAGATTGCCTGGTCACGCTCGAGTAGGCAACCCTGGATATGGTGGGACATACGAAAGGACGGGGTATTTACTTATCTTCTATTGTAATCATTGGTCTGGATTCAATGAGGTTGCTGTTGTAGCCTAGGGGAGGGCTACCTGTCTAATGAGCGTGTTGCGTCTGAGTAGAGGGGTGTAGTATGTGGTGCCATACACGCTTGCAGTCATCGCTTATAGAGATGTCTAGGTTAACCTACTCCTTACGAGCTCGGAGCCAATGGATTTATTCATTTATCTGGTCGTCTTTGTCGATTGGACTTTTAATAGCCTTATACTCGCTCTTAGATATGTCCACTTTCGTCCCTAACAAGGCGAACACTCTATCCAAGAAGCTGTCTTATTAGCTGGTTGTAGTCTGACTGTATTCAAAGCCTTGACTCCTCCAACAATCTCCAACTTCATATCCAACATAGGTACCTACATATAAGGTATATAATTGGAGATGTTGTTATATGCAAATGTCATTGCTGAGTGCAGGTGGTATTACTTACATGTAATCATGTAAGGTACCGAGGTAGACAATCGGTACGTACTTAGGTACCTATTCTTTTATATATAGTCGACGTCACATATATTGGAATTTGGAAGGTTACACGTTACATTACATAACGTACCTAGGTACCTACCTCCTACCTATGTAGAAGATTCACATTCACATCTAGAGTAACCTTGTGCTTGTTATACACAGTAGTGCAGTTATGATATTCGGAGTCATAAGAAAACGGAAGGAAGGAAGAGGCCGACCGAGAGGAGCCAAGCCAAACTCTTGGTAGGTGGAAAAGTACCTAAAAAAGGTTATTTCTAAACTTCGCATTTACTTTCTTAATTAACTAACTACAATTACAATTGCAACTTCATTTTTCTTTTTTAACAATTAGGCAACCTTTATCTCTTCATATGAAGCCTAACGAAATGCTATAATCTCAAAAGGTCGTGGCACCAATGTAATCTCGCCAACTCATAACATGCATGCATGGCTGCCCAACTGCTTCCACCCGTGTCTCGCGCACGACTATATGTACTTGAAGGGTTGCCTTCTTTTTGATTCTCGCAACTGGTTCCTAAAGTGCTGCGATGACACGCCCCTCACCGAATTACCTTCCTGCGAAATGTTCCCTTCTCGCGCGCGGTGCTTTGCCTTATCCTGGCTGAGGGACTTGGTTATCGGTTCCTGCATCGATGTTTACTACCTGAGTGCTAAGGGCTGAGGGACGCCAAGCGCTGCACAAATGGCCGTGTCGTGGGATTTAGCCTGCAGAATGCAGGAAAGAAAGCGTCACTGCATTAGAAAAAGGATAAAATAAAATAAAATAATCAACCTGATGTCGATGGGGAAGCATTAAGGCGAGACGCAACTTACAGCTGAGCCTTGCCAATTCAACATGGTTATATCGGGATCGGGATATTGATATCCGCTCGCCCATTGGCTTTTCTGAAAGTGGACTTCGGTCATCTCGCTTGACCGAGTCTCGTGGGCCTCAGATCTCTATTAAGTGGGACGCAGCCGCAGAGAAGATGACCATGCCTCTGTCTTGCAGATTCCCCTCAGAAGCCTCACTTCTAGCTGATATGCATACATACATATATACAGTTACTGTATGCGCGTCCGAGGCACGGGACTATGATCGACGAACTACGGCACCGTGCCGTGGCATTCCAATTTTCTCATCTTTGGACGATGGGGGCTAGCCAGGCAGCGAATCGCAGGCGAGCAGAAGCGCTGCGTTGGCAAGGCATTCGGTGGGCGAACTACAGGTTGCCTAAAAAAAAATAAAGAAGCGTTGTAGTCCCTAGCTCACGTTTTATTCGATAGCTCGTCCCTATTGAGGCTGAAGTCCTACCCTCTGGTGGCTGTGTCGTACGTGTCTTACAGGCACCAACGTCGACTAAATGTCGCACAGGATTCATCGAAAGCCCTCACGACGACCTTCGTGACGTCCATAGACCCCCGGGGTTACAGCATTGCCTTGATGGCCAACTGTCAGCGTTTGGTCGTCAATATTGCTTACCCCAATGAATCTACGGGTGTCTGCCGCTATGGGTTACTAACTAAGCTCTGCTTTCAGCTCCATCTACCAATCCCGTCTCGTGATCTTTCGCTAACTCGCTCGAATGCTTACACTTGCACATGTTTTCACATCCTTATTGCACTTGTCAGCCTTACCCACGGGAGTAGACCGCGTTCATGTAGCATACGAGTGTTTGGGCTGAACTCTTCTTGGCTAATGGTCCACATCTGGGTGGCATTGCCTTAGAATGCTATGCACCCTCTCTTCTAGAGTCCGCGGTCCAAGCTAGTTGCTACCTATAGGATACGCTCACCGAACCCAAACAGGATGTCTCACTTCGACATTCCACAGGATTCGCATGATACCCCGGAATAACTCGAAGACTAATTCGCAACGCGCGCGTCGCTTAATTGCATCCCCGCGAGCGGAGGGGCGGCGGCCTCGGTGTAGCTTATCTATAACCTACTAAACATATAGTAGCTCGGATGTTATCCGAGATGTTCTTACGCACTATCCAAGGACGATGCTACTACCTGCTATGAGCACGCGCTCTTGCTTATTGTTTAGAGTTGACTACCTTACCTACCTACCTTACTTACCTCACTGCGTCCTCCTAGAAGGAACTGGAGATCTCAGCCGGACATCTATTGATGCATCTCGAAGCCCCAACTAGAATCAATTTCCGCCTCACCTAGGAAAATATGCAGTTTGAGCCTTAATTGTCCTACCGACGTATGTTGACTGTTGTTGCACCAATAAATGATCACCATGTATTAGTTGGAGTAAGATTTTGGCGACTTTGACAACAGAGACTATATCAACTCCCCAATGAACATCTTTAAGCACAGGTCGCAACTAATAGTTTTGTATTACCACACCTTTATATTTCCAACTGCCTTTCAACTCTATTCTGTCAACTGCTTTGCATACTGATCCCTAGCAACAATAAGTTTACCTTGCCATTTGAGTCATGTCCCTTAGAGGGGATAGCCTCCTATTGGTATAAGTACATCTTCATCTCATGCGGCATACGTCCATCTTTTCAACGAAGACACCAGCATAATAGAACTGTGCGCAGAAAAAAAAGGAACCTTATCGGCTTACCAGTTCAGTTATGGATAACACATATACCTCTGGTATTGATTACGGATACGGTGGCCAGTCTTACTGGCCAACCAGCGCAGCTATGGCTAGGAACGTGTCACATGGAAGCGAATATAGTAACTACTCGGCAAATAGCAGCGGACAATACGATATTGCGGTGTCGCCGGGCTCTGAAAATATGGGCAGCTGTGATTTTTTGACTGTGCAAGATGGAGGAACATATGTATCGGATGGGCAAGGATACGATGCGAACAACCAAGTGGAACAGCAAGACTTTCAGTACCAGTTCTACGACTTCGTCGCCAGCGACAATTCAGGACAAGGCCCGTACTGGAGACTAAGGTCTAATTATGTACCGACAGAAACTTATCCAGAAACCCTCCCCGTTAGTGGTTCTGATGTGTAAGTATCATTATAGAATACACGTATACTATGTTGTTCAGATTCTAACAGGCTCGTCCAGGTCGCCTCCCGTTAGTGGCGCCTCGGCCGCTGGCGATGCTTCGGGCCGCCACGTCTGTCTTGAGCCTTTCTGTAACGCATCGCCGTTTAAACGTAAAGCAGATCTTCAGCGGCACTACCTCCACAGACATCGCGATGCAACCCAGAAAAAGCCGTTACCCTGCGACTGGAAGAAATGCCAGAGATCTAAAGAGCCGTTCTTTCGACTCGATCACTTGCGAGAGCATTACCGTGACTACCACATGGAAGACTTAGCGCGACGCAACTCCAACAAGGAGAACATCGAATGGTGGATGAGTCGCAATTTTGACGTCAAGTGGTGGCGCTGTGCCAAGTGCCTCAGCCGCATCCCCATCGATAGCAAGGGTTTCGAGTGCGCTAAATGCAAGACGACTTGCGAACCCGAGAGACGCAAGCTAAGGGGCTACAAGTAAGCAGCCACATTATGTAGCTGCGCGACAACACGACTCCCAGCTTCAGCATCTTAGGTGCATGAGACTTAGCTTATTACAACCACCGACGCTAGGTGCATTAATTCGACACGGTTTAGCGACAAGTCTACGCCCTGGTTGTTCCGTTCGTACCTCGCATCTAAGCAAAACTCAGAAACGATGGTGACCGAAATTCCCGCACGCCTTTTCCCTCAATTTCTACTATTTCCTTTTCCTTACCCCGGACTGATCTGCTGCACACTGCCGCATTTAGTGGCACTTCTCCTTCCAATATACGGCGGTGGATGGCGTAGGGCTGAACATAAACTACATAGAAGGCAGTATGTTTTACATGGTCCCTGGCTTGGCCGTGGATCGTTGCATACCAGGACTACGTGATAGACGAGACAGTATGGTGTTTTGGCTACCCCGTTTTACTTGTTTTATTATTTTCTCTAAGTCATGCTAAGATGAGCGATGAGGCTATGCTCGTTGATTTACTTCGTTTTCCACTTGCGTTGAACCGACCGGGGTACCATCCTGGTCAAGGCGTTTCTTGGTGGCTGTATGGATATAATATCATGTTGATTAGGAGACGTTGTGGCGCAGGACTAGATAGATAGGTACTTTAGACGTTTGGTTTGGTTCCCTCTTTCATGTTCCCTTGTCTCTTTCCTCTTTTCCCAAGTCGTCAATATGGATAGAATGAATGGAAGTAGGGTATTGTATGCGGAAGGCCCAAGTATTGGAATTCGTTGCTAAGGACTTAGTTGGTCTGTACTTGGTTTGGCTTTCTACCTCGGATGTTACTTATTTGGAAATGTTACGCAAGGATGGATAGTAGGGCTGCCGCTTTGGCGGCAGGTAGGGTTACGTTTTCTGCTACGGTAGACAGATGCCGTGGTTCCTTCTATCAGCCGGTCAGCTAGGCAGATTTTCTAGCACGTCGAGGTCCTTTGTCCTTCCTAGGTACCCTTGCTTGGCAAGGAGTCCTGGATATGTGGCCTTTCCGCAGGGGGCTGCATACACACGCGTGTACTTGTAGCAGCTTTGCGTTACAAGGAGAGTTTATACAGTAAGGCTGGGCTGGATTTGCTCACTACATACATGTAGCCAGGGCAGGTCTTCCCCTGCATCTTCTCTGCCTAGATCTATCTATAAACCGCGTATGAGACATCTATCTGCATACTTCGGTCTGTGTTTTCTGTTGCTGCTACGTATGGATGCAGGTCGGTGGTCGAATGAGTCATCCGGATAGAGAATGGACACAGTATACGAAAAGGGAATACTTGTATGTACTCGACTCAGCCGTTGTACCGAGGCCGCCTGGACTGTCTTGTGCGTTGGTTTATTTCCTCGGGCTTCTCTCATGCACGGGTTTACATAAACAGGCCCCCTGGTTCTACGTGCGTAGTGAAGGACCTTGCCGAATTACGTGTTTGATTCTCGCCTGAATATTTGGATATTTGTGAAGATGGAAAAAATAGTTACGACGATTATTCTATCGATAGCTAGACACCGAGGATTGGGTATGTTGAGTGGTTGATACATACACCCGCACGACTGGGACATTGGCTTGCATTTTAAGAGCAGAGTAAGATCGATGTAAGACGATATAGAGCTCACTGTTGCTACGAGGCATTTTCCAAGCATTGTATAGGTCGTAGTGAGGGATCCACGGATGCTTGGTATTGATGTAAACTGCCGTTAGTATTGTCATAGCTGAGCGTACCTAGGGTAGTATATCGATCCTTTCGACTACCGAAATACGACAAAGAGCTTCTGGCCATGTACATCAGTGGTTCGGCATCAGCTGGGTCAATAGCTTTGCGGGCTTTAATAAAGTTATGTTTTTGTTTTTTTTTCTCTTGTATTTTCATAGGATACCTTAAGAGGTACCTTTTAATTCGTAAAGCACAACATATTAGGTACCTCCCTGCTAGGTAGGCGTTCAAGTGTAAAATGCCCCTCAGAAATCATCCCAGAAGCCCAAGGGCAGAGCGGCTACGGCCTGGCATGGTATGTGGCTTGGGCACCTAGGTTCAGGTTAGCGGTCTTAATCTCTGTGTCTATTTTTAAAGACCTTTCGTATCCATCCTCTGGCTACGGTTGGGTTACATTCTAAGCTCTAACGACCCCGTGTTGATCATATCGGCTTCTCCGAGCCAACTCGATAAAAGGGGGTTGGGAAATTTGGCCGGCCTACCTATATTGTGCGCCACTTGCTTACTTCCCAAGTTGCGGTGAGTTGATAGTTCCGAATGGAATTGTTGTTTTGTTTTGTTTTGTTTTGTTTTGTTGTGCGTGCTGTCCTTGGCGGGTCGTCGAGGTCTCTTAAATGGCCCGGCGCAGCAATTTTTCGGCGCCCCCGTTTAGGATCGGGTTTGGATTGTGGTTGGGAGTAAATAAATGAATAAATAGATAGATGACGAGGTAATTGACGGTACGCAAATAATAATTTGATCAATAAACACGTCAATAGACCTTTGAGGTCACTGTTTTGGTGATATGGCCTTTTCTTTTTCAACTCTTTGTTATGGTCATTTTGTGAGGCTGGAGAAGTCTCCTTTTCTTTTATTGCTAGGCTGGGTAGCTGGCCTGATGAAGTAGGACCGAGGTATCATCAGCCCTACTACCACATACGGGCTTAGTGACATACGGGCTTAGTGACTGCCGGGTGGTATTCCTGAACAATCAACACTTTTCACTTTCAGTGGAAAGCCTTGGCAATATTTTCGTTCGGGGCCTTTCGTCGGTTGTCTAATAAGGGGCTTGTTACTTAGCTTAGGGGGTTAGGCAGGCAATCGCCGATTCGTAAACCCTTTCACTTGCGAGTACACATGCCTTGTTATTAATTATAAGAGATTATGAAATCCTATTTAATATTAGAAAGCTACTTGGTAATGAACATGATACTGGATACACGCTTTATACTCATCCATTAATAGTAATGCTATAGAGTTGGTTATATCCTTATTGAAGTTAAAGCCAGATATTTCAGGCCTGGCATGAAGGTTTTTGTACCAAATACACCCGTTACAGAGCATATGCCGCGCTCGGCATTGTTAAATGGATACTCGCCGGGTCGGTTTTATGGCTGGCCCGTACATATGTAGGCTGCCGGTATATATTTGGATGCTTTCACCGCAACGTTTAAGTCGTCTGATCAAATACATTCCGAAGTGAGGAAAACGTTCGAAGATCGAGTTGATTATTTTATAGCTGATTATCGTGACCTGTTGGGGGTGACCCTTTTCCCTTGTTCTATTACCTCTTTTCTCCACATATGCCAGAAATATTAAAATATTGGGCTTTGTTGTATTGGGACAAGGCAATATTATATAGGTATGTAAGGCGCGTAATCACTAGCAGCAAACCGCTGCCTTATCGTTGGACTAGGGCTAGAGCCTTGTACTTAATTGTCTACAAGTTATCTTCTCTAATTTTCCATATTTTCTCTCAATATTTTGATATGTTGTCGACTGCTATATTTCACACAACGCGATCATTACCGATAGCCTTAAGATCGTAGTTCCGTGGCTCTCTATGTGTGCTAGCCTTTATCTTCCCGATACTCACGCTTGACACTTTTATACAATATGGATAATGCTGAACCCGACTCGGCATTTGGCCTTGGAGTTCTGGACGAAGCTGCATTAGGTCCCTAATCTAAGTACAACAGATATAGAATAAAAGAATTCGACAAGCGGCTCTGGTATAAGCGTGTAGTATAAGCGTGTACCCATTCAGTAGTGTGATAAACATATGGCCCAGCCAACTGTCCATTGATGGGAGCTGTCCACGCGATATTTCAATACACGTCCTCACCGGAGCTGAACTATGTCATAATGGCTCTCATCTTGATCAATTCAATGTAACGGGGTCCCCCATTAATATATTTCCTATCAGATGAATAATTTTACTTGATACCTACCTTAGGTACACAGAATAATACCCCTGAGAATGCATCCTGCTTTTATAGCTGCAATGCTTCGTATACTTTAGTTGTGAAGTAAATTCCATTAACTAATAGATAGGTAGTTAAGCTCGAGTAATGAACGACTACTATCACTTCTCTGCAGCTGAATTGGGTAGCTTTGGGCCGCCTTTCCCCGCATTAGGTATTAATTTACATCGGAGTTATTTGTTGCAGTTGATAGGTAGTAAGAAAAGGACTGTCACGCGAGATTATGTAGTTCACCAACTATTATATATATATCATATCTATCTACCCAATACACCACTTCTAGCTTTGAAATTCCTTTGAACCGTTCAAATAGTCAAAGCCAGTGTTTAATCATATTGTCGATGCACAGTCCTACTCTCTAGCCAGCATTTACTATCGAAATGCAGTCTGTACGAAGCAAACATGCAATATTATTCATATATTATTGCTTACCCCTCACGACTATAGTTCTGATCGTTTCTTATCTCTGCCTTTCTATGCAACCATCTCTAAATTTTCCTTCCAGACACCCACGCCCGGTCCAGAGGGACGCTGCGTGCAATGCCGAGGGTAATGCAGACCTTTACGGAATTGGTGTCCGGATTGGATTTTACACGCAGTCGATAGGTTCATTTATCAGTCTCACTCTAAAGCGCGAGAGTAACCTTATGAATACTTATTGGTTGCATCTCGCACTTCTTGTAGTAATAGTTTACAACTCTATTCGCCTCACCACAACCCCGGGGCAGGTCATGATTTCGATAAACCTTCTTAGTATACTGTTTTGGTTTGAGCAATATATTTTAGTTGGGGTCGACTTTGGTAAAATTCATATTACCTATTCAGCTTGACTATGAATAACTAATATAACTAACCATTGAAACAACTAGATACTGTACAATCGCCCGATGATTTGCCCCAGATGACATTCAAGTTGGCAGCTTCAACTTTTCTATTCTTATGTATGTCTTGCCATGCGATCTGGTTCTGGTGGCGTGGACTCGATATTCTCCCTCGTGGTGAATGTGGTGATAAGGCTTTCTTCTTTTACCGAGTTGACTTGCACGGCTGGTTTCGAACCCTTGGAAAATGTTTTAGTATACTGGGATTGGCTAAGGCCGGCTTGGATATAGTATCAATAGTTCGATTTCACATTCGTAAGTATCACCTGTTTTATACTGAAATTCTTAAGATTAACCTGGTGACAAGGCCAAACACGGGAAACAGAAACAGACAGGCACAGCAGTAAAGATCGAATCTTAACGCCAGGGTTCATGCAGGTTTTAGCAAGATATGGTACATCTTCTTTCGCTAAAATTCTACTTTTCATCATGCTATCTAGCTTCAGCATTATTACCATTGAACTTGGCATCATATGGAATAAATTGCAATCGGTTAATACTATCGAAACCCTTTCTTCACTGGGTCAACTGGTCCCTTTAATCATAGGATTGGGTACATTCGCGGAAGCACTATGTAATTTAATACAACATTACAAAACAAAACCGCGAGAAAACAGTACGAGAGACGGGACGCGGACTCGCAGATCAGGAATCCTTGCATGATGCTCTAGAACCACACATTCCTGATGAGCATCAATAACCTAAAGGATAATCTCTTTTACCGTAGTTATTGTACAAGGTGTTACACAAGTTAAATTCAGGGGAAAGGGGTCGGTGAAGGTATACATCGGTACGTCCATATCACCTACTTATAGGATTCCAGATAAATCATTCTAAGAGAAGGATATTTTCAATTTTCAATATGCATATCTGAAGCCATTATAATTGAGTAGACTTGGAACTCCTTACGAAACGACTAACTTATTTCTATGCTTCTTACTCTATTTTGTGATACAAATGACTATTGATACAAATGACTATTAATATAACCATGAATGACCCTTTCAAAAGTTAGGCTCGACACGCATTTATATTGTTCATATGTACAACAAAATGCGGTGGGTAACTCCAAGGTGAATAATATGCCGAGGCAAACACAGTCCAAAATAAGCCTTTAAACCTTATGTACGGACTACCTTAGGTACCTAGGTACGTAGCTGCCATGTCTTATGATGTACATATGCAAGTTCTTTTTCTCCGCAAATCGGCAAAATGTGGGGGATCAAACACCCCTAGGCGCAGATTATGATTGGTGAATTCCCCTCATCTTCAATTTTTGCCTTTGCTATCCGTACGACCTGCGTAAAACCGCAACCATCATATAACGTGTATGCGGTATATGCGGTATATGCGGTATATGCGTCCGGAGATCTCCAACAAATATCGGCACTGCGGCATCACTTTGGTGCTTTAAAGTTCAAACCCGCCCCGTTACGCTGAACTTCCCTCAGCCCCGGGATCCATCCAAGGTTAGCTGAATCACTTCATCCTTAAGTTTTTTTTTGTCCTCGGCTCCTAACCTTTAGCTTCTGTCAGTAGTCACGCCGTCATTCTCGACGCTCGTGCCCGTACCTGTGCCCGTGCCCTGTTATTTACCTATAAATCGTATGCGCCGAGTCTCTTATTCACCATGAGCGCAACCTATTCATCCGCGGCCCGTTGCTTTCGGCCGTCTGTTTTCTACAGATCGGCCAGGCCGCTTGTAAGATCGTCGCCTATCACAGTTAGACCGGCGGTGCCAGTGGCGCTTTTCCACCAAACCAGATTCAACATGGCTGTGCAGAAGATCCAGGTCAAGAATCCCGTCGTGGAACTTGACGGTGATGAGATGACAAGGGTGATCTGGAAGGTTATCAAGGACAAATTCATCTTCCCCTATCTTGATGTCGACTTGAAGTACTACGACTTAGGATTGGAGTACCGCGATGAGACCAATGACCAAGTTACCCTTGACGCTGCCGAGGCCATTAAGAAGCACTCGGTTGGTATCAAATGCGCCACCATCACCCCTGACGAAGCCCGCGTAAAGGAATTCAACCTTAAGCAGAGTAAGCTTGCAATTTTACATGCGCTTTCACATGCATTCGCCATTCTGCACGTCAACCCGCATATCAGCCAGTCATATTCAACCCCACATTATAATACCTACTAGATCTTATAGATCAAGCCCCTGCCGTATATGACTGACGTTCCTCTTAATAGTGTGGCTCTCCCCTAACGGCACAATCCGTAACGCCCTCGGTGGTACCGTCTTCCGCGAACCCATCGTCATCCCCCGTATCCCGAGATTGGTGCAAGGATGGAAAAAGCCTATCATCATCGGTCGTCATGCCTTCGGTGACCAGTACCGAGCCAAGGACAAAGTCATCCCGGGCCCCGGTAAACTCACCATGGTATATACCCCCGAGGGTGGCAAACCCGAGGAGATTGAGGTCTTCCAGTTCAAGGAGGGCGGCGGCGTTGCGCAGACACAGTACAACACCACCGAGAGCATTACGGGCTTCGCGCATTCCAGCTTTAAGCTAGCCCTTGACAAGGGGCTGCCCTTGTATATGAGCACTAAGAACACCATCCTCAAGAAGTATGACGGCAAATTCAAGGATATCTTCCAGGAGCTGTACGACACCCGATACAAGAAGGAATTCGAGGCCAAGGGAATCTGGTACGAGCACCGTCTGATTGATGATATGGTTGCCCAGATGATCAAGAGCACTGGCGGTTATATCATGGCGCTAAAGAGTAAGTATCGCCTCTCAACCTCATTGCCCAAGAAAAGCGTAGAGTAATACTTTACCAGATTACGACGGTGACGTCCAATCCGACATTGTGGCCCAGGGCTTCGGCTCTCTAGGTCTCATGACTTCAGTCCTAATTACACCCGACGGTAAGACATTCGAGTCCGAAGCCGCTCACGGCACAGTGACGCGACACTACCGCGAGCACCAAAAGGGCCGTGAGACTTCGACGAACCCGATCGCTAGCATTTTCGCGTGGACCCGAGGTCTTTCGCAGCGTGGCAAGCTAGACAACACCCCGGAACTAACCGCATTCGCCGAGAGCCTAGAGAAAGCGTGTGTCGATACCGTTGACGTCGACGGCATCATGACCAAGGATCTGGCGCTCGCATGCGGCAAGACCGCCCGCGAAGACTACGTCACTACCAACGAGTACATGGACGCGGTCGAGAAGCGCTTAAAGAGTACTCTCAAGGAGAAGCTATAAATGAGGCATACGAGGAATGAGTAGAAGGCCGACAGATATAGATCAAGACAAGATCTGGATTCTGGGGAAGACTTAAAGCGTGGGGAGGCACGGACGGACACGGCCCCACATTTTCTCTCAGGGGGAAACTTATGGAGATCTACTGCGATTCTGCATATGTAACCCTTTGCGCTCCCGGGTATTGAATGTTCGAAATGCGCATATAGATACCTAGATAAAGATAGCATGCGAGCATTTTGTGGTGCGAAGAAGAAAGAAAGAACATTGAAGCATTGGTCAGATAATTGATAAAGTTCTAAATTGTGCGCTAACCTCATGTTTGTTTGGTATCCACCTTTATATATGGTTTAGTTACTACCTAGGTACCTAGGTATCAACATTGAACCTTTAGCTTGCAACTTCTATCTCAAATCTCTTTACTGTAGGACAGTAGACACAGCATAAGTGTTCAAATATATGTCGCAATATTAACCAATCTTAAATATGTTAAATCGTATTAGTCATTAAATCCCTAACCGCTATCAACCTTCCATAACCATCTATCTACTTATACAAGGCTACCACGCCGACATCTACTCCATAAACGCTACGACAAAATACGTGCTATGTATTCGTACCAACCAAGTAATCCGAGGGGTATCATCCGTCGCTCCCTCGCTTCGCTTCGCTGTTCCCGTGTTTTGTTATGCGCCAACACCCGAGTAATTGTACATTATAATAAACTCCCTTTTACTCCCCTCGTAATCCGTCGCATACCCTATGTACCTAATACATATCCGCCCGTAATACAAACTACCACATAAGCATATACCGTACCCGTTACGGTGATCATGACTTCTCAGGCGGCATCGTACTAGGTGCGTTCTCGGCCGTGACCCCGCTGTACGCGGGCCGCGCTGCGGGCCCGGCAAGTGAATCCGCCATCGCCTCGTCGTAGCTGGGCGGTGCCTCTTCGAACATAGCTGCGCCCGCAGTGCCTAACTGCGGGGGATACAAGGGGTCGGCGATGACGTTCAGGCGCTGCTGCGGCGGTTGCTGCGGCGGCTGCTGCTGAGGCGTTGGTCTTTGGGGCAGTTGCGGCCGGGCTGGAAAGCTGTTGGCGGCGAGAGCATTCAGGAGCTCTCGCGGCGGGGAAATTCCCGAGAACACATCGACTTTGGAGAGCTTCAGGGGAAGAGTGATAGACTGCGGTACCTGCTTCTGGTTTGAAAAGGGGTTGGAGCCAGGGAGGGGTAGGCCCCAGCTTAGCGTTAGCTTGATTTCGATCTCGTAGCGCCGCGCGATGTTGCATGTCCGGAAGGATGGTGCGATGGTGTTGGGGAGACGTCGGTCTTTCCAGAGGGTGGGGGGAACTTCGAATTCAGCATTGACGGGGTCGGCGGGATTGTCGTAGAGTGTGATTGGCGGAGATACTTGCGGAGCGGAGAGGATGACCCATGATGTGCGTTCTGTATTCTCGAGGTTGTGCACTCGGACAAGTGTATACCCAACTAAAACTATCTCGAGCGCCGTTAAGTACACCTGTTGGTCCCGCGTCGTCGTCGGCGCCAGTTTCCGGGCGATCAGCCGGAGGGGCAGGGGTTCATTACATGTTAATATGCTGGGAAACGGTATCCGTGCTGACATTTCAATCGAGGGAGGCATTTGGTTGGGATCTTCTAGCGGACTCGCTGCTGATGATCTGCCGCCGAAGAGGGATCTCCTCTGGTGGGTTGGGGCGCGTGGTCTAAAAGTAAAGGGCCTGCGGGCGAAGGCTTCCTGGCTAGTCTTGGGCGGTCGGGGTGGCTCGACGGGCAAGAACTTGAAGCCGACTTGATATCGCCAATTCTCCCTGAAGAATCCTGGGCGTTGTATGGTAACCTTAATATAGTAACGTATTTCGGCCTCCTGAGGGAAACCCGTGAGCGAAGGGGGTAGAGTAGCCTTAACGTGCTGCAGCATGAGCTGTTTTGTGCCGTCCATAGTACGAAACCCACTCCCCAGACCTCCTAAGCCCAACAGAGCGCCCATGGCCTTTTCGTCGTAACAGATATTGTTGAGGGGGAGCTTAAAGTTGAACTTGAATTCATGCTGGCCGGGCTGGAGAGGTAGCGCAGCGCCGTCGTCTGGATAGACCTGAAAGACGCGGTATAGAATCTTGTGGTTCTCGGTAACGACATTGCCAACACTGCCAGCACCAGGAGCACGGGGCCGATTGTACTCGTCGCGGTCGCCCGTCGCTGGCATAGTTAGGGCGGTACGCGACTCGCCCTCGAGCTTGACAATGACATTGCCAATGGTTTCGGGCCGGTATAAACCCAAGATCACTCGGCCGCTAATGTAGTCGAGGTTCGTATAGAACTCCGGGGGGTTGTCAAGCGCTATTCGTATCGACATTGTGAAATAGTTATATCAGCTATGTAAGAAAACAAAGACTTGAAGGTCGTAATGGTGTTGAATATATTTCGTTTGGCGGAGGTCTCGGCACCCGAAGGGATATTGAATCGATCAATGGCGGGTTGAAGCGGGTCCGAAGAACATTACGAGGCAATGGAGCCATTGCCAGTAACTAACAGCTAGGCTAGGTAGGTATCGAGCTCAGCTTGGGTCCCTAACTGCATGTGGTTCTAGGTTATTCTATTGCATAATGACATCGGTAAGAGCACCTTTGCTAAAAAGCAAATTGGAAATAGGTATGTAGTTGTAAAACCGACGCTGAGCCTCTGTGCGTCGTCACGATGTCATATGTCATTGTGGCTTAGGTCATCCTCTTATCGCTAATCTCCTAGGTTAGGTTAAAGCTTATCAGCATGACACCCGGCTTGGAAGCAGGGGAAGCCAAGTACCCCCGTTTTTAGGAAAGTACCCGACTTGAGGCCTCCGGATGGAGGAGTGCAATAATCCGAGTTATATTAGTCATCTACGAAATGGACACAATCAATCAGAACGTTCCATCTTAACCACACACAACCTTTAATGTTTAACTCTTTCTTTATTAATTATTTTGTCTTGATTAGGTGGCTATCCATTATCCAATAAACAATATAAATTTAAATTTTCCCTTCTAAGGGAATCTTTCAAGCGGCCCCAGTGTCTCTAATACAGCCGTCCGAATCATGATTTGGGTCTCGGGTTGTTGCTCGCATTCGCATTTACACTTACCATAAGTGCAGCCCGCGCGACGGCGTCCGTCTCTAAAAGCGAGACTGAATTTGTACCCGGTCTAACCCCAATAGCAGTCACCCAATGTACGCCCTCCGTAGGGACACCAACAGCAAACCGCCTTGGATGTGAGACGCCATTATTATCGATCAGATGGCCTGGACTGGGCGTTACGTCTAGACCTCCAGTCTCGTGCCCATTGATGGTGTGAGGGCGGCATTGACCCTTGTCCAATAAGTCTTTAAGGAGCCCATCGGCGGTTTGCCTTAGCCTTGGTTCCGGTACGCGCGCCTCTATGAGGCCGGTTACACGTACTGCTGAGCCCGGGATCTCGGGGGACATCGCAAGCCATGCCCCGTTGTCAGAACGCACTTCCAACTCCGGACCAAGAATAGTTACTACGTTCGCTTTAATTAGCGCAATCAACTGCTCGATGCGCATTCGCGGCGGGCCGATAGACAGGTGGGCATTAAGTGGCGTAAATTGCGAGTCGAATTGATCCTCACGCGAAGTATCTGAAATTCCTCCGTACTCCACGATTTGGCGCAGCTCGTTGCGCAAGTCGCGCAGTACATCAATGGCTGCCTTCTGAGGGCTCTCGATGTTTCCAAGCGCAGCCTGCCGGACATCTTCGTCTAGATAATCCAGCAGCCAGTTTTGCCAGGCTTCGGCCGATTTGAAGGTATTATCATCGTACGGTCGTGACATGAACCTCCAGGACCAACGATCAGCCATGGGTATGTCGAACTTGTCAAGAACTTGGATTTCTTCAGCGCCGCCCGGTTGAGCACTGAGGAACTCGGCTCGGAAGTTAAGACGCTCTGAATTATTTGCTCTCAACATAGTCTCGTAGTAAACCGTTTCTACCTCCTTTGCAATAAGAGGCCATACGTGTTCCTGGAAATCCGGTGGGTTACCGGACTCAGCACGGTCACGGAGGACAGCAATTACCTCCTCGGTGAGTACACGTGGAGTGTGGCGCTCCAGGGGCGGTTTTTTGTTGTCGCCGCGGGCAACGTATGGGATACCACGGCGTGAGCCAGCATATATTCGCGGCTCACTTCCCGAAGGAATATATTGATATCCAGAGGTTGTGCGTTCAAAGCGACCGCCGCGGCCCTCAGTAAGCATGGCTAGGTAATCAAAGAAGCAGAGACCAAGACCGCGCACGAGGACTGGCTGATTAGGGTTGATAGAAGAGAGGTCAACCTCTGCCGGTTTCGCCGGTGCTATGTAACACAAACGGTTCTGTTCAGCATATTTAGCGAGCTCTTGTAGATATGGGCTCGGGATTAGTGGCAGGTGTCCTTGGGCAAGGACTACAGCAGAAAGGCCGGATAGCGAATCACCAGTGGAAAGGGTAAGGACCTGGCGCCCATCCGATTCGTCATTAAGGCTGACCGCGCTGGCAGTGTGCACTACAATTTTTACCACGTCTTTGTCGTGAACTTGTATTTGATCAAAGACCCATCTAAGGTACTGGCCATACAGAGCACGGGTTGCGTACTCATTAGGTCCTAATCGTGATCCCCTTACAGGCGCAATCATCTGCCAGGTATATAAGTTCGGCCCTGGGCGTATCGGTCCAGCACAAGTTACACTCTCGTCGGTGTATAGGGTCATCTGTGATGTGATGGTATTCATTATTAGCTGCTCTGGCTGGTCCGTACGCCAGACGCTGCCAGCTCCCGGCGGGGACGGATCAATCACATGAACTGTAAGATGAACGTCCGGGGCGAGGATTTCCGGTACAGACGCGCACATACGCTCTAGAATGCTGGTACCGCGCGGCCCAGCACCCACAATCGCTATATGAATGTCATGACCATCGGGCTTGTCGTTCATAGATAATGACTTGAACTCATCAATGACATTTCCGCTAGCAGATTTGAGTAGACTCGCAACCTTCTCAAACGTTGCAACGGTCGCTTGAAATCTTCTTTGTGCCTCCTTGTCTTCGGGTCTTCCGTTATAGATTGGCAATATGCGTCGGGAATCAAGTGGAGGGTCATCAGCTTCCTCTAAAGCCGCGGCAGTCATCGGTTCTATGGTACCCCTGAGCTCCTCAAGGCCCCTCTGGACTCGCTCCATCACATTGTTGTCGATTTCCGTCGGGAAGCCGTTATCAATAAGAAAAAGGGCTGCATCAAAGTTACGCATGACCAACGCGCCTTCCAGGATGTTACGTCCTTGGATTGCGATATAATCCATGAGGTCATAACACTCCTCATCAACAGGGTAAACAGGTAAGGCATGCCCGTTGTTAGGAGGATCGCCGTTGCCGTTGATATTTCCATCGTTGGGCAGTCTCATAAGACGCTCAAGGAGGTTGATGTCATTATTCTCAATTGCCGCAAGCAAAGCTTGTAGACAGGCCCCTGCGGAGTGTGTATCAATAAGCTCGTTATAAAGTTCCTGACGATCTTCTCGAATCGCCGCGTAGAGTAACCGGGCTAGATCATCTCTGCGACCTTTTATCATCTGAATTAGTTCGGTGGTGAATCCCACTCTATAATTCTCAGGCTCATCAACAAGACAACGGAATACCTCGTTATTTTCGTCGGGGTTGATTTGCGCGACTGCTCTTAAAATAACTAGCATGCTGCGCCCGTTTCTTTGGCCAATTTCAGGTGCATCGTCAGGGGCAATTCTGGCACCGCTCGCAACCAAGCGACGCAATAGGTCATCTCGACGGTCCATATTTTCCAGATGATCAGGTTCTTCTGTGTTAGAAAACCTTTGCAAAATATTTTCTACCTTATGATATTCGTCAGAAATATAACCGCTTATAGCAACTTTCTCAAGGAGCAGGTTGAGTGCGTTCTGTCGGTTAGGGTCGTTGTCTTGGGTTTCGCGTATCATTGCATCAGCTAGATCCCCGACGATTCTGTAAAGACCCCTATCGACCAACTGATCGAATTCTGGGGGAAGTTCGTCTGTGGTCATCTGGTCGAACCGATGCAGCCCTCGTTGAAACACCACAATGGAAACTGTTTCTTCGGCTCGGTTCATCTGGTCATGGAGTCTCGTATCTCCAGGCTCAGGGGCTCTTCTAGGGTTGGTTGCAAGAAATCGTCTTCTAGAATACACATGAAGAGCATGGGCATAAAGATCTGGGCAGGGAATAAATCTACTAGATGTCGCACGGAGTATGTCCGGTGGCTGACATTCTCTATGAGACTCTAAGAATACTGTGCAGCGATAGAGTCGTTGCAGATCAGTTGGCCCCGCGCTCGGGAAGAGGAATGGCCAGCGTATGTTTGGATCAGCGCCCCTGTCAAAAAGTACGCGGAGTAGATCTGGTCTCAGGGCATAAATGGCGGCAACGAGCGGCGGACGGAAACCTCTAAACATATAAATATCGTTGATAACATCCCCCGCAACAGCGGCATATCCGTCGAGGATACGGTTGATCACATCTGCATCGCAGTAGGTACGATAAATCGCCGTTTGAAGCAGTGGGGTGTTCTCTGGCGGCTCGCCCATGTGCCACCTACGGGGTGGTTCATAGGCACGGAAATCTCGCATCTGGCGCGCCGCATCGAGGGTGAATATGTTTATGAAGTTGGGCGACTGGAAGACACGGGGAATTCCAAGGGCTAGTCTGATGCGCGAGGAAGGCTGCATGAAATCAATTATCTCCAGAAGAATCTCCATAGGAAGTCCTGTGATATCGGGTCGGTTGAGGTTTGGGAAAACATGCGGGACCAGACTGTGTATGGTTCTGTTCGAGGAGGAAGACGACGAGGAGGACGACGAGGACGACGAGGATGAAGGTGGCAACGGCGGCACAGGGGACTTGGGCGATGACGATGCCGATGACGAAGAGGAGTCCGAGGGATCAATTGGAAATGGGTTAGGGGGTAACGGTGGAGTGTACTCGCGTGCAGGAGAATGTACAGGCTTGTCTTCGCTGCCATTCCCTCTGCCATTCCCCCTATCAGAAAACGATCTACGTCTTCTATCATTTCTTCCTCTGCTCTCACCCTCATTACCTTGTTGAGGTACTTTTCGATGGCGCAGCGCTCGCTCCGCATGTCGCTGCATACGCTTTTCCCAGACTGTTATACGCTGTTCCTCTCTCTTCGAAGGGTACGGATTGCCACGAGGGAAGACAGGATGTCCATATCTTCCCCCTAACTCCCACTGTCGCTTTTTATCGGCCTTCTTAGCAAGATGCCGTTGTCTCAGCGACTCCGTTAGGAATGCGCGCTGTTGCTCTCTGGTTTCAAGACCTGACTTACTGGGCTCCGGCTTCTGCGGTGCCAGTTTCAGCGGTTCTAGCCTTGCTTCTACTAGCCTTGGCGGCTTTGGCGGAGGTGGAGTTGGAGGCGATACTGGTGGTCGTACGCGAGTATTTTTCTTCGGCTGCAAAAAGTCTACTCGTTTTTCCTGCCGCTTGGAGTCCGTTCGGACGGGCCCTGTCTGGACAGGTTTCTTCCATGGTTTAAGTGGAGGATGTTTCGATGTCCATACGTAGCCTTCTGGGAGTGGCGCAATGCCCATCTCTCCTGCTACTCTGTTTACCAACTCCGGGTCTTTTCCTTGTCTCTTTTCGGAATCTATCATCAAGGCTACCGCGTCAAAATCGGTCTCCCCTTGCTTCCGAAAGAGATCTATCCCCTCTTTGATTTTTCTCATCTTACGCCCTTCTATCAGGTCGCGCCATGCTTGGCGACGAGCCTCACGGGTTGCAGGACTGGGGGGAGGCTGAACCGGCCAAAGGTTTCTCGGGATTGGCCCCGGGTGAACTTGTCTACGAGGAGGCATTTTCTTTGAAAAGAAATGTGCAATGTGTAGGTAAGTTTCTGGTTATTTCTTCCAGTAAATTTTTCTAATAAATTACTTGATAGTTATCCTATTATCAGCTGTGTGATAGTATGAGATGACTGTGTCTCTTGGATATTTTTTTGGAAAGAAAGCTCTGATCTATCCATGCATATATACCAGAGAGGCTGACTGAACATGTCTGCTATTTACCATTGTTGGTCTACGATATAGTTGTTTTCCAAATGTTGTGCGGTATCAATATAGGTATCGAGGTAGATATTCACTTGTTATAACTAGATACTATTGATTGTTTTAGAACTTTAGTAGAACAATCCATTTATCACTACCAGGGTATAGGTGGGTTAGGGGTAGATTCAGAGCTATATATTTAGATTTTTTCTATTAACATAAATATGAACTGGGTCATTGTTCAGCAGTAACTTTTAAGCCGCAATTCCAGTTTCGCAACTTCTATCTGCTACTATTGCCAACTTGGTTAGGAGCCAACGCTTGTAATAGTTATAGCTTAATCAAACTAGGGCTCTAATGCTCTCTAGTTGATAAAATTGTTTGATAGTCTCCATCGAGAAGTTATCGAAGAGTTGTCATAATTTACTATAACTCGATACCTTCAATTCAACAAAAAGATGATGACTAAGAGTAGCAAAAAGCTTTATAAGTTGAGAAGTTTCTACGAGAGGCCACGCCACGTACGGCATAATCTGAGGGATATCTACATCTACATCTATTGTTCATACACATCTTTAACGTATAATACTGCTAAACCAGAGTCCGTTCAAGGTGGGTGAGTATGTATGTGTATCATAGTAACGTTAAGAGCGACTGTTCATACCACCTTATACGCTATGTATCTGTTAAGCGACCAGTAACCTACTCTAAGCAGGGATCCTTAAAACTACGTCGAAATCAAAATGATTTATAGCATTTATACAGGTGCCGACTACCTACCTATCAGAGTAATCATCAGTTACTTGAGACGCAAAACGATAGAAAGGTATCATTCACCGAAATTCTCTGATTAATAGCAGCCAATTAGTTAAAACAACCTTTCTCTTACATCCCAGTCACTTTACTCGTCTTTTTATCTCATAGTAACGTAAACTTGAGAATTACCCTTACAAGTTACCACAGTCCATCGTCGCAGCCCGATGCTACCCGAAAAGGGCCCGAGGCGTGGGATCTTATATTCTTGAAGAAATAAAAAGGGGTATGAAAAGACATGGGCTAGAATTTCTGTGTTTGTGGGGGGTTAACTCAACCAAATTGTCTGATGTTACATTGTAAATTAAATGATCTCAGGATACTGTAAGATGTATAGTATACACCTTAGATGTCCGTTTTAATTATATGCTCAATAGGTAGGACAACATGATCTCCTAGCTACGTCCCCCATTCTAGAACATGTCAATTTAATTGGCTCTAAATGATACCTACATCTAGAAACCATAGCATAAGTCAAGCAACCCTTGCAATCGACGGTCCCTTACAGCTGCTGCATAGCATAGCCCTGCCACGGCTGATCTTATCCTCGAATAGGCACCGGGTGTTGGCACCACCACCAGCTATTTTGGGTAACTGGCATACTGCAGTAGTTCTCACAGGCTGAATGATAACCTTTTTTTTTTTTTTCGCCGCCGTGTAGAAGATTCTGTAACGGTTAAATTAAATGATCAGCAATCTACATCCTTACCCGTAATACAAATGCGTCCGTAATCTGTCCACGGAGCCGTCATAGTCACGTCGTATGCAGAAGAAGGCAAGAGTATAAGTGGTGAGGCTTGGCCTCGACATTGGACTTTTTAACTGATTGTTTTATCGAGCGATCGAACGGATCGAATTGAACTGATTAGAACTTGATACTTACTCGAGGAAGCAGCTTGCATTAACAAGTAGCAAAGATGATGTTTAAGAACTACGCCTTAGTCTTCCTCTCTACCGCTTTCTCTTTAGCAACTACATCAGCGCTACCGAAACAGGGCTCTACAGTCACGAAGAAGGAGTGCTGGGCTGGCCAGATTCATTACCCTTGCAACGGGTCCACGACAGGCTGTACTCCTGACGGGATTATGGTAGGCCCCAGCACTACAGCGACGAATATAATAGACATCTATATGCTCACTGCTGTCTGATTTAGGTTAAATGCCAAGACTCGAGTGGCGCGATGATCTATGCCGATATGTGCGACCTAGGATCCGCGGGGAAGGGTACATGCACCTACGACGCCGACTGCAATGCGGCCTGCAGTGCTTAGGGTACTGGAAACTTGGAAACTTGGGCAAGTCAGCTACTTAAGCAGGGTCATCTACGATTTGGCAGATGGGAGGATTTGAAGGGCGAGGAGTTGTGAAGTAGTGATTTCTATTTGAAGATTTACTTAGAGTCAAAACCAGCGATATTCAATGAGTTTTCTTGAAGATGTTGTACTAGTACCTGGCCTTTTCATAATAATTCATTGTTTACCTGCGTAACAATAACGTGCATCATGGTGGAGTGGTTACCCGTTGGACACGTTATAGGGTGATATAGAAATTCTGTAGCTATAAGATGTAAATGAGTACCTAAGTTATAGCTAAGGACTTAATAATAATATATCACATAAAGGTATACATATGTATTTTAATGATGCGCTTAGCGCCTACTTTAATAGCTACCTACCTTGGTACTTAGGTACATATGCAATAAATCTATCTAGCTCGATTGGGTTGCTGCAATGCAAGAAACACCCGGTAACGCAATTGACTCATTCTATTCGCTCACCCCGAATGAGCAATTCGCATAAATTCACATGCTTCACCAAGTCAAATGTTAACCACACGCTAAACCCGTAACCCCCCTTTTTTATATTTGCAGCCATGGCAAATCGTACCCTAAACCCACTCGGGGAAATCGTCAACGGTAACGCAGCTCAACGTCCGTCCCGAGATACGAAATTGATCGGCCGATATGTGACGCTAGTCGGCCTGTCCGCAGCCCATGCCGATCCGCTGTATCCACATATATCGGGCCCCGAAAACGCACATCTCTGGGACTACATGTTTGAGGGGCCGTACGACGACATCGCCAAGTACCGGTCTAGTCTAAAGGCTAAGGAGGCTAGCCAGGACCCAATCTTCTATGCCATCCTATTAAATGACAAGGTTGCCGAGGCAGAAAACAACGAGGAGAGCGGGAGGGTCGTTGGTATAGCCAGCTATTTGCGTATCGATCCAAGACACCGCTCTATCGAGGTCGGTCACCTCATGTACTCGTCACAGCTGCAGCGCACACCTGCCGCTACCGAGGCTATGGTAGGTAGCATCTGGCTTGTTTCTCTGCGGCAGAGTTTAGTCACTGGCGAAATAATTAAATCCTCGAAAGTCATATTAAGAGAGCAGATCACTAACTCTTCACAACACAGTACCTGATGCTACGTCACGTATTCGAGGATCTAGGATACCGAAGATACGAATGGAAGTGCAATTCGCTCAACGCGCCAAGTAGAAGAGCAGCTCTACGTCTCGGATTCACATACGAGGGGCTCTTCAGAAAGCACTTGATCGCCAAAGGCCGCAATAGAGATACTGCGTGGTATTCTATCGTCGATGACGAGTGGCCCGGTGTTAAGAAAGCGCTTGAAGCTTGGTTAGATCCTGCCAACTTTGATAGCGATGGTAGACAGCGGAAGAAATTAGAGGAGTTTAGACAATGAGGGCATAGAATTAGCAAATTAGCACTTGCTGATATTAATAAGCATAAGTTGTTGGAAGATCAGTTAATAATAATAGGGGATACATTACATTAGGCACTATATTAGGCACTATATTTAAAGATAATATGTACCTACCTACCTAGGTTACATAGGTAGGTAGGTACTAGATTTAAAGGGAGAAGCCAATAATTGCTTTCAGCTGGCAGGCAACTGCCACCTACCAAGCATTCCTTAATTGAATATCACAACCCAGCACCCGTACTTTGTACATCCAACCCATCATCACGCAACAATCCTCTACTCTCCAAATGAACACCAACCTCGGGAATTTTAAACCCGAACTTGGTTGGCTTGTTGATGGCCGCTATCCCTTAGATATCTAGATAGGCAGTGCAGCACCTGCGGCCCCTAACAATGTTGCGCACCCAGCTTAGAAGAATTGCACTACCTACACCTAATCGTCTATCCGGGGCCGGTCTATCAAAGCGCACTCTTGTCTACATTCCGGGAGAGGGGCTCCCGCCCGTCCCGATCCTTAGGCCGACACTATGGGCCTTTGCGGCCACAGCCACCATCTTTCTCGGATGCGCTGCGTACGACGTCCGTCGAGACGTCCAGAACGCCAAGAGGAAAGGGCTTTTTAGAGACGGAAGCGTCGCTTCGTACGAAGACCTAGAGGACGCCAAGCATCGCGGACATGTCGTGCACTCCCTGTTCCGCAATCCTCCGCCGCCGCCGCCGCCGAAATGGCACCTGCCGGGCCGAATCGGCGAGATGCTCGCGGGGCACACCGACGCGGAGAAATTGATCTTGGGGTTCTCGGCTCTCAACATCAGTCTCCTCGGGGCGAGCTCTCTTGTTCCGGGAGCGTTCATACAGTATCTTGCGCACACGCCTTGTTTTAGCCCCAACTACACGCACCTGACGTCCATGTTCGGCCACACCGGTCCACTCCACGCTGGGATCAATACCCTCGCCTTGCTCCAGATGGGGCCCGAGGTTGCGCGGACCAGCGTCTTCGAGGGAAACGGCAGTCACTTCGCGGCTTTCTATCTCTCGACCGGCATATTCTCGTCGCTGGGGTCCCACCTTGGGACTGTCTTGCCTACCCGAATTTACAAGTTCAACCGTCTCGTCCCGGGTCTAGGAGCTAGCGGCGTGCTTTATGGTAGTAAGTAACTTGCAGTGTCATTTCTCTACTTCGTCTCGTCACAGGTACAATCTTAGAGCATGGGGGGTCATTGTCTATCTAAAATAGTGTATTTATTGATTATTGACTCTTGCTGCAGTGCTAGGAGCATGGGCCACGCAGTACCCGGATGCGCGGCTCGGCATCATGTTCATTCCTGGGAGCTATACCGTCGAGAACTTCATGACGGCTCTTGTATTATTTGAGGTATACGGTTTGTTCATCGGGTTTCCGTACATACATCTCGCACACGCTGCGCATCTATCGGGGCTCGCGGTCGGAGCTGCCTACGTATACTTCGACGGCAAGAACCGCTTATGGCGACCTACCCGGAAGCTCGCATTTGGCGGCATGAAGCTCGTGAAGATGGTGTAGCAGGGTTTGTGATGCATGACGAGGTTAACACAATGTATATACTAGGGGATCAGCAGGTAAGGAATAGCAATGTTGAGCAACTTAAGGCTTTATGTCATGTTGACGCTTCTAACCATAGCAAATTTATCCCTTATTCAGGGGCTGGGTGCCTCTTCTAGGATTGAGCATCAGCAATGTTGACGGTCATGTAGGCCTACTACATACGAGAAGAGTACCTATATGAAATAAACAGCAGGTTAAAGAGTGAGCATTCGGATTATTTATTCGGCTGGTATGATACTAGATATTCTGCGATTTATTTTACATTATGTGGATATCACAATCTCTACCTAGACAACGCTTGACAAGATTGAACTCTACAGGTTGATTGACAAAGGACTAGGTTAGGTTACGCCATGAATCTTTTAGTATGCGGATTTAAAACCTACCTAGTTGCATTTTATTTCCCATGTACGGAATACGCCCACGGCTGTCAGCAGCCGCCAAAAGCTCGTTTACGTACCCAGATACCCAATGTGGGGTGCATCGGAGCGGAATATGCCAAGTCCGGTCAGCTTCGGCCAGTCGGATTGAAGCATTTCTTGATTAGCGAAGCGGCAAAAACGTAATTTATACTATGTAGTTAACGTCAATTGACGGAAGGTCCGCAATCTTTAGATGCAATCGATGGATTGACGCCAGAGCGACTTTCTACCAACTCTTCCTCTCTAAGAACCCTCTCCACTCAACCTTACAACTTTCCTACCCATACCTACCCATACCTACCCACATCAGATAAGCATCATACGGTATCAATCCGTGATAGAAATGATGCTGTCTTCGTCGCGAAGAGCAGCCACCTTAGCTCTAAGAGGTCTGTCCCTCTTTCGAAAGAGATATCCACTGGCAGTATATTAATATTCATATTCAGCGAAGCCGACACCTCGTATTATCCCTCTGCAGCCCCTCGCCTCCATCTCGACCACCTCTAAGAACGATGCTACGTCCGTGACCCCCCACGGCTCTACGGGCCTCGCCTACCGTCCGCGCAGAGAAATCCCGCTCGCCAGCCAAGAACCCAAGAAGGGCGTCATCCAATATACCCTGTACGTCATACTATCGCCTTCCTTTCCTATCGAAATCGATTGTGAGATCGATTGTGAGAGGCGAAAGGGAAACTATGGATATTACGGGTAACTAAAACTAACTCGCCACCGCAGGACCACACTAGACCAGATCGCCAACTGGGCGCGGCAATCGTCCTTCTGGCCGATGACGTTCGGACTCGCGTGTTGCGCTGTGGAAATGATGCACGTGTCGACGCCGCGATACGACCAGGACAGGCTAGGAATTATTTTCCGAGCGTCACCACGACAGTCGGATGTTATGATCGTGGCAGGCACACTGACCAACAAGATGGCGCCGGCGCTACGACAAGTATACGATCAGATGCCGGAGCCGCGCTGGGTCGTCAGCATGGGCAGCTGCGCCAACGGCGGCGGCTACTACCACTATAGCTACAGCGTCGTGCGCGGCTGCGACCGCGTCGTCCCCGTCGACGTCTACGTCCCCGGCTGCCCGCCCACCAGCGAGGCCCTCATGTACGGCATCTTCCAGCTCCAGCGCAAGATGCGGAACACCAAGATCACGAGGATGTGGTACAGGAAGTAAACTAGAGGGCTGGGGATGGGGGGATGGAGAGATGGTAATGAATGGGAACGGCGAGATCATCCGGTTCCGGCTTTTTCAGCCGAGTCCCGACGGCGCGGCGATAGATCGCCTTTCTCTTTTGTCGAGGAGTGACGTACTGTACATAAGACACCGCGGGCTATATACATTCGTATCTGAATGGTTTACGCAGTGGGAGCGTAAAGCTTTTACGCCCGCCTCTTGAGAAATGCAATTGGGATTTGCCTAGCTCTACAGAAGGAAGCCATTTGTTCCAGTTTAACATTTAAGTTGCGTAACTTGTATGTTTCTTATTAGCCTCGTGGGGTCTCATAAAACGGTTAGTTCATACCTGGGGAAGCCATGCTTGACTTTTGAGTTTTGCGAGACTTCCTTGGAATTAGAGAGGGATATTTGAAGAAGGTAGACTTCAGGGGTTCAATTGCCGAAGTATGTCCGGTTGGTTGCATCCCTCTAGGTTAATTCACTTATAAGTTTAACTTATAAGTTACACCTGAGATTACAGCTCAACTCTATCATCAACACCAAAGTCAACCATCTTTCTGCACAATTGCTTTTAATATTTCTGGTTCGAAAGGCTCCCTGGTTTTTGATTATAGTATAAGCCATGAGTGACAACGCCCCCCTTCTTGGTGAGTCTGTTCCTATATAGATGCCTCGGTTAGGTATCTATAAGCATAGCCAAAGTCACGTAAACTTCCCAAGTCAGCATTTACATCCACACCTAAATAATGAATCATCTTCATAAGCCAACCAAACATGTCAAATAGACCCAGACCGAGATCCCAGTGATATCCGATACGAGAACCAGCACCAGCACCAGCATGAAGCCCCGCTGGTAAACTGGAAACCGGCCTGCCATCAAGCCCGAGCGGCGTTGTCGCGCTTCATGGGCTCGCGCGCCAAACACTGGCTCGTCTTGGTCCTCGTCGTGCTCGACGTCGCGGGCATCTTGAGCGATATATTCATCGCGTTGATCACGTGCGAGATCGGCGTGGAGCACGACGCGTGGGTGGCGCCGACGAGGAACGCGCTGACGGTCTTGTCGCTGAGCTTGAGCTGCGTATTTCTGCTGGAGCTGGTGCTGGAGCTGGTTGTCGGCGGTTGGCGGTGAGTTTGGCCCGTGCGAGGAACTCTCTCTTTTTTTTTCTTTTTTTTTTTTTCCTCCGTTCCCGTCATGTCATTCTAATCGTCGCACGTTGTCTTTTTCGCCCCAACAGGTACTTCTCGAGCAAGCTGCACTGCTTCGACGCATTCGTCATCGTCGTGGGCTTCGCGGTCGACCTGCTCGAGCACAACACGGCGGGGGAGATCGCGTCCCTGATCGTCGTGTTGAGGCTGTGGCGCCTCGTCAAGATTGTGGACGAGTTCTCCGTCGAGGCGTCGGAGCAGACGGAGGAGCTGCGCGCGCGTTCGGGAGCTGGAGGCGCTCAATGCGGTGCTGGAGGCGAGGCTCGAGCTGGTTTAGATGGTTGGTTGGTTGGTTACTTGCGGTGGCCTGCCTGCCTGCCTATCGTCTTCGAGTTCGGACGTCGGTGGTGTTCGGGAACTAAGGTTATAGATAGGTGTGCGCCGGGAACTTTGTTTTTCGTTATAGATACTCGAGAGCGCATTGCCGAGGCCCTGGTCTCGTGGTTTCAAAGTTGTCCGCCATCCCATGTTTGCCCGTATGAGATACCCCCTTGTTGCTTGTCAATATCGAGTCTATCATCAAAATGTAAATCTTAATTCCCAGTCTGTTCAGCACTGCGTCTGATCACTGCATATGGTTCTCTTAAGGTTATTTCTTTGACTCGAATCCCCCTCCCCCCTAAGTTCGATGAATCTTGTCCATTCGCCGATGCACTACAATACCTTACTCCCACCGCAAGACTTACATGTGAGGCGCTCAACTTAGGCTTTATGCTAAGCTACATGCAACCTTATAGTACTCGTCCGAACTTTATACGGCGTACGAGGGGGCCAGGCTCTTAGAATCGAGATCATTCATATTGAGCCCCTATCCGCCGGGCAGAACTCTGCTCGAGAAGAGACGAGGGGCCATGCACCGCCGAAGTATCGTCCCTTCAGACGCGTCAACATCAGACGTCGTGATCGTCCCTTTGCCGAGATATTTGAGCCCGAAGGAGGGCGACTTATAGTTCCGCCTAGGCGACGCCCCTTTTCTTCCGTTTTCACAGACTTGCAAATAATCGATAATCTGGAGAGTATAGTGTCTAAGTGTCTATTGCGAATCGGTCACTCTTGTCTAGTCTCGTCTCGTCTCGTCTTTCTCGCCTTCGCATTCCATCAGTCGCCGTGGGATAACACACTCAGTCTTCAACTATCGTCTCCAACACCATGAAGGCTGTTCTATTCCGAGTTGCGTCCCTCGCTGCCGCCGCCGCTTCGGTGGGCGCCCAGACGACGGATAGCGACGATGGGTCTTCCACGTCTACTGCAACGACGGCTTGCGCTGCCCAGAACATCCTCGACACTTGCCTCTCTACGACCGAGAGCTATGTCAGTCTTTGCGATACGACCGACTATATGTGCCTGTGCGATAAGTACACCGCCATCTTGACGTACGAAGCCCTTCTTATACCTACCAGATTTCTATACAGCCAAGTTATAAAATACTAATTATATTCGTGATAGCTGCTTCAACAACTGTCCCAACGACAGCCGGGCGCCAAGCTACCAACAACAGAAGGATCTCTACTGGCAAGTCATATTCCCCTCATCTGCCCCCTTTTCTCGCCGTCTCGCAACAATATACATCTTCCCCACTGCTAACACCGCAAACCACACAGTATGAACGCCAGCTTGTACGCCACCACCTCCGGCAACCGCACCGTCAGCCGCAGCATCACGTCTACTTCGTCCTCGGAGACGACCACAACCAGCGAGGGTGTCGTAAAGACCGCCGACGTCACTGCCGCCGCGAGCTCCCCCACAGCCACCGAGCCCACCCAGAGCGGTAACAGCGCCGGCGAGAGGGCAGTCCATGCCGGGGGCAGACTAGCCGCCCTTGCCGGCGTCATCGCGTATTTCCTATAGGCCTCGCACCCGCTCGTCCTTGCTATGCGCTGTGGGTGGGGTGGGATCCGGATGCATCCTTTCTTCCTTTGAGGGGATATATCGCCATGTTCTTCGCTGTGTTGGGATGTTTTGCGGTCGGATGAATGGGCATGTATTCAGAGAGCTGTTGAGGGGAGAGGGGGGGGGGGGGGGGGGGGGGTGTATTTTTTTTTTAATTAATTTAATTAAATAAAACAGGCCACCAGGATTTTTTTTTTTTTTTAAAAAACCAAGAAAGAATTTATTTATTG